AAAATTAAATTAAAGAATACTGATAATAATTTACAGTTTTATGGAATTATAAGATTCAGATTAGGTTATTTTCCTACTTGTGAATTAAATTCTAAAATCAGAAGATAGATTTATAGAAGACACATAGCTAGGTTACATCTGGGTATTCTCAGGGAAATAAAGACCATATTTTTAAGAATTAAATCATGAAAAAGAAATATGAATTATGCAAAGACTTGAGCAGGGTTTAATAGAGTGAAACTCCCTGGACAGTTTTTATTTCATGACCTCACGTGAAGTCCCAGATTGAATGTGAATAAATCCATCGGAGAAAACACGATTTAAACCACTATAGCTAGTATCTGTGTATAACTGCTGTTGGACAGATCAATGTGTGGTCCATTGTATTCCCTCCAAGCTGTGTCCCCCGAATCATAAATCAACAACTCCTTACCCCTGATTGTGTAACAGAAAAAAAACCTGTGTCTGTCATCCTCAGCCCTTTCTCCTTTCATATGTAAAAAAAAATATTACCATTTACATAGGTCATAAAAGTTATATCAGTTTTTCCAGGTTAAGGCATGTAAGCATATAAGTCTTAATGAATTTTTCGGATCTTTGGATAGTAAGATGAGTCTACTGGATATTGCTGATCCTGAGAGGACGTCATTTGAGGGTTGGGTGATTAATCGTATTCTATAGTTCTAATGGTTTGACATTTAATTATTTATCGGCCTTAATTGTAGAGCTTGTCTGTATCAGTATATGATAGATGAAGCTGGATTGTTTTATTTTATCTCCAAGTTTCAAGAGAACTTAAGTTTAGTCACAATTACTGTGGATTTTTTTGCTGATTTAGTGTAAATTTATTTTTGGGTTATTCTGTTCTTATTGACCCAGCTAAATAAAAAGATTGTCAATTATTTTATTTACATTTAATATATAATACCAATTTTGAAATATAACAAAGAATCTGTGTTAGAAGTTCTTGCACTTATACTCAAGAGTAATTTTGTAACTTAACTGTCTTCAGCAATTCTCTTAAGATCGATACATGTGCTATCTTTGGTGCACATGATAATGACAGATCTAAATTGCTAATTATAATCCCAGTGATCAGGACCACAATTAATAATGTATGTTTATTTCTACTTGAACCTTCTATGATGGAACACTGAATGACTTTGTAAGGTGAAAAGTACTGATCTGTATCAGCTTGTCTAGAATCTATCTTAGTAACATATACAGGACTGCATTTGTAAGTAAACAACTGAACAATATTGTGTTTATTGTCCATATATGCCTTTTTAATTCTGCTTTTTATATTTCAGCCTTTTGTAAGTATACCTCAGTTGTATGAAACGATATGCCATTGTAATTGTACACATATCATAATTCTATTATTTCCGTTGCAGTAACGACTAAGGCACTAGCCTAAGTCATTTCTGCCATTCGTTACAATTATTCTTGGTCTTTGTAACTCTTTGTCATACATTTCAGTGCTATTCTTGGTCAGTATAACTCTTTCTCGTACATTTCAGTGCCGACCGAGGCCCTCGCCTTCCTGGGAGCTGTCGCCCTGTTCCTGGCCCTCCTGGTTATTTTCTTCTGCTACCTTAACAAGCTCCTCTGTTTCTCCTCCTGTGGGGGATTCCCCTGTCTGGAAAACCACCCCAAGAAACCCAGGAAAAAGAATGATTTAGGTAAGTCTCTACTGTTCTAAACCACCCCAAGAAACCCAGGAAAAAGAACGATTTAGGTAAGTCTACACTGTTTTAAACCACCCCAAGAAACCCAGGTAAAAGAACGATTTAAATAAGTCTCTACTGTTCTAAACCACCCCAAGAAACCCAGGAAAAAGAACAATCTAGGTAAGTCTCCACTGTCCTAAACCACCCCAAGAAACCCAGGAAAAAGAACGATTTAGGTAAGTCTTTACTGTTCTAAACCACCCCAAGAAATCCAGGAAAAAGAACGATTAAGGTAAGTCTCTACTGTTCTAAACCACCCCAAGAAACCCAGGAAAAAGAACGATTTAGGTAAGTCTCTACTGTTCTAAACCACCCCAAGAAACCCAGGAAAAAGAACGATTAAGGTAAGTCTCTACTGTTCTAAACCACCCCAAGAAACCCAGGAAAAAGAACGATTAAGGTAAGTCTCTACTGTTCTAAACCTCCCCAAGAAACCCAGGAAAAAGAACGATTTAGGTAAGTCTCTACTGTCGTGTGAAAAATATACATTGGAATTGTTGTCCTTAAAAAGATGTGCTATACTGTTGTGTATATTGATATACTGTATTCAGCAAAACTCGGTTATAACGAAGTCACAGGGACATATGAAGTGACTTCTCTATATCTGTAATTCGTTTTATCTGTATAAGGAATTCATTAAGTTTATATAGCTGGGGATCCAAGATAACTCCGCTATATCTGTGAATTCGCAAAATCTGTGTTTGTACTAAACAAGTTTTACTGTACATGGAAATTTTCGCCCCTTTTTATTTTCACCCATTTCGGCCTACCCTCGGTTGGTCGGATTTAAAATGGGGTGAATGAATACAGTATAATTTCTTATACAGAACTGTGACTGGGCTAATTAAAATGGGGCAAGTTGTTTGCAAGTGTTTAAGTGTTAAGGGGCGAAAATAAAGTAGGGCGAAAATAACCCTGTAGACGGTATAAATTATTTACTAAACAAGAAAACTTTTTTATCTTAAGATGTTTTTGCTCAAATGTATAAGAATTTTCTTTTTTTTTCTTTCTTCAATTTTACTTTGACTATCAATGATGTTTTGATTTTTTTTACCTAAAGCTATGAGTTGTGAGAAATAAACCCTTGATTTTACACATTTGCAATAAGAGTGAAAAACATGATTATGTTTTCCTTGGAGACCATATAAGGAAGAAACTTCTCTGTTAGTAGAGCATTGGTTGATTCAGATCCAATAAATGGTGCTTAAAAAACTCCACAAAACATTAATATAAGACTTAATTAGGAAATAAACCAGGAGAAATGCTAATCATAACATTGTATTATAAACCATGATACATGTAAACAGGGAAAGTTTTTAAATGCTTGGTTTTTTTAATTTTTTTAATTCTGAGTGACACGTTTAATATGAAAATTCCCTCTTCATAAAATAGATGCAATATATGTGCTATAATTTGTTGGTTTTACTTCTTTCAAATTTTTTTTTTTTTTATTCCAGGGGCATTGATATTGTTGGAATTTTTATAAAACCTAATACCTGGTAGATTGTAGTACATTGATAGTGATAAACCTTGACACATACTTTAAACATACTTGTAGTAAGCAGATTAGGAATTCACCTGAAGGCAACAAACTTGAGTGGGAAAAGTTTCTGATATATTTTTTGCTGTGAAGCAGTCGATCATGTTGGGTACATAGCTAAAGGAAGATAACTCAGATTTTCTACAAGGGAAGATAACTCCCACTATGAAGACTAATTTTATGTTGTTCAGTCAGATTAACATTCAGCCTCCCTCTATTCACTCATTTTCCAAAAGTAATTTATAATTGAAATGCACACAGTTTCAGCATATATACCTTGAAGGGCAAAATTTGACAGAAATGGTCATTTAACTTGAGAAGTTTTATATAATGGAAGAAAAATATCTCATTTAGAGTTATCTCTCTTTTCAGAGGGGTTAGTGAATCTTGAACTAAATAAATAAAAAAAAAAATTAGACCTCAATTATGAATGGAACAAAATATACCGTTTAGCTTTAGTGTCCATTGCTCATGGTGATAAATGTATTACATTATAACAGGACCATTTTTTTCATTTTTGTTCATTGATCTACATTAATATGGTCAATATACATGGAGATATCTTTACTGAATGGTCATCATACATTGTTCTGTGATTTTGTGTAATGATTTCTTTTTCTTCATTAGACTTAATGAAGTTTCCACACTAATGGCATATCTAATTATATTATAATAATGTATATATATATATAAGCTCCATTAGGCTTGGCATGACAAGCTGTTAAGGATAAAAGCTTTTCCATTCTTTCTAATTAAAAAAGTCATCAATGGAATTCTTTTTTAACACCCACAGTCTAGATTTCTGATGAATATTTTACGTTGATCCCACTGTTTTGGGGAACAATCTTTGATACTTTACCATTGTATTCAGTTGTAACCAATTAAGGTAACCATAGAAGGATAAACGTTGTACATCGGACTGGTTTCTGTTAATTTGGCACACATCGGTCTTAATTGCAGATCTGCTGGTATCTGTATGAGTATTCTGCTGGCACATAGTATTCTAACTGACATGAGGAGCTGATCTCTCTGATACTCAACAGAGTTTTATTGATCAATCTTTAGACTCTATCTGATGTCTTTTACCCATCAAACAGGGAACCTGTAAATTATCCCAGGGGAGAGCATACAGGCTTACAGTGTATGATCATTAACCAGAATTTTCTCTGCATTAGATGCAGCCATTAAAAGATGTCTAGGGATTTGGAGTACTTTTGTGAATCGTGTGGAAAATAGAGAAATTATTGACTTACAAGTTTGCTGTGAATGAACCTTTACTACGCTTGGCCAGAGGCAAGAGAAATAAAATTTGCCAAAGAGTTTGTTTTTGTCAGGAGTGGGAAAATATATATTTTTTAATGTCTAGCAATGATTGCGGATGTATTCTTTTATGTTTTTTTTTCAAATCACCTGCAGCATTCAGTAGATATTGTGGTTGTTGTTTGGAACAATACAGGTTGATGAAATACCCAGTGCAAAGGAGCTAGGCTTTCAGGCATGCATGTACTATAATAATTTGTGTTGGATTAATTTTTAAATACATGTGTATGTGCTCCACATAGTTCACTAATCGTCATGGTCATTTTTGTGGAAGATATTTAGTACTAATGATTGTGTGTGGAGGTTTAAATCTCCAAAGATTTTTTTTCCCCATAGCTATCCGTCATGGTTTACGACAATGTGTGATTTAAAAGTAATTTTTTTGTGTCACTGAAGAAAAATTGACTGAAAGTCAACAGTCTTTGTGTCCTCTAGCTGCGACAAGTGCATGTATTTATTTATTGAAAATTCAATGGTTAGGACTACAATACGGGAGTTGTTGATATTGGACTGTGTACCCAGTGTATGATTTTATCTGCTTCTATAGTTATATATCACACGCATAGTAGTAATTTACTGAAAGCATGAACCAAAAGTGAATGAACTGCACATCGAAGCAGACCCAGCAGTCAAGGATATTTACATTGTCTTTTGGATATATATATCTTAAACCTGATTAGCTATTGTCAGCTTATCGTTGATTTGTCAACTCTGTAAATGGAAAAGGATTTCAGTTTCTATTTCGCCAAATCCCTGCATTTGCTTTCATTACTTTCACTTTAACGGTGCAGAACGGGAGAGATAATGAAAGTAAAGTTACTGCAGACATTAACACTAAAACATGCTTATCACCTCTCCAATGGAGGAAGTGGATTAGCAGCCTTAATGGACCTTTGTATATAAGTGCCGCTGCTTCTCTGGAGTCTCTGATATGTGTGGAGTCTGTCAGCTTGACTTTGCATCTTCAGTGTGACAGAGGCAAGAAAACTGGGTTACAGTTTAATCATATATACACCATAAAAGTTTTATGTGTGGCTTATTTGTTGGTGCAGACAGTCATGCAATCTGCTCATCACGGCTTGCAATGATTGAAAGTTACACAGATTGGGCACAAATTTCTATGAAAAGGTATGTTCCGTAAGAAACTAGAAGGAATAGATGTTGGTGGGCCAGGGCCAAAACGGGGCAAAAGTTCGCTGTTCTGTTGTTGTGTTCAGAAATCACCTTCATATTGCGATTCACTGACAACAAATAAACAGGGATCGGGAAGCAATGAAAACACTGAGGGGACCCATGTGACCCCTGATCTCACCGAGGGATCTCAAGTAACCCTTGACCCCAAAGATGATCCAGATGGAAACCGGAAATTGACAAATGGGTCATGTAAGGTCAAGGACAAAAGCAAAGAAAGTAAGATTTGGGTCAGGAGAAAAACCTTAGTTCTTGATTATCTATGTAAATATCAAGGCTTGATTAATTGCTTGATTAAGTTTTATTTTTAAGATAAGTGTTGTTTTTATAAATTTATAAATCTAAAAAGTAGGGAAATGAAATCAAAATGCAACCTCTAGTCTTGCTGTTTTATGCAGAATTGGATATTTACTGTGAAACATGTACAGTATTTTGAGATACTTTTGAATTTGTCATATCAATTCTTCATCAAGTCATTGATATTAATGACTTGATGAAGAATTGGAACTTATTAAGTGTTTACCTAGCTATTTAAAGTTATTTGTATACAAGTTAAATGGTATATAAGTTAAATGGGATATTCATCCTTAAAATTTTAATTGGGTCCAAAAGGATTAATGATCATTAGTTAAATTAGCCAGGCAAATGGGTTTTATACAAGTATAATATTATATTGATCTTCAAATTTTTGAACATATGTGCTTTTGATATGTCATGTATGAAAATTGACTAAATTACATATAAATGTCTTCATTCTTAGTGTACGTTAACAGCTGTTAAAGCCATTTTTTTTTTTCAAAATCTATCATTTTAATGACATTTTCTGTACTACAGAAAATTATAGATATTTCAAATAAAGCTTGAAATCTACCTCAGATCATGCTAGAAGGTTTCTGATCATATTTAATCCACCTTTCTTTTCTGTATAAACATACAAAAATAACATTATCGCAAGCCACAATTTATGTCCATTTATTTCCAAAAACCCATGGATGTTTTTGGAGCAGGTTCATTCTAAAAGAAGTATTAGCCCTAAGTTGCCCAAACTTGCATGAATGATACATCATCTATGGGTCACCTTGCTGAACTTGCTTTGGAAGCTGGATTTGACTTTGAATTTCTGGATGAGTGCATGACCAGATTAAAATATTTTAGCAAGTGTATACTAAAGAAGCTAGAAGCTGTATGCTACTCAACTTTGCCATGTTTGAATTAAAGATTTATGTGTATATTGAAGCACACATTTTACCAGTCTGAAAGTTCTTTTGGATGTTGGATTTGACTTACATTTTCCAGATGTGGAGCAGAACTATTACATGTACCAAGAAACCATTTATTAAGGACTTCCTGAATCAATCTTGTAAGGAATATGCATCAAGGGATTCACACTACTAAAGTTGTTTCTGAGGATGAATTGGATCTTTATTTTTCACATGACTTATATAGAGGTTTTTGGAGCAGACTCATTCCAGTGTAACTTCAAGTGCTATAATAAGTAGACTAAACTTCCATGTATGGTGTGTCAAGGGATGAATATTCTCAAACTAATGCTTCAGATGCTAGATTTCATTGACTTAAGTTTTCTGAATGAGTGACATAATATAGTTTAAGGTTTTTAAAACAAGTCCATTCCAAAACCCTAAGAGACTAAATAAAATTGCATAAATATTGATGCAAAGGTTGATTAAATTGGTACAAAACTTTGCCTTACTTGAAGATGTCTTTCATTAAGGCGATCTCTGTAATAGTATTTTTCCCCCAATAAATCAATTGAAAACTATATTATATTGGTTCTTCTTTCATAATCTTCAGAAAAATTTCTTCTTTGTACAGATAATCCTGAATTATTGAATAGCTTGGAAATTTGTTATCAATATCTGTTTACCAATATTTTGCTTTGTATGTTATGGATCTAGAATACCTTGAGTTGACACTTGATGGCTTGTTTTATACTGACTCCTGTATATCTCTTCAAGGCTGGTCAGATTGACATATTCCTTTATGATTGAGAGATGCATGCTTCCGAGATGCTGCTGACTGATATGAATTATTCAGGAAGATGTCATCATTTTGCTTCGGATAAGATCTAAGATATAAATTCAGAATTGCATAACAGTTCAATCCATGCCTATTCTTCATAAAAACATGTGGAGGAAAAAAAATAACTTCCTTCTTTATTGATTGAGATTTTGGTCGTAGTTAGGATGCTTATTATCAAAGATACCCATATTATTTCTGTGATTATTAATGATTGGAAATAATATTTTGTAGGGATTGCACACATATGAACCACACTGACATAAAAAATTATTTTTTGATAAGTTATGTATGTTTTTGAAGTTGTTTAAATTTAATAATTTGTACTATCCCCTATATATTGACCAATGTTTGATATCTTGACAATTTCTATGTAGGTAATGCCTGAATCTGATATCTTGACTTATTTTTGACATTTTTAATCTATCTTTGGTAGGTAATGCATATATCTTATATTTTGACCTTTTGATATCTTGACCAGTTATATTGTAGGAAATGTCAATATCTAATATCTTGACACAAGCTATTGTAGGGAATACCTAAACTGATATCTGATGACCTATATCAGATACCTTGACCTTATGATAATGTCTTGACCTTTATCTGATATCATGACTTTCTCTATTGTTATTACGGTAGATAATACCTGTAACTGATATCTTTGCCTATGTTTGATATCTTGACCCTTTCTATTTAGGTGATGCCTAAATCTAATATAATGACCTGTATTTGATATATGTCCCTTTCTATTGAAGGCAATGCCTATATTAGATATTAAGACCTATTTTTGAGGTGATGCCTAAATCTGATATCATGACCTGTATTTGATACCTTGACCTCTATTGTAGGCAATGCCTATATCTGATATGAAGACGTACATTTGATATATTGGCCCTTTCTATTGAAGGAATGCCTATATATGAAGACCTACATTTGATATCTTGACCCTTTGTGTTGTTGGCAGTGCCTTTATCTAAAATCATGATATTTTGACACTATCTATTGTAAATTATACCTATAACTGATATCTTGATCTATGTTTGATATCTTGACCTATGTTTGATATCTTGATCCCCTCTATTTCTGGTAATGCCTATATCAAATATGACTTATATCTGATATCTTGACTTATGTTTGATATCTTGACCTATATTTGATATCTTGAACCACTCTATTGTAGGTAATGCCTATGTTTGATATCTTGACCTCTATTTTAGGCAATGCTTGTATCTGATATGAAGGCCTACATTTGATATCTTGACCCTTTCTATTGAAGGCACTGTGTATATCTGATATGATATCTTGATACTATCTGTTGTAGATAATATCTATGTTTGATATCTCATCCTATTTTTAATATCTTAAATTGACCTTTGTTTGATATCATGACCTACATTTGATATCTTGACCCCTCTATTTTAGGTAATGCCTATGCCTATGATGACACCAGCTCTTCCAGTGACAGTGATGATGAAGTTCTGAAGCGTTACCAGGAAACTCTGAAGCATAGAAACAGCATACATCGCTCTGACACGAAGCATAGTGTGGCCAACTCCAATAACAGTCATACAGGGACAAGGAAGAAAAGTAGGTGTAATATACAATGTAAAAGGGCGAGGGACAAAAAAGTAGGTTTAATATATATAGTTTTTAGCTCACCTGAGCCGAAGGCTCAAGTGAGCTTTTCTGATCACATTTTGTCCGGCGTCCATCTGTCTCGCAAAATAGTCATTGATTCTTTATAAACGAGACAAAATTTTCACGAATTGTAGTCATTGCTCTATATAATCATAAGGAATACTATTATACGCGAGAAGTCAATTTTCGCGAGCACACTGTCTCGCATAATTACGCGAAAATAAAGTTCTCGCGAATAAAACGTGATTTACAGTATATAATTTTTGAAATAGACATAGGGTGATGGCCAATGGACTAAACATGGGGTCAAATGTTCTGATTAAAGTGAACTTGTAGCTAGCTCATTTTCATCTTCTCTGTTTAAATACTAAAACAGCTTAACTGAAATAAAATACAGTATTTTGGTCCTTGGAACCATAGATTAATATTCTGAATTGGGTTTATCACAGTATTAGGAAGGAAGTCTGTATTTAATGTAAAGGCAATAAATGTTTGATAGAGGTTTTAATTGTACCCCAAAGCCTGTATTCACACTGAAAGATAATGGGAGGTGTTTGCTTAAAAACTATAAAAGCTGGAAGATGTGAATTGAGTTGTGAAAGGTCTCAAAGGATCATAATTTTATCAATTTTGTTGTGTAATGAAAGTGTTAAAACATAGCTTTGGTTCACATTAAACCATTGTTTTGATGACCTTAATAATATCATCAACTAAGCATTATGTCTCTGGAGAGAAGCAATATTAGAGATGTTTTAACCATCAGCATGATAAACTTCATAAAGGGATTCAATCTTAGTCATATGCCAATTAATTAAGGTTTGATTTGTAAATCAAAGAGCTATAAGGTTCACTTTATGCATAAAATGGCCCTGTCCTTATATTAATTACTTGACTATCAACCTCTTTCCCATTTCATATACTACTAGAGGTACTGTGAGAAATGAGCTCACTAAATTATACCCTGCCTCCCATATGAATATGTGTTGGATTAAAAAGTAAAATAGGAGGTGCACAATGGCAATATGTAATAAAGACTCTGAATTTCTCAAAGTTTCATCAAATTTCATTCAGTGGTATGAGAGGAGTTGGGGATAAGAGATGGGTACCCCCAAAGGGTAATAGACGGACGGACGGAGGGACATACCGATTACTATATACCCTCCTGCTTTTCAACAGGGGGGTATAAAAATAAAAGAGAAACTTAGTGCTTTAATTTCCAGTAACAAAATGTCTTATCTTCTGAAACAGATATTTCATTATGTAATTGCATATTTTGGATCAGAGGTTGTGCTTTATATGATATATTGAAAAAAAAACTTCAATTTTAGGCCATTTTTCAAAGGAAATTACAGGATATGGGAAAAATGATGCATTTTATGATGTCATGATGCATTGACTAGGGTAAAAATTATGTCATGTTCAATAGTTAATTGTCACCAAAGGGTCCAAGTAATAAATACATAATGTCATGTAGTTTTGACTTTTTTTCAGAAATTCTCAGAGCCAAAATATGCCCTAAGTGGCTCTTGCTCTTTGTTTTTGTTTTGTAGATTTTATCTTCCTCATCTCATAACAAAATTTTAAAAGACTCCCCGAAAAATGTAATTTTGGCATTATTTGTCATATCACTTAAATTACTTTTCACTGAAATTATACACAAATATTCGGTAATCTACAGATAAAACTAACAGTTATCATGAGCCCACAAATTTATTATACCCCCGCTTGAAAAATGGGAGGGTATAAAGAGATGAGTATATCCGTCCATCTGTACGATGTATGTCTGCTCATCTGTTATCCTTTGGGGTACCCATCCATCATATATTTAATTAGACTTTCACAGAACCTTTGTTACATAGTGCCATTGTGCACCTCCTACATGTATTTTACTTTTTGATCAGAAACATCTTTTGGGTTTCCCATTGTATAGCATGAACGCTACCATTCTTTTCTATAATAGTGAAGGGCACCCATCTCTTATCCGCAATTCCTCCTATACCATTGAATGAAACTAAATACTACTTTCACAGATTCTTTATTACATGATATCATTGTGGACATCCTATTTTACTTTTTGATATGACACTTACGCGGTAATTATTCCGGGCCTTCCAGAACAAAACTTGGACTTCACCATTATAATCATATGGGAGGTGGGGGTATCATTTAGTGAGCTCAGTGCTCACAGTACCTGTAATCAAATCTTCAATGCATCCCAATGATCAAGCTTCACAAGATTTGATAACATAATTATGACCAACTGTATTTGTATCCTAGGCATATGGATATTTAGAATTTCATTTCTAATATCATACATTGTATACCTAACTATCAGGTATTAATGATATTAATTTATGTCTATACAATTATAATATGTTTCATTTTCCCAGGTAGAACTTTTGAGAGTCAGGCTTCATTGATCAAAGAAAAGGAGACCCCCAGCCCCGGGGTTTTGTCCAGTGGTGAGGAAGATGGGGGTACAGTGAGTCCTGAGAGGGTCAGGCCAGACGTAGCTCAGGGTGAGGTGAGGGGGTCCCAGGAGTCCCTTACCCCCTCTAACACAGGGTCACAGCAGCAGCTGGTGTTTGAGAACAGGGCGTACGACCAGGAGGAGAAGATGTCGTCCACAGAGGAGGGGTTGTCTGTACGCAGCGAGAGCTTGTTACCGGGGGCAGAGGATGATGTAAGGAAGGGTTCTGTTTTGTTATTTGTTTGTTTAATGTCATTTTGAAAATGTTTCAATCAAATTAAAATGTGTTAAGTTGGTTTATAGGGTATTATCTGAATGACTTGTCTCCACATGCCTCCCACAGTGGGATTCAAACTTTATATTGTGACTCTAAACAAAATTCTGTACCACTGTGCCATGTGGGTGACTTGCTTTTTTTGTGAAACATGGCATTAGGGCTGGGCAAAAATATCTGTATTTCGGTATACATGTATTGCAATACAATGACAAAAAAATATCGTATCGCAATACATTTTTGTAATATCGATATACCAGCAAAATTCTTTGAGTAAGGAATTTTATCTTAGAATGTAAGAGCAAATGTTAGGAATGTTGTAGTTAAGCCAAACAATAAGACAGGGACTGTTTTATAGGGGTATTTCATAGCATAAATTTAATAAAACCGACAAGATTTTTTTTTATTTTGCTAGTTTATCATAGCTATGTAGATTCTGCATGTAAATTAAAGTTAATATAAAGAGAAAATGCCATTTTAATAATGTAAAAAATATTGCAATATTTATCGCAATACTGTTAAAAATATCTCAGTATATCGCAATACGAAATCTTTAGTCAATAGCCAGCCCTACATGGCACATACCGGTAAATGATAAGTTGAAGAATTGGTTTGTGACAAGCTGCAAATGCTCATGAATCTTGCAAACATATTTTGCTTAAATACAGAATTTGATTTAGAGTATATTTTTACAGATAGATTGATATGAAAAGTAAAAATTAATATGCTTGTTGTTTACCAAAAAAAGCTTGATTTATTAATCTTGTACCGGGTAATATTAAATTCTTGTCATGTATAACAATTTATTAAATAAAATAATAGATGTGAATTTCATTTATAATACAAATCGAGAAGAAAACTACTTCTGTCATTTGTTATTTATAAAAGATAACTATAATTATTGTTTTCTTCACCATATCCTTGAGGATAAGTAATTTGATATTTTGGAATACTGTGCAGAGTTTCTGGGTAATGATCTATTTCATTATAAATGTAGAGTATTGGGTTGATATAACTGCATACAAGGTACATGAAGACTACATTTATAAAATACTTACACAGGAGCATCTGTTTGATGTGAGTGACATGGACAGAGAGGAACCCTCGCTGATCTCTAAATGTGGGAGCCTGGAGATGACCTTCAAGTACGACCCCAATAAGGCCAAGATGGCCATCACGATCCACCAGGCTCAGGATATTCCCAGTAAGGAGAGGGGCGGGGCCAGCAGTACACAGGTCAGGATCATGCTACTCCCCACCAAGAAACAGCGCTACAAAACCAAGGTCAAAACAGGCGAAAACCCCGTCTTCAATGAGAACTTTGTCTTCAACAAAATTCCACAGGGTATGGAATAGACAATATAATTAACTGGCTTACTTTTAAATATTTTGGAAATTGTGGAATATTTTAAAAATTTTATTTCATAACATACATATTTTTGCTTTGGAAAAGCGCATATTGATTTTTTAATTGCAGATGAAATTAAATTTAACCTAAAAAGAGTCATTTTTAATGAAATTCAATTTCAATTTATTTATTTACAACTCTATCATCATATATTGGCCTTTAGTCATGAACTCAACAAATGATTAACATCATTTATTCACATCAAATAGAAAATAGAGAAAATAAGGCAGTAATGATAACTTTTTTTAGAGGAAGTTTATGAAATGGGAATGCGAATCCGTTTATATGGAATGGAGAGGATGCGTAGAGAACGCATGATTGGAGAGACAATTATTGGATTCGCTTCACTGAACCTTGACGTAACTTCTACACATTGGATCATTCTGGAGCCCAGAAGTAACCTTAGTGTATGTCTGATTTCTTCTACCTTCCTTCTAAAATTACAAAACTTATGGATAAGTAAAAGTAAAATGTAAGAAAAGTTAAAAGATCTGTAAAGACTTTTTTCTCTGTAAACAGTGTTTTATGGCATCAAGCTCTAGAGCTTAAACATCATCTAGTCTTTATAGTTTGTTACAGGAGATTGAACACATCAAGTTCATTGTTGTTTATAAAATATTTGTACAAATTGGCTAGGAGATTTAAGCTTATACATCTCTAGACTGTTGTTTTGTATTGGAAAAGACAGATATCTTGAGATATCTTTTGCTCTGACATTGATTTGTATTTCTACAGGCAGGAGACTCGAGATTTGACGTCTCAAGTCTATCTCGCAGTGACAGCGCTTCGTCCACTCAGTCCATGCAGCATGGAGGAATGCCCGAGCTCTTACTGGGTCTGTCTTATAATGGGACAACAGGACGACTACAGGTGGAGGTCATCAAGGGAAGTAACTTCAAGAATATGGCCATGACTCGACCACCAGGTGAGATAGTTCTCTTCCTTACTTGTCTTACACCTGTCTTAATAATATATACCGTAATTTTTGGGTTATAGGTCGATGGGGTATATAGGTCGAAAGGCTCATTTTCAGCCTTAATTTTTGAAAAATCCTAAGATAGGACGAACTTACTATATAGGACGAGGCTTTGTTTCCCGTTTTCTAAAGATTCTTATGCAGATACAACGTATCAGAACAGGTAAACCTCTATTATTACCGGTCAATTCCGTGACATGAATGTATCAAGAAAATAAAACAGGTATTTTAATGAGTACAGCATTTAGGCCATGCAAAGTTAATTACTTGGTTCTCAGGCCTTTTTTCAATAAATATGATGAGGGAGGGAGGCATTTTTTTTTCTTTTTTATTGCCCCCAAAACATGATGAGGCAGCTTTTTACATTGTACAAAACCCCAAAAAATGATGAGGGAGGTGATTTATTTTTTTTATTTTATTGATTTAGCAATAAAAAGGGTCAATGAGGCACCCTTGGAAGAGATGAGGGAGGGCCTGAGAACCAAGAAATTAATTTTTTTTGGCCTTAAATAAAGTTTTTAAAAAAATGTAGTTAAAACTTTTTTGAATTCTGTTACTACTTTTTTTTCTCCAATTTGCCTGTTCAATGCCTCCGTAGTTTCATACTGTTGTTAAACCAGAGGCAAAAATAACACATAAATACGTTTCTTATTTTAAGCTATAATTCATTGAAATACCCGAGATCAAAGAAAAATAATTCTGATTTCAGAACAACTTGGACACATTCCTAATATAGTTTATTCAGTTAGTTATTTACCGGTGGACGACAATTGCTTCGATGTCCGCCATTTTCATTTTTGTTCTTCAGGGATTTGCTAAAACCCGCAAACGACCATTGAATGTATATATAAAGCAACAGTAAAGAATTGAAATAATATTACCACGCTGTAAGTTTAATTTATAAATTTAATTGAGAGTACCGGTACATCCACAATTTGACAGTCATTATGAATTTCATGGCTTTGTTTGTTCAATGATGCGTAACACTAATACCCTATAACGGCACGTGGATTTGCTAATCATGCCCTGCGGGTATTAAACCAACACAGGTGTTGAAACCTTTGCGTGTACACAGTGTAAATCCTTTTATCTGTCAGACAATTAAAATTTGTTAGAAGCCAATCTTTGTATAGCGGTAATTCAGTGTACTTCTTGTGTACGGAGAAGCTTTTAATAAACCTTATAATATCAGTTAAAATTACATTTCTTTCTTAAATCATATTTCTGTAACCTGCATTTATTACTAATTCTTTGCTTGTAAAACTCCATATCAATAAAATTAATTTTTTATCATCCGCATGTATATTTCCATAATTGCTTGTAAAACTTCAAACTATCTTTCAAAACGATTTTTAGGAATTGACTGGCAACAATTTATTTCACTCATTTTACATTAAAATAAATATAAGACTTTTACAATAAAAAAATTAATACTATTTCAATTTATCAATCTACTAATTAATGGTAAAACACTACACTTGTGATCTTGAAAAATTTTCCGTATTTTGAATTTTGATACGGTTGCGGTTTTACTTTTAGTAAACGATAGCGACTTCCTAACTTCACAAGATGGCTACCGCATGATGGCCAATGGATAACACGTTGAGGAATTATTAACTTGATGAAGCACAGTTTTTTCCTTTGTCATCAACGGACATTTAATGGAATTTATTTTGTAAGAAAGCTATAGAATAAATATTTTATTGTTTACCTAGGCATTAATTTTTCTGCGTAAAATAATGAAAAAAGTTATAAAAGTGGCACAGATTTGCTCTGAAATTTACGTAAATTTTATTGATTTTGGGGCATTTTTCGTAAACTTGAGCCTTAGAAAGGTCGAATTCGTATATTGGGCGACCCCAGCGGTTCTGAGAAAAAAAAGTATCGACCTATAACCCGAAAATTACGGTAGGTAAAAAAGATTTGCAATTTACTTGAAGGTAAAAAATTTACTGCGGTAATCATGTTTCATACAATGATGATATTTTTCATGGAAATGGAAATGGAAATAATGTGCTCAGAAAAATGATTTTAAAAATTGCTTAACATTGATAGCTATCCAGTAAACTTGACCCATTAATTTTTTTTTAGCAATTTTATAAGCATATTAGAATTGTTTTATTCAAATAGTGAGTGAAAAATTATTTTAATATTATTTGCAGTGCTGCTAAAATCTTCAGCTCAGAATGTAAAAAAGCTAGGTGCCTTGATTTAAATATCAATATTTAGAGTTTAGAAATAAGTCTATGATGTATAAATTAGATATGCATGTAAAGGAAGAGAAGGCTTTTATAGGGAAAATGTTACTTGCATTCAGTTGTATAAAGGGGAACAACTCTGCACCAATAGTCATATTGCTTTTCATCACTCTCTGCCATACAAAGATCAACTATAATTTTCCTTCAGTTTATATATCCACTGATGGCTCATCATCAGACTGACAGTACATGGATTGCATGCAGTTTAGAAACCTGTAGATGGGGATTTTAGGCTTATAAACACCCATGTTCCTTATCTTAGAAGAACCCTTTCTCATGTTCAATATCTAAAGAATCAGCTGGGGCATTATTTCCACTGATGCTTTTCATATCTTCATATTTTTGCTTTTAGATGTATCTGGTTTACAAACAAGGAAAATGGTCAATTGTACATCGTACCTCATGAAAAATATATTCAGATAATTGTTTTCTCACAAGAATTTCATTCTTAGAATCAATAAGGTACATGTATATTTGTATAAGTTGAATTTTTAGGAAGGATTTAATTTTGGCATCTTAGTGAGGGTGCTGAGGTTGCCAAAATTAGGTATCGCTAAAAATTAATTGTGTTTCATTTACAATAACTTTTTTAATGATCATTTTAAAATCACTAAAATTCACTGGATGAAAAATACAGTTTCCGCATGGCTGAAACTCTATTGAAACTCTGCGGAAACTTAAGGTTACTAATAGTTTCCGCAAAGTTTCAGTGCAGAAACTTCAAGTTTCATCAAGTTTCCGCAGTGCGGAAACCAAAGGTGTCCACGAATCCAAATAGTTTCCGCAACTGAAACTTGCTGAAACTTGAGGTATACGCAAGGTTTCAGTATGCATATATGGTTGAAATACATATGGTGTACCATAGGTTTCCGCAACTGAAACTTGCTGAAACTTGAGGTTTACGCAAGGTTTCAGTATGCGTATACGGTTGGAATACTTATGGTGTACCATAGGTTTCCGCAACTGAAACTTGCTGAAACTTGAGGTTTACACAAGGTTTCAGTTTGCGTATACGGTTGAAATACATATGGTGTACCATAGGTTTCCGCAACAGAAACTGTACTATAAATTATACAATTTAGCCCAGCTTTTCAACCAAAACTCATTTTTCCCCTAAATTCTCAATTGGAAAAAAACAACACATTCACACTAGTTATCAAAGAATATTTAATGTAATTATCAACAATCACATACATTGGCTTGGCCATTTATTTTCTCTTGCATCATAAATATTTTTACAACTAAGTCCGAGCTCTCATGTCACAACAGGAGGACAGAGAAAATGTCTGCATTTAATGATGTCTCATACATGAGAGATATAATCTTGCGAGAGGAACTTAGAACTGCAATCAATCAACTAAACTTGAATTCGGTATATGCAAGTCTAGTATCATCAAGGAAATGTAAAAGTACTTGGTATAATAAATGCACAAGTTCACATCATTAGTAGCCAATAAGCACCAAAGTGGATTTCTTTGTTAAATATTCAGTTTGTAGTCCATCATCAACCAACAGAAAAGTCCTTGAGTGGTCCACATTTTTGAAGACCCACTTGCACTTCAAGTTCAAGTTGGATTGACCTGTTCGTCAGTTACTTCAGCCTATTGAAAATATATAAAAATATAGTTTAACAAAATCACAATCTAAATAAAACAACATGTTAGATCCTCTTGCATACTCGCTACACAACATGTAACAGCATCCATAGAAGGTCACGTCAAATGTCAAATACAGAACAACTCAGACTCTAGACTATTCATTCCAATAAATTAAATACAATAATTTTTGCATTCGAGTACTTGATTGGTTAATAGAATTTAACGTCTGACGTGACACTCTACAGGATGCCATTAGATTTTAGCCAATATGTGCACAGATCTAACATTTAATTTTAATAAGATTGACAAACTGAAAGTTCCTAAAACTGTTCTAGCACAAGCCTTTGTTTGATTAATTTCAGATTTTCAGCATTTTTGATCAGAATGATTTAAAATAAAATCTAAAAATTTATCAAGTGTAAAATCTCATTAGTTTATTAAAGTTGCCTCTTTTAAGGTAGTTCTATACTCGGCACTAAATGGGCTCAATCTTTAAAAATCTGCTTTTATAAGATAGACATACATCCCAGCAATGGATAGACACAAGAAAAATTATATGTCAACATGTTCACTTTTCAGCTATAGCCTATGTGTTCAGTATATACCCCGAAATGTAAAATAGTGAAAATTTACCTATCCTAGATTTTGTTGTATATAAATTAATTTAAGTCTAAATATTCAACTTTAATACCCAAAATAGAGTAGAAACATGTTAGTAAACAATAGAATATCATTGTTTTGCATGAATTATTATAAAAAAGATGCACTTTGTTAGGCTATTGTATCAAAATTAAATGTGAGAAAATATGCTTCACAGGAAAATCTCGGTCATTTAAAAAAAAATTATGGACTCCAACTTCGTAAATTTGCATTATTTTTATTAAATTATATTTAAGAAAAATAATAAGCTTAAAAAAATTATATGTTGACGCATTACTTTTCGTGGTATGAGCTCTACACTAAAGGGACCCCCCTATTTTCTTTCTTCCAGAAGTAATATATTGCCACATATTTCTGTAATACTGTTTATGTTTGAGTGTATACTTGTATTAACAAGGTTGTACATAATTTAAAACAATAATTATACACACCCAAAACCAAATGTCCCTAAAATTTATCTTATTTTACTCAAAAAAAAAATAAATAAATAAAACACACTTGTCTCTAAATTGGAGACGATGAAAATGAAAGTAATTCATTGATTCTCAGAAACTGGATGATTTTGCTATAGAAAGTAACGAATTGTGCTGCAAGTGAATCAACTTTTGTCAAATACTTATTCAAAAGATAATTTTGCATTGGGATTCGTGGGTAAGCAGGTTGGGGGAGGGGTATGTGTTTTATGCAATAATTATTATTCAAAGTAAATTTTGTAATGTTTGATTAGTAAAATCCATAAATTGTCTAAGTCTAATCGTAGTCATTACTTTTCTTCCGAATTATCACTATCAGCTTCAACTTGGCCGCCGACAATAGTCGCCTCGATAGTTTGATAATGTTCTGATGTAGCATGTATATGGTCCGTGTTTTCGGCGCGGCATATAAAACATGCATCATTCACAGAAATATCGTTTTATTACCTAATTATTTCTGTCAACCGAAAGTTGTTTCCAGCCTTCTCTTTTTAATTAATTTATCCTTAAACTGTAGAATATGTGTTTGTTGACGCGACTGACTTCGAGCAAAATCGTTACCGGATATTTAAAACGCTAAGTAAAAGTCAAACCAATATAGTTAAAAAATCTCATCTCGGAAAAAGGAAGCGCGGTTCCGGTTTTACTATTCGTAAATGACGTAGTGCGAGTATAGACCTACTTTAAACACTTGACAAGGGATAATGAAATAAACAAACTTGAATGTATTTAAATGTACTGAATATGTATGTATGGATTTGTTTCTGATAAGATTTTTAGAGTAAATTAAGGATTTTTTTCTTCATTTTACTTGTTCATCAAAATATTTTTTTTACCCCTAACCTAGACCCTAAGACCATGATTCATGATATTTGAATAACAACTAGAGGCCCACAGACCTTATAGGTCACCTGAGTATCATGTAAAGCCTAGAAAAAAAAATATGTTTGTTCCCGACCGACCCTAATATATAGTGCCGACCCTAAATTTTTTTTTAATGCTTTTGTCCCATGAAGTGCAAGATTTCATCCGGGGAATTATAGTCTCCAACTTTGCAAGCTTTTCAACATGTTCAAGACAGAAAGAAGTTTGAGTTACCTTTCTTTTTTTTAAGTCACAGAAATGCTTGAAAACACCATTTCTTTTGTCATTAATGTTACTTCTATACACTTTTTGATTCAAGAAGCAAAAAAAAAATGTTTCAAAAAAAAATAATTACCTACCTATCTACCTATATTTTTTCAGCCTGAAAGGGGAAACAAATATATATTTTTTTTCTAGGCCTAACAACTTCCACTCAATTGAATTTTGTTCGTAATTTAAACAAAAAGCCATGAAATTCACAATTTTGAAAGACGCACCTTTGTTTATCATAATTATACACTTAGTTAACATGCTTACTTTGGTTACTTAATACCCAAAGGTAGATCAGAGTAATAAAGATATAATGCAATTCCATTTTATAACCACCAGTTGTGTACCCCACCCCACAGGAACCATTAACCCTGGGGCCACACATTTCAAAATTTACTGAATGTTTTCATAGGTTTTATTTCATCTTTAATGGTTTGATTAATTCCAAAGAGCTATAAGACCCCATACCGAAAAAAGTTATAACTTAGTTATAACTTTTGTAACTAAAAAAAGTTACAAAAAAGTTATAACTAAGTTATCGGAGTTTGGAATGGCATGTTTTAAGTGAGGTATAATTTAGTTATAACTTAGTTACAAAAAAGTTATAACTTTTTCATAACTTTTCACCTTTTATTGAACATAAATACAGCAAGTACATAAAAGTTATAAAAAAGTTATAACTACAAAAAGTTATACTTATTAAAAGTTACACAAAAAGTTATAAAATAGTTACAAAGTTATACTTTAGTTATACCCAAATAAACAGTGGAAAAGTTACAAAAAAGTTATACCCGAAAAAAGTTATGAAAAAGTTACAAAAAAGTTATACCCGGAAAAAGTTATACCCAGGAAAAGTTATAACTAAAAAAAGTTATACCTATTATAAAGTTATGAAAAAGTTACAAAAAAGTTATACCCCAAGAAAGTTATGAAAAAGTTATAGAAAAGTTATACCTAAAAAAAGTTATAACTGCAAAAAGTTATAACTATAAAAAGTTATACCTATTAATAAAAACTTTCGTAAAAGTTCCAGTGAAATTATACACTGTATGTTAACCTGTTGTGGATTTACTCAGTTATAAGCTTTTAAAAAGCTACTCATTAAAATTTAAAAAAAAAAAATTTTGAAATTTATACAAAAAGATTATTTAAAACATATTAAAGGCAATAACAATTTTACCTAACAAACACCATAAAGATAGCTTGGTTTATTGTCAAATACAACTAAATGAATGCACATGCAATTGTTTTAAAAATTCAAGTGTACCTTATTTTACATCATGTCATCTACAACAGATTGAAATTTCTCTGGTTGTTTTAAAGAATAAATTTTTAGCATATAGCAATTAGGGTCTTTGTAAAATTACCTAGCAAACTGCATTCTACTCTTGCTAATTGTATAAACAGACATCATTAATTTTTAAATATTAACACCCTATTTATTTTTGATCCAGCTGTATTTCAAAAAAAAAAAGAAAGGTTCTATAAACAGTGATTTCAGTCACAGTTTCTAGCTGCATACCACCCTCCTTGCACAGGTATCCTTGCAGGTGTACAGTTGTTTATCTTTATTATTTGAAAATAGGCTGCACTGAAAGTTGGCTGAGTTAGCTGACAGACTTAGCCATCGTTTGACAGGCCGCACTGGTAGTAGACCAAGTTAGTTGAAGGACTTGGCCATCGTTTGACAGGCCGCACTGGTAGTAGACCAAGTTAGCTGACAGACTTAGCCATCGTTTGACAGGCCTCACTGGTAGTAGGCCAAGTTAGTTGAAGGACTTGGCCATCCCTTGACAGGTCGCATCTGTAGTTGGTCAAGTTAGTTGACGGACTTAAACGTCCCTTGACAAGCCGCACTGGTAGAAGGCCAAGTTAGTCAACGGTCTTAACCGTCCCTATATTGACAGGCCGTACTGGTAGTAAGCCGAGCTAGTTGACGAACTTGGCCATCTCTTGACATGCGGCACTGGTAGTAGGTTAAGTTAGTTGACGGACTTGACCATCCCTTGAAAAGCCGCTCTGGTAGTAAGCCAATCTAGTTGATGGACTTGGTTGTTCAATGACAGGCCGCACTGGTAATAGGCAAAGTTAGTTGAAGGACTTGACAGGCTGCACTGGTAGTCAGCCGAGCTAGTTGATGGACTTGGTCATCCCTTGACAGGCCGCACTGGGTCAGCCGAGCTGGCCGAGGGACTTGGCTGGTGGACTGCGTCCCTCATTTTAGCTGGTCAGACGTCTTGGCTGGTGGGCAGTGTGACTGGTAGTCGGCTAAGTTTTCGTTGAAATATGCTTGCAATTTTAACCTTTTCTTCAATTCTGCAAAAAATTGTAAAGGTTCAAAATTTAGATTATAGATATTTAGATAGTATTTTTCCAGCACTCATTTGCATATTAAATTGAAAACACTCTTCCATATCAATTAATTCAAATTCATTAATTCATCCAAAACATGGAAAATACAAGACTAATTTAAGATCTATACTTACAGGAATCAGTTTTAGATTGAAAGATTTATTGAATTTTGAAATGAAAAAAAATTTACTTTACCTTAAACAAGTAATATTGTGAAGAATTTCATGTACTCCAGGTCAGGACAGATTCAGCTCATGGAAACATCATGTACCAATATTCTGCTTTATAAAAAAAAAAAGAAAATTAATGTTAAATTATTCATTTCATTGCATTAATTAACATTGCAGCTAGATCATGTTATGAGCATGCTGATGCGTATAAGGCTTCACAATATTTTAACAGATCAGGGAATCTATAAACAATTGTGGGAATAAATATGACAAAGAACATATTTGATTAATATACTAAATGCTGAAAAATATTATGCGTTTCAAATACTTTCAATTTGTTTACTTCAGTCTTTGTCATTCGACATACCAATCAAAACAAACAAGAAATCTAAGATTCACACGCCTAGAATTGTGTTCATTCCCAATATTTCTTCTTTTTGGAATGTTATTCCAGAGGTACTAAGTATACTTTACCAAAATCAATAAAATGTTAGCATAAATATCGCCTTACCAACTGGTTTTATCTCCTTTTTTTCTATCAACACTTTCAACATCCAAACATTCAAATCGTCCATGGAAAAATCCGCGCTCTGTTATTGACCAATCATAGAACTCAAAAACGTCACGTGATCGAAAAAAAAAAAAATAAATCATTATTTAATTTATTTTAAATGCAAATAAACCTAATTGTGTAATTTCAACCTTAAATTAAAAATATAAATACCAGTTGGTGTTAAAATTTTGAATTTATCTTAGTATCAACAAAACGGACATCGGAGGCCGGCGGCCGCCATATTTGCCGCCATTTTGAATTTAATATTTGTTTATTTGTGAAAATAACTATTATAACTGGGTTATTTAATTATGCAAACAATAAAATCTACATGTACTAGTCATCTGCTTAAATCTTAATATAACTGGCAGTCTTTATTCACAACATCGTAATATCTGTTCAACATGAACATGCACATACTCTATGCTGCTGTTTATCTTTTTAGCCACCGATATTACGACTGATTTTCTTCAGATTTCAAACAACCTGTGTAGAATTGAACCATTCAGAGATTGTGTAATACCCAAGCTGAAATATTTACGATGTGTTGGCCACAAAGGTCACCTAGTACAAACACCTGTCTCACAGAAAACAATAGGGAAATTTACACAGTTTTGCACACGAAGACTTCATGAGATTACATTTCATACTGTTTATATCTCTTGCAGTACATTTATATTTCCCCAGAATTATGAAATATATTCATTCCCAACTTCAGATGTAAGTGCATTATTATAATTTACAAGACAAATATTATGTCTTATCAGGGTCTCAATAAATACGTATTTTCTAAGAGAGAGAGAGAAGGAGAGAGAGAAAAATTAATTATTCTCAACTTCAGATGAAACTTACATGACAAATATCAATTTAAATAGACAATAATATTTATTACACACTCATGACATGTACTGTGTACACACCCTCAAACACCACAGAGAGAGAGAGAGAGAGAGAGAGAGAGAGAGAGAGAGAGTTTCATTTATAGATGTAATTCACAAGATTTTATTTCACATCCCTTCTGTTGAACTTGACATGGCTGTGGACAGCATATTTACCGGTATTATGAATGAGAAGTCGATCACTGGTAGTAAACAATATTATTGTTCAGGAATTGACAAAGTTTTCTGCTGCAGTGTTTGAAAAAAAAAAAAAAATTTTGAACACGATCAAAATTCATTCAAATTAACACTTAGTTTATATGTTATTTTTGAAAAAAAAAAAAGTTGGTGTCAAGTAGTATCCATTAAATAACCCCCAAAACTTGTAAATTTATACTGGTAATGCTTGAAAATGGCTAAGTTCAGAAAAGTTATGTTTTAGTTATACATGAAAATGACAAAGTCCAGAAAAGTTATGTTTTAGTTATACATGAAAATGGCTAAGTCCAAAAAGTTACATTTTAGTTATACATGAAAATGACGAAGTCCAGAAAAGTTATGTTTTAGTTACACATGAAAATGGCTAAGTCCAAAAAGTTACATTTTAGTTATACATGAAAATGACAAAGTCCAAAAAAGTTACATTTTAGTTATAACTTTTTTGTACCTCACAGGCTAGGTATAACTAAGTTATACTTTAGTTATAACTTAGTTATAACTTTTTTCGGTATGGGACCCACCCTAATACTAGAATCCCTGACCCTGGGGTCATGAATTTCATAATTATGGTAGAGGACTCAATGCCGATTACAATCATACCAACAGTTTGACTGCTTGATGTTCAGGAGGGGAAAAGAAGAAGGGGATTTTCAAAGATTGTATGAATTTTAGTGGTTTTGGCCCCACCCCTCAGGCCCGTGGGGGGAGGGGGGGGGGATAAAATTTATAAATTTTGTTCCCCTTCACCAAAATTGGTTGAAATTGGTTGAGCGGTTGCAGAGAAGCTGAAAATGTTGATAATACTTATCTTAAATAAATCATACAATTTTAGTAGGTAGCTCGCAAAATAAGACTTTCTAAGAAAATGTTAACATCTGTTAATTTCATGGAAACATATAACTATATTATATAAAACTTAAAAAGTAGAGGAAAGCAGCTTACTTGTTAACCCCCTCCCCCCCCCCCAACCCCACAACACACTATGATCATGATAATAAATACTAAATAGAGAGCTTAACATTACACAGTGAGATTAAGAAAAAAATAGAAAATAAAAACATTAACTTTATGCTTTACTCCTTAATTTCCTAAAATAGAGCTACATAAATTATATTAAGTTCTTACTCGCTGTTAAAACATACCTTTTAACAGAAGTATTCTTCATCCTCTCCTATTAGCCTTAGTTTTCAGATGATTTGTTCAGTAGATATCTGAAATTAAAATAGATCAAGTTAGTACAGTACCGTACATTAATAACTGTTTTTGTTTTTAGCATGAGCTAAGAAAAGTCCCCAAAACCACTTGCATATCCATTTCCTTGCACCTGACATTCAGTTAAAATTCTAATAGACACATGACAAAGAAAAAAAATGATAGAAAATTGTATCATTTTAAAATGGACACACTCTGGTCTAATTCTAAGTGGTAGTCGTATCACAACCACAATTTAAAAAATCTTGAAAAGCAATTATATCTGAGAGTGAGAAAAATTAAAAAAGTAACAATTTTTCATAAAAGCAAGACTACATCTAAATTATGTTTGTTTAAGATATGTAGGCCTTCTTTGATTCAAAATTATAATCCATTGAATACTTTATTTTATTTATTCCATTTTGCATCAAAGGCAGATAACTATTTATATAATAAGACAGAACTTTGACTCTTTAGTGGCCATTGTTGAAAATTAATTAGTGATAGAAATATGGCAAATAGTAAACAGCTATAAACAGAGAGATTACAAAAATCTTATTTGTGTATCAGTCATTTTATCAAGTCAATAAAATTTAGAAGTCATATAGACGTAAAAGTATTATGTCAAATTTTCATAATGGGTCACACAGTGTGGCCCAGTGGTTAGAGCGACATGCCTCAAGTCGGGAAGTAGGTGCTGATTCTTACATCACGGGTCTGAATCCAATGTAGTACATAGAGACCACTCCCTCGGATGAGAGCAGAGACTGTGTTGGTGATGTATCCACATGAATAAAAAGTTCTCTAAACGGATATCATAATTTCTACGAGCAACAAACAAATACTAGTATATGACTATATAATATCAATGCATGCAACCTAAGAAATTGATAATGGCCAATTGCTCATTTCATCAAGCTCCAGTCTATCATAATGCAGAATTTATATACAGGTAAACAATAGCTGTTCTGTTGATATCAAGAGAATCATGTTTATGGTTAATATGATTTAAAAGTGATTTCTGATATTTAGAAACTGCATGGTGCAGCACCATATTGAATATTTGAAGCCCAAGGTACAAAAGTATTTCTAATGAAGAATTAAACCATGCACACTAAATCAAGTTTTAAGTTGCTTAAATAGTCTTATCTATTTCATATAGATCAAAACATGCATATGTGTCAACATGAAATTAAAATTTAATTTAAAATAAATATCATTTTAAGTTTAATTCATCATAATTATGCCTTGTAAGAAAAGATGCTTATGTACGATTCTAGATTGCATGTATGTTAAAAATATATTGAACCCCTTCCCCAGCTGTGCAGCACAGTCTTCCATCAATAATAAAAACAACTAGAGCAAAGCTCGTTGCAAAGCAACGAGTAGGTCTTCCGTCCGGTTTTGACCGGAAGTGCCGGAACAAAAGGAAGCAGTGAGCTAAGTAGTCTCCTGTAACTTTATAATTTTAATTTTGCATCAAAACCTTCAAAATAAGCCATTTTTTGCTACTTCCGGTTTGACCGGAAGTGACAACGACGGACGAAAAAATTACTTTTTATGCTCCCAGAGACATATGTAACCCAAAACTTGTCAAGAACGGCAAAAAAACGCGTTTTCCGACTACTTCCGGTTTGGCCGGAAGTGACGACGTCGGACGTATTTTGACAACTCCAATAGATAGAGCTTGATATTTGAAACAACTTTGCTTCTTGGATGTATTACAAATTCTCAATACTTTTTGAGATATAAAGGAAAATCTTTCGGCCCCTCTAGGCCGTTCATTTTAGGGGCCAGCCCTTTTTTCGAGATATCATTTGAAAGATCTTGATAATCTACACTTCTTTTGTTCTATATGTTTTAACAAAATATTTGCAGGTAAAAAGATATTTTAGAAAAGGTGTCAAAAATTTTGAAATTCGCGATAGGACTTTTTTCGGGCCATTGCGAGCGCCGTCGTGCAGCACTTCCGGAGAAAAAGAGTGGTATGTGTCACATCAGCACACGTTGCTCTATCATCGCTGAAAATTTCATGCTTCTATGTTGAGTGCTTTTTGAGAAAACTGCCGGACAAAGTGACCCTCTAAAAATCACTAAATCGCAAAAATCTCAAAACCGGAAGTGACGTCATCAAAACAAAAAAAATTATATCAGGTTTGTTTGATGTTCTATCAGTCCTGAAAGTTTCATAAAAATCGAGTCAGCCGTTTCCGAGAAATCGCGTGCACAAAATCGGTAAGAAAAAAAAACAATAATAATAAAAATAGTGGAAAAGAAACCTAAGAATAACAAGAAGGTCTTCCGCTGAAGACGGAAGACCTTAATTCAGCAAAAAATAAATGTACAATTCAAGAAACTACTTCTGAGAATAACATTGAACACATCCAGCAGCTATAATGACAATAAAGCTCACCTTTTCTGAAAAAAACATAAGCGTTCGATTTTCCAAATGAAAAAGTTAACACCGGATACAAGTACATAACGATATTATCCTCTAAAACCAACCTACATTTAAAATTCAGGAATACTACAACACGTTGTGTAAATTTTACATGATCGGGACGATGCAGAAAATACAATAGCATATTCTAATATTCATACGAAAAACATGAAAGATAAATACAATGGTGCAAAATACATGCATGCGTTTAAACAGCAGTTAATTATATGTATAACAACCTAAGCTGAGAATGATTTACAAGGCGCTTTTTCACAATAATTACAATTGTACAATGGTCATTTTGAATTTTTGGAACGCGCCATTTTAGGTCAACATTATTCTTACGATTTCAGACGATAAAAACAAAAATAAAGGTGCTCTGAACTGTAACAAATAACTACCTGTATCTAATCTGCCGTTTGGGGTGCCTTTCTTCAGTGTAGATTCAAAAGATCTTCTCATCTCTGTTGTTTTTCTTGAGCAAATTCTTGGTGTTTTCTTCGCCATTTTGTCCTTCTTTCTTCTCTGAAAATCTAACCAATGAGAGAGAAGCATTCTGCCGCGATACGCCACCTAGTGATTCAAATTCTTTACAGAAAATTCAGTTTAGTTTTTCGCATTTCTCTTTTGGCAATTTTTTTTTTTTTTTTTACGTTTTAAATGCAAATGTCCTTGTATATATATGGCAACAGAATGAACAGTTTTGAATGATAAAATAAAATTGATCATGGAATCGAAGGGGATAAAAAGCGAATTTTAGACCTTTATTACATGATTATGGTAATTGTTGAAACGGACGAGCCGACTGTCCTAATGTTTTCAAATAGAATGATTTAAAGTCACATGTACACATGTACTTCGATTATTGTGTAAAAAAAAAAAAAGAAAAGAAAAGAAAAAAGAAAATGGTATACAAGTCAACAAAGTTATGCTGATGGCATATTAACCACATATGTGCAACTCAAAAGCAAAATTGGGGTTATAAGAATTATTCATCAATTGTTGAAAATTTTCTACTCAGAAAAATATCAACATGAATGTACAAGTCTATTTGTTATCTAGGAATTTCCTGTCACAGCTTACAAATTGAAGTGGGGAGATTTACCAATATTTCTCCTGAAGATCGATTATGTAGATGTAAAATTCATTTTGTTTTTATAACATTGTCATATGAAAAAAAATATGATCGTCAAACATGTCCCCCCCCCCCCCCCAAAAAAAATCAGTTTATTAATAGTAAATCTCCATACTTCTCAGCTTTAGATGATGAACCAAAAAAAAATATTGGTCACTCAATACAGAAGATACGGAAACTCTTAATTTTGCAGGCAAATTTATATAAATGATTTCATGTAATAGAAGTGGTCATAGTCCTTTACACATGTCATATGTAAATTCTTCTTTATTCCTTTATAAAACAGGATTATTAATTGCTTTTAATAATTGTTTTGCTATTGATTGACTTATCTTTTCCTTATTATTGTAATAATCTCACACTTTTCTGTTTTGGACTCTAAATTAGAAATAAAATGTTGTTTTGATATAATGTACATAGAAATAACCTATAGAAAAAAGTTATGAAATAAAATAGACTTAGTTTTCATTAGGTTGCGTTTCATTGACCTCTAAATATTTTCAATATTTGAAGTTTACAATGGTGGCAAACAAGGAATACCATTAATTGTCGATTTCTTTTTGTGATCGCCGATTTTTTTTGTGGAGAAATTGTAAAATAATATTGAAATTTTTGAAATAGTCTATTGAACTAGCTATAGCAAATATTCTCCTTACCAATAGATTAATTTTATTATATTAGATTGATAGATAAATATTTAAGAGGTTTGTCTATTTTCTTTTAATCACCAACACAAAAAATAAAAACTTCTTATGCTAAATATGAAACATTCTATGAAATATTTTACATAACACATTATACATATGACATGTTTGATTTTAGGTAAGTTTTATATAGTGTGATTTATTTTTAATTTTGAATGTTCAGAAACCTTGGTGTCATTAGAAAAGGCTAGTTGTGTATACCATGTACTGCGTGTATATATTAAGCCTGGTTACAGTCCATTGTTCCTCTAAGGTAGAAAAACCTCTCAATCCATATAGAATATACAAAAAATACACCAACACGGTAGCAGGTGTCTTCGCGACACGTGTCTCCCCACCTGTGGCACGTGAGGACAGGTGCCCGCGAGTGGGGTTCAACGTAAAGAATTGAAAATTTGATCAACTTACAGACTACTTTAAATTTATTAAAAAAAAAGTTCTAAATCACATATTTAGCACATTATACATCTCAATACGAATATAATTGAACATATTACTAAAAACTATACCGCGTTTTCAGTGATATTGCATTAATTAACATCACGAAAGCAAGATATATGAAATAAAACAAAATTAAAAAAAAAAAAAAAGCCTACACATAATATACAATCTAATTAAAATTTTGAGATTTTCCATTCGCTCCCAGGGTATTGTTTCACAAAAGCAGACTTTTTACATATAAGAGCTCCTCGTGTAAATAAACATTTGGGGAACAAATGGAAGATTTAATTTTAATTAGATTGACATAAAATGCTGCAAATCCCGGGAACCATGACATCAAATTTTCAGGACATGTTTTCTTGTAATATTTTTAATGCTGTAAAACCGCGGCTTACGAATAAAATGTTTTCACGAAGACGGAAATTAAAATACATATATGTAGATACTAAATCAATGTTATTATAAAAATAACTAGTACATGTATCTATTGAACTATATATATATGAATAGTAAAAAAGGCTTCCTAGTCAATATGTATTGTTAACAAATAGAAATTATTGAAATGATATCCATTAAGGAATATATATATATATATATAGAAACATGTATAAAGAATATAAATGCAAACCTTTCTATCTCAGATTATGTTCACTCTCGTAATTATCTGTATTTCATGCACCATGAAGACACACTAATTTTCTTTTTAAACAACTTTGCATTAAACGTAATCGTAGTTTTGTGAAAATGATGTCTGTTTTCAAAATAATCAATTCTCGAGAGGGAGTATTGAGTTGGGTAATGTAGAAAATCCTTGTGAGAGGAATCGATTTTGCTTAAAAATAATATTTTTGAATTCCGACACAATATGAAATAAACAATTTTTATACATTTAATATGAAGCAAGGATCTTGTATAATATGCTTATCATTGATATCAATATCGGTGTGTGTAAGTTTACACAGAGCAGGCACATCTCAAAATCTGAATATGAACTATGAGATATTTAAAAATAAAACCATTTTTTTTAAATGTGTAAATTAATATAAGGATGATATGAGTTGATTTTTCTACCCTTTTGAAAAAAAATTATAGAGAAAAAGTTTCAGTTTGGTTTCAGCATGCGGAAACCATATGGAATCGAAATCAATAGTAAAAAGATCATTTGCATATGAGTTGATTTTTCTACCCTTTTGAAAAAAAAAAAAATAGAAAAAGTTTCAGTATGGTTTCAGCATGCGGAAACCATATGGAATCGAAATTAATAGTTTCCGGAAACTGAAACCTACTGAAACTAAAACGTATCGTTAAATTGACGTTTCATTAAATTTTACATTGGTTTCCGTTTTGCGGAAACTATTAGGAAACAATCCTAATGGTTTCAGTATACGGAAACCTTACTGAAACTTGCTGAAACTATTATATAGTTTCCGCATTGCGGAAACCATACAGGAAACTTCAACGCCAAGTTTCAGCAAGGTTTCCGCATAGTTTCAGTTTTGCGGAAACTAGACTTTTCATCCAGTGATTACATCTTGCTAAAAATAAAATACCAATTTTTAAGGAGAAATCACTACGGTATCCATGTGACTTTGTAAATTATATTTACAATGTGGAAGTTTTACATGTTGAAACATTTAAATTCATTTCTATAGTGTTCATGTTGATGTTTTTTTTTTTGTCCCTATCAAAATTTAACTTTAAATTTACGCAAATGGACTTTTTCAGATACATACGTGAAATTGACCTTGATGTCCCCCACTGGACAGGAAGTGGCCCGGAGTAAGACGTCCGTTCGACGTGGTCAGCCAAACCCGCTATTTAAGGAAGCCTTCATGTTCCAGGTGGCGTTGTTTCAGTTGGCGGAGGTCACGCTGATGGTGTCTGTGTATAACAAGCGTAGCATGAAGAAAAAGGACATGATTGGATGGTTTGCTTTGGGTATGATTTCAAATATTTATACAGATGTATATTTTTTTGACCTCTTAAACACAGTTAAGATTAATTTTTGCCTCCATTTTATTTGCACCCTTTATGCCCTAAATTACAGGTGGGTGAATTTAAAATGGGGCAAATTTGAAGAACACGGTATAATTTCTTGAACAGAACTGTGGATGGGTGAATTTGAAATAGAGCAAAATTGTTTGAATTGGCAAAAAGTACATGGAATGAAAATAACATAAGATACAAGTATTTCATTGAAATGTGAGTCTGAAAATCAATTTAATGGAGGAAGTATTCATGTATTGGTTAAAAAGATAAGCATGGAAAGGGGGATACCGGGTATATATTATAATTAGATTCTATAAGTTGTCCTTTACAATTTTCAGGTCTAAACAGTAGTGGGGAGGAGGAACAGTCTCACTGGACAGACATGAGAGAATCCAAGGGGGACCAGGTATGTCGCTGGCATATACTTCTGGAGTCTTAATCAGGACTTAGGGGCACTAAGTTCTGTCAGTAGCACATACTTTTGGAGTCCCAGGACTTAGGGGAACAGAAACATTGGTCTGCGTCAGATTGGAGAAATAAACTGGATGAAGACATCTAACTGCATCCATTTTTTGTGCTCACCTACTTGTACTTGTTAAATTTATGATGTATGGTTATGGTTGACTACTAATCATGTTCAGTTTTAGTTAGAATATTTTTAGTTGATAAGATGATGTACTTACATTGAAAGAAAGCTCTGTATGATATTACTTAAAAAATATTCTATTATGCTAATATTTACTTTATGGTAAATTCTTTTTTGCTGTGAAAAATAAAATGATAATCCTTCAGAAAAGACCAAAGAATCTCAGAGGTAAAGAAATATGTGTTCATATTGTATTTTTTATTTTACATTTCTATCTTTACCCATCTTACATTTTTTTAAAATTAATATTTTTAATTGTAATTTCATCTTCACATTAATTGGTGTCCACTTTCATTAGAATTTCCTTCTTGTTTTCAAGTCAGCAGTATTATCTCGGCTACAGTGTATTGATGACAATTGTTGTATATCTTCGTATATTTCTGTACTTAACAATGTCCCCTTTCCTAATACTCTAGCATGCTTAATCATGATGTTTGGTCCAATTTGTATTTTAAGAATCATAATGATATATCTACCTACCATAACTTAATTTCATCTTAGGGGTTGATGATGTTTTAAGTTGTCTAAAAAATACTTGTTATGATGAAGTTATGTATTTTGTTTATTTTTAAGACAAGTTATTGTTGTACTAAAAGTTTTGACTTTGTCTGTTTGTTTGTTATTTCACTGGTTGTATGTGATACATGTATGTATACAATGTAAATCCTGAAATCCAAATTCTCTTTACCTCCATTAATCGTTTTGTTATATTATTTTCCTTTATTCTTGCTGTTTTCTTTCTTTGCAGAGGCCCTTTTTTGTTGTTGTTTTCTTTTTAATTTGTTAATTTACTTTTTTAAAAAAAGATATTAACAAAAAAAAAACTGTTAGAAACTGTGTTTAGAATCTTTTTTATTAATTGAATTAATCTTCAAGTATTATTGATAAGTTTCAGATGAGTTCGTCTTTGAGAGATATAGTACTACATTGGCATAATATTTGTGTAATCTCCCTTTATTAGGAATGGAGAATTGTACATTTATCTGACCCTTAAAAATTAGTATTTTTTCTGAATATTTTTAGAGGGTAAAAGGCTAGAAATATTTTGCTTGATTTTTGTTTCGAAAGAATCGTAAAAATATTCAGATTCATATTTTAAATTTTCATTAGAAAAATGTCCCATATTTTGCATATTTGATCACACCATTCCGTTGTTCCAAGTTTTGCATAATAATATACATTGTATTACCAATTATGTTACGCATTCTTTATAGATACGTTTATTTATACATTCCTTATATTATCTGTTATATCTTTGTTAGTTATAAAAAATGTATTATTTTTTGTTACAGGTAATTATATAGTGCAAATATTGTTTTTAATTTTGGTTGTGAATATATCTTTTTTGTGGCAGGGTTGTTCACAGTTGTTACTTAAATCTTAGAATAGTTGGTTAAGGTGAAAGTACCACTTATTTTCAGAAATGTCAAATTTCATTCCTATTATATAATTAGAACAATTTTTTACATTTACAAAAAGATTTCAAATATTAACTTCAGTATCTTTGATCAATTTGAGTGGTAAAATTGAAAATTGACAGCACAGATATTGTATGTGAAAGGTGCTGATTATTCAGTTAATAATACTGTGCACATTTGTACCAGGGTATTGTCATTCCTAGGGTTTGCAGTAAATAATATTTCATTCATAAATTGTTCATGCAGAACTGATAACAATATTAAATGGAATATTCAATAAAGTTTGAAAAAGCAATTGTTTTGTTATATGTATTTTAATCAAAATAGTTTGTGTAATGTAATTTTAATTTAAACAGAAGCATCTAATCTGTTTTGTGTTAGTTAGTGAGGTTTGATTGCAGAATGACCAAAAACTCAGTTGAGCACTGGACTAATGACTATAGGCTGGGCTGGGTTCAGTGTTTACTGTTCCCTGTTTGGTCTATTGCAGTTTTTTTCTTTCCTGTTTCTTAACAGGTATATGTATAAAATTTGAAAATATTGTAAACTGCATATATGAGGCTGGAATAAATGGTTCACCTTGGTGAAGTTGGGAGGACTTAGATAATGCATGTACTTGACGTATGTCCCTTAAGCGTTTGCATTTGTTGTTGGCATATATTAGGTTAAAGTATTTAAGCTTTAGGAGCAGATAAATTGGAAGTATATATCTTCAAGGACTTTTTTTGAATATGGTTTTGATTTTCAAGTGAATATTGAAGAAAAAAAATCTTGAGAGAAATTTTTTTTTTAATTCCGTAGTCCTGCAGTTACAAAACTGAAGTTTCTTTTTATTATATTTTGAACAAATTAGTTTTCCATGCAACCCTCTTAGGTAAAGCAGTCTTTTTTCACTGTGTGAAATAGTTAATGTCTGAGAAATTGAAAATTCTTCAATGGGTAAATGACAACATTTCCAAGTTGAAAATGCAATATAGAGTTATATCCCTTTGATTGTGACGACTTTTGAAAAAGACTACAGCAGATGGACAGAAAAAAAACTTGATCACCCGAGAAAACATGGATCCAGTTTTAATTAAGAATGCATATTTTTTTTAAAGAAACAATAATAATATTTTTAAAAAAAAGTGAAGTGCACCTGCTGTGATACATAGTTGTTTTTTTTAAATTTTTTATTTATATGCAAATGTATCAACCCCCTCCCCCCTATTTGCCTAGAATATTTTAATTTGCATCCAGATAACATCATTTTAATTTGTTTTCCACAGAAATATAATATTTTTGTAAAAAAAAAAATGGCATGATATAAGATTTTACAAAACAACTTCTTATTTTTTTTTTTTAAGTAAATGGAAAGAGTTTTTTTTTTACTTGTATAGATATGAAAATTTAAAAAAAAATTCTCCAAAATAGACAAACAAATCCTTTATTCATATGAATATATTTTACAGAGAAAAAAAAACTAATCGATATATTTAAATATCTCCGGACCGCCCACCTAATGTTTGACCTGACCGACTCCGAGTTGTACACTCATTCAAACATTTAGCTAACCCTGATTCACTGAGCCGTGTTTTGTGAATGTGGTTGACGTATCGAGGTGCAAGTCAGTGAAAATGATATCTAACAAGGAACTGTTAAACTGGGAATATTAAAGAATGATTAAACATGAGCAATGTAAAAGTAGCTGTCCGTGTTCGACCACTAAGTCAACGGTAAGTCGACTTTCATACTTTTTCTGAAGAGTTTGCAACTTGCAACCATACTTTTGAAGAAAAAAAGTTTTCAAGAGATCGATTAAAAATCTGTGTTTAATTTTATTGGATGTAAATATTCTTAGAGATAACTTTTGCTTTTAATTCTGCTTTCTGTTTCTAGAGAAAAGGATGGCAACAGCAGGTCTATCGTGGAGGTACACGGCGACAGCCTCAGTATCCTTAACGCGAAGGTAGGCGTGGATCTAAGATTTTGTGGTGTATCAGTACATGCATATTTTGCCGAGGATTGATTCCCTAGTCCCCTGTTTTCTACAATGGATTTTACATATTTTTACCGTTTTGTTTGATTTTGTGCACTATTGGATTATGTATTTTGAACAGATTAATTTGAATAGATGATGCCATGTGTTGACCAGTACGTGCCCCCAAGGTTTATTTTAATGAGAATATTACGAGTATTTTTTTCTAGAGGGTAGATAGTCCAAAGCTCAGAGCACATGCCTTTTTACAGCTCATGTGTATCTCATTAACCCCATGCTGTGGGACAGCTGGCAGATTCACTGCTAACACAGATCTCAAACAGCTGATATAGACAGTCAATTGTATTGTACATCTGACAGACGGATAGAAATATACCCTCTTCCTTTTTTCATATAGCGGCAAAAATAGCTATTTTCCTTATAACTGATTTGAAATGTTTTAAAGCAGGACCTGTGATTTAAAATTCTGCATAATACAAAGTAAAAAAAAAAAATTATTTTACTTGTATCATTTCATTTAGCATGTTTAGTTCTTCCATTTAAATATTTTGAATGAGTAATTTATTAACAATATTGTTATTTTTAAAAAGTCTTATAAATAGATGAATTATACATTACACCCATACATGTGCAAGTATAAACATGCATATTTTATGTAGGTTTTAGTAATTTTAAATACAAGTGAATATGCACTGCAAAATGAAGATACACTTAAAAAAACATGTAAAAATAAGATTAATGCACTAAATTTCTTATGACACATATTTGACAGCTGATTTAAAAGGATAATAAACCATAAATACTTTGGATTGTCCCTTCAGCCTTTCCTTAGGGAGATTCGTGGGAAAAAAATGTAATTAAGATTTAAAAATGCATGATGTTTTGAATCTTATTATATACTTTAATAGCAATCCCAAATTCTTCTTTTGTTTTCAACAAAAAGGCATTTTCAACAAATAGTTAAATGTGTTTATGACCAAAACTGGATTGGTTTCAAAAGCATGTCAAAAAATTGGCAAATAACTATTAAACCATTCAAAACGTACAATCTAGCATCTGATTAAATCAAATGGCTTTGAAGGTTTGATATTTTGTTGGTAATCTATCATGATAAGGCTTATATACTGTTAAGTTAGTCAGAACTAGTCAGAAATGAACTTGAAATAATAAATTTAATACGTTATAAAACTGTGAATGAACACTGATTATAGAATAAAGGTTTAATCCCGCTAGACAAATAGGTTTTTCTAACAATTAACTTTGTAGTGTAAGGTTTTAGAAAAATTAAATGCACAAGACAAGAGGGTTATTATAGAAAGATTAAAACAAATCTTACTGAAACTCTAAAGTGTTTTTAATACTGCACTGATTTTTAATAGATATGACTTGCAATTTTATAACTTGAGTATTCAGATAGAAATAACTTAATTAAACTGTGCTGGCAGCTTAGTACAATACGTAAATATTTTTAGCTTCCAAAAAAATTGTCAATATTCTGCAGTTCTAATACATCAGAGAATTTTATATTTGCTCTTATTTTTTACAAGTTTTAAGGACCAACAATAATTCAACACATACTGTTAGCATTTGTATGCCTTTACAATACATAGATTTATCAATATTTGTGTCGTGCATTAGTGCATGCACTCTGGGTTTAAAAAACACCAGAAAGAAGATGTAAACTTATATATTAAATATTCCATTATTCCAATGCATCATAAATACATTTGAATAATAGACTTTATAAATAGTGAAATATTAAACTTGGTCCAATTTCGTCATATGAGTCATATGTTTAACAGCTGTAGAATTGATTTCAGGTGGATCAGTATTCTGAATATGGAGACAGCAGAGAGAAGATCAAGCATTTCACATTTGACTACTGTTACGATTCCAGCGGGGCTCCACAGTCCCCCGGGTATGCCTCACAACAGCTGGTAAGTGTCCTATAGCTCCCATCCCCCCACCCACCCCCCATCACCCACTCTCAGCCCATCCCATCCAAGCTGAACCCACCTACCCTGCCCTTAAATACACACAGCGTAGTAAGTGTTCTAACTATAGCCCATATCCTTGAACCCCTCCCACCTACCCTGTTCCCTGAGCATACATGTACACACAGATTCTATAAATCTAGGAAACACTACCCCCTTGCTATAGACCTTGCAATTAAATCTTTTTTACAATACCCACTTAAGTACACTTTTCTTCATGCAGGTCCACACCATAATCATTTCTATAGCACAATTAATTAAGCCACAAGAAATATATGTTGTAGACATGCAAATACAATATCTTGGATGTTGAGGGATTAACATGCTATTGAAAGAAACTCTTAAGATGGAATCAGATGACTTTGAACAGAATCATGCAATTTCAGTGACTGCATAAGCATTAACATTTTGCATTTTTTATGGACTATTAATACACTCTCTCTGTATCATTGATGGCTGGACACAGTTGTTTTATTTGCTGGTATTTGTGCTGAACTTTGGGATCATATTTTGTCCTTCATTTTTCCTGCCTTTGCTATATTGTTTGTTGTACACTAAAGTCATGTCCAGTGTATAGGTTTATATGTGTCTGCGGTGTTTGTTTTGTCTAAATATAGGTCTTTGTGTATTCAAATAGTAACAGCTGGTCAGCCATTATATGTATACACTCTCTATACAAGCAATCAGAGACTGTGAAAATATGTACGCCATAATCTACAAATATAAGTCTACAAACATTGACAATTTAAAGCAATATAAGCATAATGAAGTGAGGAAAAATTAAATATTTCACAAATGTATTAGCTTTAAACATTGTTAAAAGTTTAATAATAATTTTTGTGTAATATCTTTTGTTATGCCTTTGAGTCATTGTTACATATGCAATACACATCTAATTGACTGGTATTTATCAATAATTCCCTCCAAATTTATTGAAATTATCTTTTGCCTTTTGTATTTTAGCATCTAATTAGATTGATTAATAATATTGATAGGCGTCCAGTGTGGTAATATTTCACTATTTATTAAGGGTCCAACATATTTCATGACTATTTTCATCCCTCAGTAATGTTTACCCTCTATTGATATGGATATCTGGTCTTTGTTTCCCAGCAAGCAGTTGTAAATAAGCCGGAATCAATGAACCCAGCAAATCCTGGAACACATGTCCATTTGTTTTCCTGGGGGGTGGGCATCAACATTCCTGGGTGTCAGGAAGGGTATTGTGGGTTTATGTACAGTTTGTTTGGAGAGAGTGATGTAGGGGAAATCATGTCGAGTGAGATTGATTCCTACCCCAATATCTACATGAATGATGCTTTTTGCGGAAGGCCATATATACCTTGGGTTCATTTTGTGTGTTTGTCTCTGCAATTTAAAGTTAAGGATAGGTAACCTGTTATTGATACTGATTTATGTAGCAGTTTACAGATTTCTGCCATGTAATTAGAATTTTTCATGTTACTGAATCTGACAGATGTATTTTAGATAATAATGTATTTTATTTAACATTTTTGGGTGGCAACATTTCTAATCATGCTAATGATGAATTTGTTTATGGTAAATGCATGAATTGACTATTTGTCATGCAAGGATATTGGTCCAATTAGTATATTAATATAGCAGTTTCAAATTAAATTACAATTCATAAAAAGATTTTCAGTTTAGAAAGTAAATGCCCCTTGCTCCCTCTCCCTCCCCATTTTATGCATTATGACCAGTGGATACATACTACATGTAGTTGTCCTAAAGGTACATGTTAAAGTTCAGTTAACAACCTCAGGAGGAATTTGGCTGACCATGCAAAACAGGTGCTTTTGTTTTGTTTCCTGCCAAGTTTAAGTATTGATAAGTGTGCTTTAAAATTCATAAGAAAAGGGTGGATTTTAAGATTATATGAAATATATCTTATCAATAAGGTGCCACATTGTGCAGGTATAAGTGGCCTTTGACACAGTTTTCTGTGTATCAGAAAATGATAAAGATATTGCAAAGTTGGTGTTTGGTCTAATATTGGTGACTTTAATGTTCACAAAATTTCTACCCTAAATTTTGACAACTACAAGTGTTCATTGGGGGATTTGCGGACATTATATTTCAAACAATAGCCCCCCTTCAAGAGGCATTTTAAAGTTAACAAGGAGGTGATCAGCTGTTTCAAATTAAAATCTGTCTTTGTTACAATTCTAATGAAATCTTCAAGAGGAATGATTTGTTTTTCTTTTGAATTTGTATTGGATGAAACCAAGAGTAAGAATTCTAAACACTTATGCTTTCCCAATAGGTTTGATCTACATGCAAAGGTTCTGGCAATGAGCAGTTTCTCAGTTTATGTTTTCATCAAACTGATAAAGGGGGATTCCTATCTCTCTCCTTAGTTGAATCAATTATGAGCATATATATTAAGTGTAGACAAATAAAGTTGCTATGACAGAACTAGCCTTCCACAAGGAACAACTCTGTCTATATATTTAGTAAGGTTTTTTTTAAGGCAAACATTGATACGTGGTTCTCAATATCCTTGTTGATTTTGATATCATATGTAGTACTTAATGTGTCAAACTTTGAAAATTGGCCATTCCTGATCAATACTTTTATAATTCCCGAGGAGCTTCTTCACTGTTTTGAAGGCGGTTGCATGTTTGAGTTATTGAATGCACTTCTGTGAATGGGATTTTTACCTTGAAGACACCCCAACACATGCTAATCAAAATCGTTTTCAGACCATTTCTCCGCATGCTAGCCAAGTTTTCTGTCACTCTGATTGTCAGTTTCAAAGTGAAGAACCCCTTAGAAGCTTTGATCTCCAATCTACCTTCCGACGTGCACATGTGCAGTGAAGACTCTAAAAAAATCAGACATTCGCGTACCTCGTATCCTGCAATGTAAAGAAGCTGTTACTGTCAATAAAAAGTTTGCCTCTAGGAAATAAAGCATGTGTAAAGTTTTCTCTGATTTTTTTTTTTACTCTATTCACTCTTTTCTTTGCACAATGTTTTATTACTCTTGGCATATATATTGAACCCAGTGGTATATATCTCAAGGAAACTGAGGTATTGTCCCTAAGCAGAGTTTGTCCCAAAGTGTTTAAAATTCTTGCGTATGATTTCCGCAGATTTATTTACGCTGATAAAATAACTTCCCATCTTTTGAGAAGGAACAATTTCGTATTTTGTCAACTTTTATCAGGTCCTGAATCATTCGATTGTAGTTAAAGGCAAATAGTGTTAAATGGTTGGTATACTTGGGCCCGATATTGATGGTTGCGTCACGACTGAACGAACAGACGCGGCCAATTGTCAGACAGCGATGAGCTGCCAAAACGTAATGACTTCGATAACATTGATTAACGTGATTAACAGTCGCTCAAATATTTTTTATTTATACACACACAGTCAATCGTGAATCTCTAATGCAACATTAGTTCCATAGAACCTATTGTAGCTGTTGGCTAATTGTTACATAATATTGTCTTTAGTTTGTCTGTATTTGTTGTACCTGGTAATTGGAGATCTGAAGTCTTTAAGGTTAACTACCTTGTATATTTATGTCATTTTTTGGCATGCTTAAGTTGGAACAGTATTTTGGAAATTTTTTTGGAAGGATCAAAGCATTTTAGTTTTAACAAAGAGGTGTTAAATGAAAGATTGATATCAAATATTGAAGTGTGATGTGATAAGAAATAGTTTTAAATGTCGTGTTCTAGTTCATAGATTTTTGGTGAACCTGTTCAATCAAATCTTGCAACTGAAAAAAAATATGATGCCAAATTTGTACAAAATCCTGTCTCACATGCTGGAAAGAAAGCAGCTAATTAACTCTGAGAAAATTTTATGCCATATCCTTAGTAATTTCTACATTAATTTTAAAAATAAGACATTATACAGGTCAAAATTTTTTATTGTGTTTCATACATGCCTGAGAAATGTATTTTATAGGTAGCTATAAAACTGATAGACCAAAGGTGAATTTGTGGAAAACCTCTGTTACAGTAATGAATTTTGAATTGTTTTGTCAATATGAATTGATTTTTCTAATGCATCAATCATCATATCTTCTTTCAATGAATGGACTCTTAATTTGTCTTTAATAAAATTCATTTGGTGTTTAAACCTGTTAGAAGAAAATGTAGACCCATGCACATGCATGTTTGTTTTATTTAGAATGTTTAGATATTTACATTATTCTTGACCTTTCAAATTCTCTTAAAAATTAGCTGTTCAGGTGAGATTTAAGGAGGGGAGAGGTTCTGAGAGCTTAAAATAGCTGTGGCCTTTTTTTTGTCCATTTAGAGAGAGGTCTCACAAAACGTTGTCAGTTGTGCTTTCATGGACCATGTATATAATTCTTACATAAAAGAACATTTGAGATGGAAAGTATAATTTATAATGGTATATTATTTGGAATTGATCAATACAAATTTATTTAGTCATAACTATCCATGTACTGGTATATAATTGAAAGGAGAAAGAATTGGAGATATTTAGAAAATTTTTTAAAAACCCATTCAATTCTGAGGTTCTTTACATTTTTAAAAGTTGCTTTAGATGAACTTGTCCATCTTGGGACACCACCATCTGACCTAGTAGTGAAATTTGTGTGTATTATGCTTGTGTTCAGCTCTCCCAGGCAGTTTCTTTTCACCTGTAATGGAATGTCCAGGTTTATTTTGTCAATTTACACCCAACTGCTACATACTACATGTCAATTCTGATTTCTGAAAAATTACATTTAAAAAAAGGGGGTATTTTTTAAAAGAAGCAAGGTTACGGATAGAGATGGGTTGAGAACATTTGTGCATAATGGTTATGCATGCATGATCTATCAAAAATATTTTATGAAAAAAAGGCCAAAAAGTGAAGGTATTTTTGAGAGGAAGAAGGGTAGAAGGAGATGGTTTGAGAAGTACACATTCGTACATTGGTTGTGCTATTATCTATCAGAAATATTAAGGTCAGGACGTACTTTTTATGATCGTTCTGTTTTGTCAGTAAACACTTTGAGTCAGATCAACATAAACAATTATGAAAACCAAGAATAAATAAGGTATATTAACAAGGGTGTACAGGTGTTGAAAAAACTCATTAACGAAAGTCAACAAATGGCATGAATAGGGGCCCCCTCACAAGGAAAGGCTGAATAAGAATACACAAGATTTTGATGATTGAGGTAAAACCCTCTATCCTAGCTTGAGAATGACCCATTGTTAGGTAAAGATCTCTAGGGTGTTAGAATGTAATAATAGGGGAAAAAATTTTCATAAAGTCCCAAATCAGGCATATATTTCCATGTATTAAAGGCATGTAAAACTCAACAGTGTAGTGTCAATGTATATCCTAGCTGGCAATGATGTTGGGGTATCAATGGATGCCTACAAGAAGAAAGGGGGGATTGTTAGCTGTGTGAAATGTTTTATGGGAATTGACATTTTATTGCATGATAATCAAAATCCTTCTTTACATAGCTAAGCCTGTTAGCCATGTAATGCAGTGTAATCTTTCTGCACTCAAAAATATTCAATCACATTCTATTTTGGTTACCTTTAGCACCAAGTTATATTTTGCCAAAATAAGAAACAGAGATTTTCTTGAGGCAAAGTTCCTTGTATAAATGCTTGATATTTGCATTGATCCTAATGCAGGGTGTTTTCATATTTTAAAATTTCAATAAAATTCAATGTTTAGCATGTTTAAAGAATATAACTACATTGGTCAGAGGTATAAATCGTGAGTCTTAGCGGTTATTTAGGTTGATTGGTGATTGATTCTGCTCGTGTGGCAGCCATTATCACTTAGTTATTCTTCCTACAGAGAAATCCCATTATAAACACCAGGACAACGCTGTACATACATGCAGAGGTCACTTATTACATGTGACAGATGACAGTGAGAAAATTCCTGTTAATGTTTCTTTAAAAACAGAATCCAATCTTGTCTATATGCTATAAGTTCCACACAGTCTCTCAATGACTAATCCCTTGTGCTTTAATGCTTTTTGATATTTTCCATATCTTAATTCTTTTTATTTAATCATGTCATTTGTGAAGAATTTATTAATTAAAAATGCACTCATTTTTTTTTGGGGGGGGGGGGGGGGGGGTTGGATGTGAAATTTTTTATGAAGCTTCTTAACAAACATAAATATTAAAGGTCATAGCTTTCTAAGTTTCTATTACCATGATTACATCAATGAAGTCGAGGAGGGCAAAGAAATCGAAAGAACTAAAATTTTCAATTACCATGCATATTGACTAAAATATTTATTTGATTAATATAAAGAGAATTTTTGTTTTGAACAGTTTATATGTATATCTACAGGTGTTCCAGGACCTGGGGACGGAGATACTACAGGCAGCATTTGAGGGCTACAATGCCTGTCTGTTTGCCTACGGACAGACCTCTACCGGGAAGACTTATACCATGATGGGGGCCAGAGTTAGTATTCGTTATAAAGTATAAGTACAGAGACAAAGATATTTATAAAGCTGAATATATGATCTGTGACTCTCTGAGTTGCATAAAAAGAGAATGTTAATTTCTGGTACAATTTAAAATATTTTAATTAAAATGAAAATATACACAAGTACATGTGAATGCACAAACAGAAAACTTGAGTTCTATAAAACTACTGGTAGTAGTTTTAAATGTTTAGGATTGGCAAGATTGTGAATGAACAAAGGCCAAGAGAATTGGCCATATATTAGCTGAAAATAAAAATCAAGAGCAGAAATAATGTTACAAATTATTTGCTAATTTTATTCTTTATTTCCTAAGTTTTATTCTCTTTTTATTTCAGGAGGATTATGGAATTATACCAAGAATATGCGAGGTAAAAAATAGAATTCCGTTAATTATCTTAAGATCATTATGGAATGGCTAATTGCAGTAATGCAAGGCATGCAGAGTAGAGAGATAGATTTCATATGTTGAAAAAAGCTCTTGCTTGCTGAAATGATTACCAAAGTACAAAGATATAATTTTTGAGGCAGACAAGAGAATTAGCTAAGTTTATTCCAGCTTAAATATTCTAGATACAGAAACATTTCGATCTTGTTTTAAACTGATACTGTACAAAGTTCTACAGGGTTGTTTTAGTTAAGAAGCTAGATGCAGACAGAAGTCAACAAGGGAATGTCGAGATTTCCGTCTAATTTTATTTTAACTACAACTTTGACCCTCGTATTTATATTTCCGTTTGTCTCTTTAAGAATACTTGATATACTAAAACCTAAATTTCTCTGGATACACGGGGTCACTTTTTTTCCCGTTCGCAACAAAGAACATTCGCCCACTGCTGCGTAGTGGAACTTTCAGTCCATGGTTTTTGTTATCTGCTAACTTCTTTTCAATAGTTCCTCTGTATTACCGTTTGAAACGGTTTTTGATAAGGGGGCATTTTCACATAAATAAATACGAAAGTAAATAGAACATAATCTTTACACCTCGTATTGTGTACGGTGCGTTTTTGTAAAAGTGAGAGGAATAATCCTTAAGAAGTCAAAGTTCCCCTATTTTCTGCATTATTCCATCATGTATTTCATGATAAAACCATTTACAGATAAATATTCTTACAAGGCCTGTGTACTAAGTGTTCGCATAGGCTTGTGAACTAAAACGATTCCTGATTAACTCTGCGGACTTAACCCCTGCCAAATTTGGCTCCAAGCCCTGTATATTCCGTTTTGTTCACTTTCCATATCTTTACAAAATTGGAGGGAAAAAATGAGAGATAAATTTTTTTAAAACTATTGTATGCTGTTGATTTATTTTTCTCATTTCATTTTCATAAATAAATCTTTTTTATAAACATTAAACAAATAAACTCCAGGAGAGGGTTTCCCATTAAACACTTGTAGTTGCCTGTATTTGTGTTTTGACATAATAAATATAGGAGGAGTCCGCTCATCAGGATAGAATTTATTGAATCAGGACAAGATTTCAAAGACCGTGTAGATTTTATGGTGTACGCATCATTTGGTCCACAGGGGCGGCTTTATTACAATATTTAAATGAAGTCCTGACTCTTCTCTCAGCTGGGGAGAGGACAAATATTGGGGGTTGATTGACCTGATGGTCAAACAAAAAAGGTTGTACTATAATTATAAACATTTGTTAGAGTACAGTGGTCATTTTGAAAATTTGCATGAAGTAATGACACTATAGATTTGTTTAAAATAGACAAAATTAAAAAATGTTCTATAAACAGCTGTTAGAGTACAGGTTTGGAAAAAGTATTTGATAGATTTGTTTGAAAATAGCTAAAATTACTGTAAAAGCATGGAAGACCGCAATTATGATTCAAATCCATAACAATGTTGTCTGCAATTTATTTCCTCCATGAAGTAGCAATAGGGAAAAATCCATGGCATTCAAAATGCATAATAATTATCTAATATTCTGTTTTCCCCCATGAAGTTGAGGAGAAAATTCCATTGAAAAACACTCATAGCTGTCTAGTCAGGTAATAAAATGAACTCGAAAAGATAAAGTTAATCAGCTGGTTACTGGTTATATGAAGCAGAGTAGACTCTATTTTCTCTGAGTTACACAGTGAGTTACAGAGCTTTTTTCTGTATGTTAGCTTTTTCAATGACATGCCACATCTGTTTTGTTAGATTCCTCCCATTTCTGACAACAAACATGAACTGACCAGCCCCCCATTATCAGATTCTACCGTAACAAACGTATAGACAGGCCTTCTCTTGATTGATATTCTAAAACCTCCAAGAACTCTGCTTAGAATTTTTATTAAGATGATAAAACTACACAACTAGCAATTTTCTTAAGGAAAAGATAAAGCTTATTTAAGCATGTTGTAGAATTAAGATTTAAAAACAATAAGTCACAGTGCACATAGTGTAGATCTGGTTAGGTTTTAATTAAAGCGTGGCATTATGAGCAAGAAAAAAATTAAGCCTCCTGTTAGTGCACAATTGCGCGCTGCACAACAGAAAAGTGTTTTTGTATTCTCCTGGGTTTCTTATTTCATCATTGTTTGTAGATTTAATCTCAGATTAGACTTTGATTACAATAATGATTATTGATTTCTTATGCATGAAATATTTACTAATTTTTGTTGACACGCAAATTACTGGCTCTACTAATTAATGCATAGAGAGGCCCTAAAATATTGGCTCTACTATTACATTTTAAGTTGTTTTAAACTCTTTGAAGAGTGCAGAATGTGCCAATTCATATTTAAGTGTGTTTATTTTAGGCATACAGTTAATAAGTACATTTCAAAGTATTCAATGTATAAGACTTTGTGTCTTTTCAAAAATTCTTACAAACTTTACATTTAATAATAGGGACAAAATCCCTGAAGCAAAAAAGTGAAAGTTTCCTGAAGAAAAATTAAGCTTTTTTTTTTTTCATTTTAATCATATATGTTATCCAAATTATATGATTAAAAAATGAAAGAATTTTTGAATAGGCAAGTTAATAAATGTTTCATTAATTCTTAATTGTCCTGCATGAAAGATACATGTACATACACATATACTTGCTTTTAAAGTAGATTTCAGAATTACAGATCTGCATACTATTTTGTATTTATACGAAATGCAATTTGTTTTATTTGATAGAATGTTTTTTCAATGTTAGATTTCTATTGATTCGTGATGGGCTTTATTTTTCAGGGACTATTTAGCCACGTAGATGATTGTTTGAGTGAAAACGTCACATTTAGAGTCGATATCAGGTGAAAATTACGACCTACATCGCAAAATTTGTCAATAATTGCCGTTAATGTTCATTTGTTTGATCAATGATTTTTTTTCTTTTTTACTTAAAGGGAAAAAAAATATATCCATTACATTGCAACAAGATCTGAAAACATGAAGAATAAACTTCAATATTTTTAAACACAGAATTGATTTTGAATAATTCAGATTGTTTATTTAAATGTTTTGCTTTTGTTGAGAATATTTTTTTTTGTTATTACAGTTATCTGGAGATTTATAATGAGAGAGTCAAGGACCTGCTGAGGCCAGGGTTGTTAAAACCCAAGGAAAAGTTTACATTAAAAGTCAGGGAGCACCCCAAGGAGGGGCCTTATGTACAAGGTGGGTCCATTTAGAGTGAGGGGGGGGGTGTTAGGAGGGAAAAATCGATTTTAGTGATTGTTGAACTGCTTTAGGAAACAATAATCAAATATGGTAAAGAAAACCCAAGTGAAGATTCAAAAGGCCCTAACATGGAGAAAAAACCATTGAGAGTTTTTTTCTGAGAAGTACCGTATAATCCCTATTAACCGCCCCGGGCGCTTAGAAAATTGCGAAAAGGGGGCGGTTATTTTGGTATTCTCTTAGTAATATTTCATATCATATTTTAACTTCAAAAATATTTTGGAAAAAGAAAATAAATTCAAAGAATCTTCAAAATAAGTACTAACTTTACTTTAAATGAAGATCATCCACCCAAAGTGTACTAAATGATTCATTTTCCATCAAGAAATTGGATAATAAACAAGTTTTATTTTCAATTCATTCAAATTTTTGCAGACTTTTGATACAATTCTAGTCTTTCTAGATAATTTTAATCACTGAACAGGGGGCCCTTATTTCCAGACAATTGAAAAAGACCTAAGGGAGCGCTTATAGGGGCAGGGGTGGTTAATAGGGATTATACGCTATCTTATAATTCAATGAACCATATAGTTATATTATATATAGTTTCTAGTTGTTTCTGAATAAGTGCTTCAGCAAAATACTATAAAATAACATATTTTCAAGGGGTCAAATTTTCGTGGTTTGTGGAAAAAGTATGGGTTCATGGGACTTTAATTTTGTGGATGAAGAATCATTGAGTAGTAACATTTGTAAAAAAAATACATTTCATGGTGGACATAAATTTGTGGGTCTCTTCATATCATGAAAACCACAAAAATTAAACCCCCATGGAAATTAGTGATTTCACAGTATAGTAAACAAATATGCACTGTTACAGTAGATATGATGTTCAGACTGAGAAGTTTTTGACTAATTAGGTTTGACTGTATTTCATAAATTGTAAATATGCATCAACCTGTACTTGCAATATAAATGAAAAAGTCATGTAATGATTTGTCTATTAAACATCATTGAATTGAGGACCAATGTTTCTATTTATAGATTTATCCTCCCATCCTGTCAAGGACAATTCTGAAATTCAGGATCTTCTGGACAGAGGCAATGAAAGCAGGTAAGTGAACAAATCAAGTGTCAGTTATAGCGCTAAGCTAAAACACGCTCTGCGGAAATAAATAAGAAAATTGAGAAGATTTCGGAATGTGACCTTTAGTTTCGTCTTTGTAGGACCACTGCCTCAACCTACATGCATGACCGTAGCAGTAGAAGCCATGCTATAGTTACCATAACATTTACTCAGGTAGGTACGGGAGATGTTCATAGAGGAATACATACTGTATAAGCAGCATTTTAAGCGAGGATTTAATTTTGGCATTATTAGCGATGGTGCTGAGATAGCTAAAATTGAATATTGCTAACAATTAATGGTGTCTTATTTGTAAGAGCTTCTTTAGTGGGCATTTAAAATCGCTAAAATTACTTCTCACTTAAAATAAAATACCAATTTTAAGGAAATTTGTGTCTCGCTAAAATTTTCACTTGTATACATCAAGAGGCACCCCCGAACCCCTGTGTCTTTTTTGCTTTTAAAAAAATTTTCCACCTAATATACATATTTATGCTAAACCTTTGTACCCAGGATTGGTCAAGACCAGTGGATAAGATAGTTAAGTATTTCCTTGAATGTTAAAAATTGATATACCGTATATACTCGCCTATCTCTGCCTAAAGTCGGTGTATTTTTTTGGCTTAATTTTCAGGGATTTGTTTGACCCGCTCATAAGTAAACTTTTAAGAGTTGTATAAATGTTCCCAGTTTTTAATATTTTTTAGCCACGATATATAACTTTAAATTATATATATTTAAGATTATGTATAATCTTATAATATATAAATGATATAATGTATCCATACTTTGTTCAATGATAGCTGTTGAAAATGTTTATAGAATTTGATATCCAGAAAATTACCAGTTTTTTATATTTATAAGTCCATAGATTTTTGAAAAATTTTACTAAAAATTGATATAACAATTATAAGGTTTAGTTTTGCTTAAATACAGCATAACATTTAAAACTTAAAGAAAAACGCAAAAAGAATTTAGATTTGTAGATATCCATCCATTGAAAGCACATCTCGCAAGTTGAGGGGCATGTCACGTTGGTTGTGTACATCCTTTGTCATTTTATCCCAGCGTTTTGTAAGGTGTTAAAACATTCAAAACGCTGCCTGATTGCAGTATTTCATTCATAGATATATCTTCTGTAAAGACTGTCTCAAGAGTGGGGCTATGAATTGGATTTAGTGTCTTTCAGATGTTTAAATCCTCCCGTAGAAAGGAGGGCTTGAAAGACAGCTGTAATTAGAAATCTTTGTTAAATTTAAATGGCATCTTTTCATGCATTCAGTTACCCTGATTATACTTGATATAATTACACATTTGTTAGATATGACCCTGTTGGTGTAGTCTTTCTCATGTGATGATCTGAACATTGAGTCGTGTGTTTAGCGAGCAGGGTGGGGTCAGGATTGTTAATTGCTCCCCTTTTTCTCTGAGGCCCAGCAATTATATAGAGACCTACACCATGTACAAAGAGATTGCATTTTTTTTCCCTACCAAGCCTTGTTAAAAGTCTTTATTGTTGAATCAGGCATTGAACAAGTACAATAAGTGACAAGTTGTTGGGGTTCTTTTTTTTGTTTTGTTGTGTTATTGGATTTGGTCAAAAGAGGTGCACCGTAAAAGGCGTAAAAAAACATATTGAGAATCTTGCAATACTTTTATTTATAGCAAAGAGGAATGGCAGAAATACTCAGTGCTTTACTTTAATATTTGTCTTTCTAATACAGGATATAATAAATACTTCTCTAAATTGGGTGTAAGTGGATTCTTGACCCGGTAACCTAAACTGGCCCTGTGGTATAAACATAACCCTGCATTAGAAAGGATATAGGCTCATTACTCTGGGGTAGAGCTGACTTACAGGCATATTTACAAAGTTACGTAAACTTTTATCCATACAAAGGTTGCCATTTAATTTCTGCTTTTGTTCTGACTTTTACTGCGTACTTTCATTGTTCAAAGTGTGAACTTAAAAAATCCATGCCAAGATTTAAGATAAAGCACAGCGGCATATACATGTTAAGGGTATAAAGTTTAATTTTATAAAATTAATCATTTTTGAATTCGTAGGAATGTCATATTGATCCAATAGATATATAACTCTGATTTCAATGTAGGGTAAATGTAGGTGAAATTAAAGCCTGTGGCTTTTTGAAAATGAAATTCTAGTCGTAATAATAATTCCTTGACTTTCATGAGGAAGGGTCGCAAGCACACCTACCATTGTTATTGGAACATTTAAACCAACATCAAAGAAATTCACCGAAAAGACCGATATACCATCAAAAATATTTAATAAGAAGAAATGTAATTACTAGAGACCATAATCCTATAAATAGTATGCATGTAAAGATTTAAATTACTAATAATTTTCCTATACATTTAAATTTTGACCTTGTATAGGTCAAGAAATGAAATGAGCAACTTAATTAATGCACTTGTTTGCATACATGCATATTGTTTAATTTATTTACTGTGAAATTAAAAAAATTTCCTTTGGGGTTAATTATTTATTGTTTTCATGATATCAAGAGAACCACAAATTTATGTCCCGAACAAAATGTAAAATTTCAATAAATAAAAACTTAATTAGCATTTCTTCAATCTTTAAATCAAATCCCCACAAGCCAATATTTTTTCCTGAAAGCAGGAAAAATTGAATTCAACAGAAAGATGTGATTTTACAGGTTTTCTTTTCACCGTTTTGTTTTCTTAATTAATGTGGAGGGAAATAGTGGATATTGATATATTCAGCTAAGGACACTAATTTTTTTTTTCATTCTTTATTTGCAGGCTAAATTAGAAGATGATTTACCTCATGAAATAGTTAGCAAAATTCATCTCGTTGACTTGGCCGGCAGGTGGGTCTATTTTTTTTTTTATTGAAGCAGCATCTCTCTATTTTAATTCTAGAAGCTACCAACCATATAAAATGAAATATTTTAATATTTGGATGTAGGTTTACTTATACAACATATAAATCATAGAAAAGTTAGAATTCGAAAAAAAAAAATTAAGAAAAGCAACCCCCCTTCCATCGTCGCAAACCACGGCCAAAATGTACAATCCTCTCCCATTCTGGCCGTGGTTGAACGAGGAGAGAATTCTTCGTAGCTCATTAAAATTTTGACCAAAGCGAGTAAAGCATAGTCGGAAGATGAATTTTATCACGACCTTTCAATATCTAATCGCAGTAAAGGAAATATTTCTTGCATACTGTTGACGTCAGTTGTTGATTTCAATTGCGATGGAAACAAAACTTGCCACTGACTGAATATGACGTCACAATAGAGAGGCGTAAATAAAGATTACGACACTTTTTGTGTTCAAAACGGGTAGGAGAGAGCTATATGCTGATTGAGGGATGGACTTTTTAACTGATTGAGGTTTACTGATTATGTAATACCAGGTAGCCTAAATATCTCTTGGATATTGATCTGTGTATTGGAGAAATTTGTGTTGGGATTAGTCCCATAAAAAGTGAAGTTATTTTGCTGCCCGATTCTTCCGTCATAAGAATATTATAAAAGTTAAACAGATTTAAATTCCAGAGTTCGTAAGCTGGGCGAGGAGAAAATCGCGATAAAGAAAAATGTAATAAGCTCAAATATGTTGACCAGCATATTTTATATGAAATTTTTATGTTCATATTAGCCATGGACAAGTTTATTAAAATTCCTATCCTAAAATGTTAATTCTACTGTTGTTTTTCATATACTTACCTGTACGTGGTCTTCGAGTGGTCAATGCATTTTTTTGATAATAATATATGTCATGAAAATAATTTTTGAATTTTTTTTTAGTTGAAATTTGACTTAATTAAGAGAATGTTTTTCATTCTTGTATTTGATGAGCATTACTTTTCACATTCAATACACGTGGCTGACTTGTTCCTGTTCAATATTTTATTAAACTGAGTTTATATGTCCACTCTGAAGGGGGTAAAAGATTAAATCAGTAACAAACAAACAATTCTGTTTGAGCTCAATTACTCATATTTAAAAACTTAGGAACATACCAACATACCAGGACTTCATGTGTAGAGAGAGTTAAATTAACCCTAAACCATGTACAAAGAAAATAGGACTTAGTTTACCCCCCTACCTTACTGCAGTTTTTTTAATCTCGAAAGTGAAATCTAATGAGCTACAGATCATTTAGCTCTTTTATCACATTTGAAATTCGATTCCATGAATTTAAAGCAATAAAGCAGATATTAGATTTGATAGATAGTAAAGATTTGATTAATTTGATAAAATTTACTTTTTTCTGCTGGGACCTTTTGTTGATGCTAAACCTAACAATACCTGGATATCGGTGAATGATTTGTATATTTAAATACCTGGTAAAGCAAGTATAAGGATTTGAATATCACGGAGCTGTCCCAATGTTTAAAGTGCCGGTTTTCAATGGGATCAAATTGAGCAAATATCTAAAGCGTAGATATGGAGTGGGGACAACTGCTGGAATCTTTTTCTCCGAGACAAATCAGTTTTGTCAAATATTGAGATAGCAGACCAGTGGGTGATCCAAAATAAAATGAATGAATGTAATTGAGTATATATTTTATTCCAGAAAAAAACTGTGTGCTCTTATAAAACACTCCAGACTTCTAATTACTTTCTCATAATTGTGCAAAATTGGAATGATTTCATTTAATGTGTTTGATTTACATAGTTGTTATGTTTAAGTGCATTTATTAAGAGTATACTGCGTGTTAATTAAGAAAAAGTTATAAATTAGTATGTACAATCATTTTCAAATTTCTTCTCACTGATCCTTTCAAGTTCTTTTATAAGACCTGAATTTTAATATTAAACGTTGTGAAATGATTTTTTCTTTTTCAGTGAGAGAGCCGACCCAAACTTTAGCGAACACTACAAAGGCCGATTAAAAGAAGGGGCAAATATCAACCGATCTTTAGTTACTTTAGGCAATGTCATTAAGGCTTTAGGTAAATCACTCATATTTAACCCCTATATTTTTATTTGTTTAATGTCAGCTGAAACAGCAACCATGATTTATTACTGATTATGGGCTTGTTTACAGTTCTGCACTATTTGACCTTCAAATTACAAGTTTCTGAGGTCATTTATGGCTGTAAATGTCATACAACATAGCACATCTTAAGTCTTTAGGGCTGTTGACCATATCTACCGAAATATTTATTTTGCTGGGGGAGTATTGGGAGGAATCTAAATTCTCCTCCCACATAAAGTGTATGTCTCATAATAAAATTGGTTTTATGAAAGTTAAATCACAGAAATAAACTAGACACAATGTGACATTTTAAATATGTGTACTTTCTTTGCACCTGCAGTCATTGAATTCAATAATTAAGATATTCTCAAGCAATAAAAGTTCACTGTATGTATGATTTGAGAAGAAACACACCTATCATTTTGCTGCCTCTGTCAAACCTGCCTTTTTTCTATTTGATGACAAGCAAACTTAATCATAACATTGATATATCATCATTAAAAGTACAGATAAGAGTCTGTCTAGCTATGCAAAATTCAGATTTAGAATGTTAACTATGTACAGAGTAGCTATGCAGTTTTAAATGCATGTAATTATATAATTCTACTGTAGGGATACATGTATTGATTATTCAGATCTTATTAGATACTCATAAACAATACATATGTATCTATTGTAGCTGAATGCTCCCTGTTGTCATGGAAACTTATAACAACTGTATCTATTCTATTGTAGCTGAGCGCTCCCTGTTGTCATGGAGTGCAGACAATCTGGGATCCACCCAGAGCTTCCTTAGCGTCGCCGACTCCAGCCCTAAGCGAGTCCGTCTTCCGTACATACCGTATCGAGATTCCGTCCTCACCTGGCTCCTCAAGGACAGTCTCGGGGGAAACTCCAAGACAATCATGATCGCCAGTACGTTTGACAGGCCACAGGGGGTCTGGGTCTCAAAAAGGCTTAAAAATTTGGATTTTAATAAAAAAAATAATTTTACATCATAATATATTTATTGATATTTTATTTCCTCTTTATATTTCTATTAAGTATTATTCTACATATAAAGTTAAGAAAAGATTAACAAATTTATTTGATTTTTTATAAGTTGTAATTCTGTGTGAATAAATATGATATATGCTTGACTTTTTTTTCACTATTATAGCAATTACCCCAGCCAGTATGTATTACATTGAAACCATCAGCACTCTAAGATATGCTCAAAGAGCCAAGAGTATCATCAACAAACCAAAAATCAACGAGGTAAATCTTCAGATTGTTTATATTAGTGACACTGGTCAGGAACTGGAATAGGTTAATCAGACTTTGTGGGGGGTCTGTTTTTGAGGCCTCGTGCCCCCTTGTTCTTTTGAATTCTTTGACTTTTTGATGTTCAATTTTTTGGAGAGGTGAAAGTTTATCTTTGTGAAGGAGAAAGTCATTTTTACCTGATGCAATGAGTCACCCTATAGATTTGTTATACTTAAAACAACATTCCAGCCTTCCAATGATAAGACTATGTTTATGGCCGTTCTCAAGTGCTCCGATGGACAGAAAAGTCCAAAAAGTTTTAATGTGTCAGCTCCCTTAATCCTTTCCATGGCAAACTAGGCTCTCGACATTTCCACAAAACAAGTTCAAGAAATACTTGTAATCTGACATAAATGTACACGAATGTTCGTCATCTGAACTTTAACCAGCTTTGATCTTCAAAGAAAGAAATAGATGTTTTGGTATTTTCCATAAATAAACAAATATTTTGAAGTTTTTATGTATAAACCTGTTGGTCTAGAGCACTTTATAAATAACAAACAGTTTTGGTGCTAAGTTATTAAAATATTGTAATTGCTCTTAATTTCAAAATATTCATAAATTTTACTTCAACAAATATTTCATTTATATATTTTAAAGTATGAAAGCTCCACCAAGTTTTCCTGTTTCTAACATTTTGTTCAATCAATCTAAGACCTGTGCTGATTAAACAGTCATTGAGACCAATTTTATAAATGACACCATAAATCTGCAAGAGTTGACTTTAAAGACGTTGTTTTGTAGGCTATGGTAGAAAAACTTGTGAAAACCTAAACAATTTACAGGCATTTAACAAACTTCATAATCGAGAAAGCGGTCGTTTGATGCAGAGAGGCACAGAGGGCAATGTTGTTGATGTAATTTTGCTCTTATACGTGTAAGACAAAGCTCTTGGTTGATTAGGATACCTTAGTGATGGATACACAGTACTCTTGCTAGAGTCTCGGTCTCCCCCAGCAATGACAGACAGACAGACAAACCATAACTCAGGAATGACAGATATAGGCCTGATTTATTGACAACTTGTAAACTGTGTCACTCAACTCACGGAAAACAATTGCAGAGCTAAAGTGCATTATGTAATACTTGTACATACTTGGATTTCTTGATGCCTAAAAATGCATTGGTTGAAAAGACTGCACTCTTGTGAAGAGTGCAATAAATTATGGGAAATCATGTTGAAGTATTTAGCACCCTAACAGAGAGAGATGGTTGACTCATTCAAATGCATGATTTTTATAGTTTTATCTCGATATTTAATGCAACATGCATTAACTCTGCATATAAAGTTATTTGCTAGTGCATGTTTTTTCATGGTCAATTCAAAAAAAAAGGAATTTTTGTCTTTAAAAATCTTGAAATAAATTTAATTCTTTCCATATTATGTAAATTTTTATTTAGCTTGACATTTTTTCTTTCTATATATAAGAACATATATGAGGTTAATCAAAACTGTTGAACTTCATAATGTTAATCCACATCATATCAACATGTTAACAAGCCTGATAACAATAATATGGATAAGTAACCTTCAAACAGAGGCATGCTAGATCCTAGCTAAATGAATGTGTCCTTTTTGTTTACAGGATTGTCCGCCCTTTGTTGTTTATGTAAGACATTTGTTTACCTCTCTCCTTGCCCTATCTTTTCATTGCAATTTTTTTTATAGCAGCTTTAAATGCAATTAAGTAAATAATCTTTAGAATTCTTTTTTTTTTAATTCTTTATTTGCATCTATTCTGTAGAGATTCAGTTTTCTTTCATTCACTCAATTATAGATTTTTTATCTATCAGTTCTAAATCATTTTTTTTCTAAAAGACTTTGGTATCTTTCAGTGAATTTCACCAAAATCATTTCGTAAACTTCATTGAAATCTCTAACACATATACTATAAATGAAGACAGTTAATAAGTAATAGAAAAAAATGGCAATGAGATGAATTATACATGTATGTATTATGTAATTATATGTAACTGGATATGGTACATGCTGGATGGTGAAGGATCGACAGTTCGCACCTCTTAATTGTTCATAACCTTAACACAGGGCTCCTTATAAAAATTAAATCTTTATATCCCAGATGACCACAAATTGGCTTGTTTGCATGCACACAATGATAATGTTGTTTCAAATTTCAAGTAGTTTTATACAAGTTTTGTATGTACATGTATATACCTGGTAGCTATCTCATTATGTAGGTATATGGATCTATACATAAATTAATTTTCCCTTTGTATTCAGTTACATGTCATGATGTGTATTCTGACAATTATTTACTCTCAGCTTTATTTTGTAGAAGATCGAGTCATTTTGTCATTAATGCAACATATTTTACTGGTGCACACAAAAAATTTCTTTGTTTTAATATTGAACTTTTTTGAGTTGCATGTTTTTTTTTCAAATTTTTATTTTCCTCTTTAATATCTGTCTGTAGAGTTGGGAATATCAAATTGGTTGATGTCTTTATTTTAGCAATTAATTAGTGTTTCTTTCTGCTGAAAAAATTTCATTCATGTTTTATTTATTTCTCTTCTTTAGGATCCCAACGTGAGCCTGATTCGAGAGTTACGGCAGGAGATAGAGAGACTAAGAGAATTGCTCAAATCCGCTCAAATGGTAACAAAATCTCATCTTATTTAGAGATACTTAGTTTAGTGGATGAATTTTGAGTCAGTAAATATTTATAGTAAAGATTGAGATAGCATTGCTAGTTATTAGTTAGTCACTTAACAGTACCTTAGTTAATAAAATATATTCAAAGAAAATTTTAAAAGAGAACATTTGAGTTGTTGCTTTGTGGTGATTTTTTTTTTTTTAGTTTTGATTATAAACTTACAACTTTGTAAATTATTTTTTAAAACATTCTTTAGAAGGTGAGGGGGAGGGTTTAAAGATTTGACAAAAGGAAGTTAGGAGGGTTAAAATAAATCTCCATGATCATCTGTATTCCAGATGTGTGTGCATGTCTATAGCTTTCAACTTATACTTGACAGAAGATTGCATGTTTTTGAGTTGAGGGTGCGTCATGACCGAAAGTTGAGGACCTTAGGACAAGGTCAAGGTCATACTAATCAAAGATTTAAGTTCTTGTCTGGGTCAAATCTTTGTATTGCAGAGATTGTAGAAGGTCAAAATGCACTGATTGCTAATAACAGAGGGTATTTTGTGAGTCTGTGTCAAGGTCATTTGTACTTCATCATGTTAACAGGGATCAAACTTGCAAGACTCATGTCTGTACGTAACAATAGCCCATATTTAATATGAAATGGAAATTATGTAAGGGATTAGCTCTCTTTGAGTTTATGTTTTGCTTTTGTTTTCTGTTTATTTGATTTTTATGGAAGTTTTAAATATATGAATGACAGGCATTTTTCATTGTTGTGTGACCTGTTTGTTGTGCATTTCATTTACCCCTCCATTAAAAATTGCCAATGTGATTAATTTTCTCTATAATATCCACCCCATCACTTTCAGGGTAGCTCTCAGATGTCCGAATTAAACTTACTCGTTCAAATGCATGACATGATGACTGAAACCCAAAAGGTACCTGTATTAAAACAGCTGATCAAATAACCAGATTAACCCATGTATGATTACTGTCCCACTGAAATTTGTGTATAATGACTGTCCCACTGAACCAGTTCTGTTTATATATGTATATTGATCACTTCTAATTGCACTATATTGAATTTCATAAACTTAAAATATTGTATAATAATGTTTTTGAAAAACATTAAGCTTCACTTTGATATATACAAGGGTGTAGGTTTCTTCACATCTTCTACATGTATATCATTACTGAAATCCCAGTGTGTTGCTTGCATACAGTACGGTGTAGATTTCTTTAATTTATTTTGTCAGTTTCTAACATGCATGTAGCATCATTTTTCATTTGTGTTGTTGCTTTTGTATATTTCCATTATCACAGCTTTTCACTTTTATCGCATATAGTATTAGTGGAATTTGATTTCTTTTAGTTAATAATTTTAAAATTCAGTCTGCGCATATCAGAAAAATAAAATTTTGTGACAGCTAGAACATATGAAAAGAATTTTTTCAAATAGATTATGAATAACACTTTATACATAATGAACTCTTCAATATCTAGAATATAATAATTTTAATAATTATCTTTTACAAGCTAGGATACCTAAAAAAAAATATGCATGGTCTGTGAAGAGATAAGAACTTTACTTATCCCTATGTAACACTTCCACTCTGCTGCTATCTTTTCAGAGTAACCCACAGCAAGCGTCCACAGAGGTGGGGTCAGTCCTGGCCGAGAGATTACTGGACCATGAAAATATGGTCAGTTTTAGTCAGTAGACATGGCAAAGCCATTTCTTATCAGCAGAGCTCATTTCCTGGTTGAAGGAAATGAAATGAAATTGGGAAATATTTTACGCAGCGCTTAACTATCCTGAACAGCACAGGCTATTTCATGGCGTCATGCTGCACTGAAAAATATCTCACTTGCTTTTGTGTCTTTTAAAACACTCCATTATGTATTTGTCTAATTTCTCATTGCCATGCCATTAAATATGGAAGGGACAGAGAAATTCAAATTTGATGGTCAGTGATGTTAGGAAAATGTTTTTCTTATACAATTCAGGCCAAGAAGCTGACTCAGACTTGGAGGCACAAGTGGACAGAGACTCATGACTTCATCAAGGAGTCGGACCTAAGTATCCGGGGACTAAAGCACTCAAGCTCAATGGGAGTGATGATCGAGTCTCAGATGCCCCACCTGGTGGGAATGGACGATGATGTACTTAGTACTGGAGTCACTATATACCACCTTAAGGTCAGTGCTATATACCACCTTAAAAGGTTGGTACTGTAGTCGTTATACACCACCTTAAGTTTGGAATTTATCAAATGAAATTGACATTACCAGTAGGCAGTGTTAGTGTACTGTTTACATGACCTAGCATGGACATTGTGCAGAAATTGACAATGAGGATTAAGGCCCTTACATTAAAAAAAAATCTAATGCAAAGTTTCCTTGATATTTCAGGAAGGAAAAACTCTGGTTGGAAGAGAGGATGCAGAAAGGCCACAGGACATAAGTATATAAAAACTGTTGTACAGAGCCCAGGATTGCGAGGCATTAGAGACTTGATTTAATATTTCAATCATAAAGTATAATAACCGATCATGAATTGACACTTTTTAATCAAAATTGACAGCATGAAGGAGACAACTTTTAATCAGATTATAAAATAAATGTCTTGTAAAAGACAAATTTACTTAAGTCCTAAACTATTAAATTATTTAAATGAAAAATTCAAGTATAAAGTTTCATAAATGTTTGTATATGTTGACCATTTGATGTTTGTAGTTTTACGAGGCCCAGGTGTGAAACAGGAACATTGCTTCTTTAAGATCCATTACGGCACGGTGACCTTACACCCAAACCTGGGGGCCCTGTGTACGGTTAACGGGGTCGAGTGTAAGGAGTCAGTGGTCCTAAAACAAGGTAAACATCACATTTAAGTTGATAATATTTGTGTGAGGTGGGGGTATGTGTTAAGGAAGTTCATTCAGACCTGATTACAGTAATACATACTTATAACCAAGTGCCCGGGATGGATGATTTTGCTTCGCTCTAATAGTGATTTGTTATATCTGTTATGTTTACAATATAATGTGGAAAATCATAAGTGTAAATTTTAGCAAGAATTTTATTTTGGCATCATAAGTGAGGGTGCTGAGATCATTAAAATTGAATATCGCTATAAATTAATTGGATTTTATTTGTAATGGCTTCTTATTGAGCATTTCAAAATCACTTAAATTATTTCTAGCAGAAAATAAAATTTTTAAGGAGAATTCGCTTAATTTGCATCTCGGTAAAGTTTCCACTTGTACGGTATTTAAAGTCATAGGGAATGAAAATTGCTTTGCTGTAAGTGTCAATTCATAATAAGTGTGTTCATTATAAGCATATTTACTGTTTGTCATTTCTGATTTTTATATACTGTTCACATTTTAGGGAAACTTATTGTAGATAATGTAAATTATGTGAGCTCATGCATCTTGTTTTAGGAATAACATATATATTGCTTAAGTTGTACTAATATTACATGCTCAATTACTGTTTGTAGACTAGAACATTGGCAAGGATTCATGGACTGAAAATGTGTACAATTTTTACATATTACTGAAAGAAAATGAATAAATCATACTTGAAATCCTCTATCTGAAAGTGAATTCTTGCATTTGATTTTCTGAATAATTCATTCCTCTTAATTGCTATTTTTTATGAACATTGAATTATTAAAGTATGAATGCATTTTTTTGTGTTCAGGTGACTATGTATTGCTTGGGAAAACCAACATGTTCCGCTTCAATAATCCTGCAGAGGCTGCAAAATTACGGGAAAAACGACAGGTAAGAAAAAAATTAAATGTTCTGCTGACATCAGCTCATTTAAGAAATAGATAACAAGTTTATAAACTTCAATGGGAATTGAAGTGGGTCGGGCACATGATCAAATGCTGTGAAGGCCGAAGGCTAGTTGCAGAACTGTAGCTCTCCAAAAAAAATATTTTGACAGACTGGACAGCTACAGTTCTACCCATTGAAAAAACTATGTATTTATTGAAACCAAAAAAGTGTGCTGTTTCTCGATTTATTTCTCCATTTTTTAACTATCATCTCAAAATATTACTGTGTTCTCCTAACATATTCTTTCTCTGTGTCCACAGCAAAACATTCCTTAAAATTATTGTGAATGTCCCTCCTGAAACTGAGATCATTTAAAATTTTGTCTATTTACACTGCCATTTTGGTTTGTAAGATGGGGCTTTAATGATTATATAGTGAGTATGCATGAATTGTTTGAAAATCTTCTCCTTTGCTCCTGGGTGTTAAACCAACGAACTATGTACATAGTTATGATGAGGACGGATGCCTTTCTAAAATGTGAATTTCATGGCCCAGGGTCAGGGGTTCTGATGTTAGGCTCTAATGATTAAATATAGTGAAAATGCATGAATTGTTTAAGAAATAAAGTCCTTGTTTTTGTAAGATGCCGAGGCTTTAATATTTCAAACAACGTTGATTATATATTCACGAAAACAAGGACTCTGAGTAGTATGCAGCCCTAAAGAATTGTTTGGTCAAATGTTCCTTTAACACCAAAGCCTTTGAATAGGTGTTAAACCAATTTGAGCTATTAAAATTAGCCTTTTATTGTTTGTAGCTTAAAAAAGACTAATCTTTTTGAGTATACAATAACAAAATCAGTTTCCTATTTTAAATGTGAAGTTTCAGAGGGAGGTGAAACAGCCCCGCTTGGCCTTAGTACAGCCACTTTCAGCAATATACAGTGTTTAAATTGCAAAAGACGTCAATGTGGTTTAAATACGTATTTCAAATGTACATTATATATAGTGAAAATGCAAAATTTTTTAAATTTTCTTAAAATCATCTCCTCTGCTCTTGGATAATATGCTGATAAGTACATAGTTATGATGAGCAAGGATCCCTCTTCCAGAAATATGAATTTTAAGACCCCAGGATGAGGTGTATGGGGGGTGGGGTCTGGTTTGGGTCTGTTGATTATATACTGAAAATGAAAATGAATTTTAAAAGACTGAAATCTATTCAATGGTATTAATCAAACATTTCTGATGATCATGAGCTAGGGTGCCTTTTCCAAATTTGTAAAGTGTGTTGCCCCAGGTTCAGGTGTCCCTATTAACTGCCCCAGTGTGTGTGTAATATTTAATGTCATATTTTAACTTCAAAAAAATCTTTGAAAAAAGAAATAAATTCAAAGAACCACTAAAATAATGTTTAACTTAACTTTAAGTGAGGATAATCCACCCAAATTAAGCTAAATGATTCAGTTTCTACCGAGAAATTGGATTTTAGACAGGTTTATTTCACTTTCTTCAAAATTTGGCAGACTTTTGATATGATTCTAGATGAATTAAATCACTGTACAGGGGGCCCTTTTTTCCTGACAATTGAAAAAGACCTACGGGGCGCTTGTAGGGGCAGGGGCAGTTAATAGGGATTATACAGTATTGCTGAATATTACTGATTAATGGAAATGCATTTTTTTGTTCCCCTACTCTGCCTCTGGGTGTTAAGTAATCAAACTTAAAACATGCAACATATATACCCATGATGAACAATGGTGCCTCTTTCAAAATTGTGAATTTCATGGCATGTGGTTTAAAATAATAACAAAATTCAATTGTTGGAAAGTTGTTGCATGATACTCAGATGACCTACAAGGCCTTTGGGCCTCTTGTTTAATACATACGAATAATTGGAAATAATTCTAAATTAGCCTCTTTAAATGGTGTTCACTTTAAAATTATTCAAGCTTTTACTTTGTTTAGACACGTGTATACATATGTATAATGTTTATAGTTCCTGTAAAAGAATTAAGTTTTCACAGAGCAGAATACTTATATCAGTACTATTGCATACCGCTTTTATTTATTATAATTAATATATGTATATAATACAACACAAAGATGATTTTCACTGTAGATATTTGATTTCCTTCACATGTTTGTTATCTCTTTGAGCAACAAACAGATTGTCATTTGTATCTATACACAGTCCCATGGGATAACTCCAAAGTCCACAGTCTATGTAACGGAGGAACTGTCCATCCTGGTCTATGATGTGCACACAGTCATTGTTATAATCAGCTGTAAGGATATGACTCTGACTGTCTGTAGTGATTCCTTGTGGATTGAATGGTTTGTTCCTTGGAGCAGGAGTATGTCCAGTGTACCTGAATCTCAGTTTCCTGGCCTGATTGACCACCACTACTGCTTTAGCTCCTCTGTCAGACACACAGATATCCAGGTTCCTGTTCTCAGTAATGTATCTGATATAATCATAACTAACTGAATAGAGAGGTTTACCTTTATCATCAAACTGAATGGTTTGTTTCTCTGTGGAGCCAGAGTAACGGACAAGTTTTGTTTGTTTGTAATCTTCACTGACCATGATAACCAGGAGGTCACCAGAGGAGGTACTACAGACACCTAGAGGTCCCCAGTTCTGTAGTCTGATCACCTCCTCTATCTTCTCATTCTTCACAATGTTCACAGTTCTATCGTAGTAATCAGTATAAACAAGATCTCCACTTTTTGTCACTGCAATGCTAGATGGACTTTTCCCTGACTTGGTTGTGATTGACTTGAGTAGTGATCCCTGATTGATGCTGTAGAGTCTCATGGTTCTGTCATATCCACTTGTCCAGATTTCTTCATCACTCAGACAGGCCACATTGTGAAGGGATTTCTTATACCCAGTATCTATGGTGGTGACAGCCTCTGGTTCATCAAGCAGCTGTTTGACTGGAGGAGAGGATCCAGCTTCTGGTGATTTCTGTGTTGTCTTCATGCTGTAGCCATGTTTATCTGATGTTAAAGAACTTGATGATAAGGTTCCAAACATTTTACTACGTTCTTCTCCTTGGATTTTTCCTTGAATAAATTTGGGTAAAGATGGAATAACTTTTTGTGGAAGATTTCTGTATGTGTGTACGTTAGACATAACACTAAACAGTTTTGACAAGTCATTAGTGTCTATTGCATTTTCCATTGAATCAATTTCATCCTTGATGTCAGACATTGTCTTGTTTATTTCATCCAGATGTTTCTGTAGTGTTTGTAACTGTGTGTTTTTCATCTCATCAACTTCAGCTTTAAGTTTCTTGACAAGTTTGTCAATTTCTCTGTGCCAGTCCTCTCCATGTTTTGTTATGGCTGTTGAGAGATCTCCATATTGCTTTTCTAACTGACTCATTCTATTTTGTACATCAGAGGCAATGTCCTGGTAGGTTGGATAAATTGTCTCATTTAATTCATTTCTTACTTTTGTAATCACTTCCTTCTTTTCATCTAGAACTCGTACAATTTTAGATAATTCATGACCTAAATGTTGCTTTGATTCAATGCAGCTGTTGCAGGCAGGAATGTCACATTGTTTACAGTACATTTTACATTGTTCTTTGACATGAGTTTTACACTCAGGGTAGAGGGAAATGGATTTTCTATCTTTAAAGTCCACAATTTTATGAGGTTTTGAGAGATCAGCAGAAACGTGTTCTCCCACACAGGTCTTACACAGGTTGACAAGACATGTATCACAGTGCATCTGTACCACAGCGGTCTCACACAGGTCACATCGCATCACATCCTGGGCACTGGTACGGGGGTCCATCATTACACTAAAGCATAAAAATTCAGCATTAAGAAGTATACAGGTTTGAGGGCAACAAACGTTTTGTTAGAGCAGAACATAAAATTGCATATCTGAAGCCATTAAACATGCAGAATTTTTTTTTCAGATAATCACATGTAGATATCATCATTTCAAGATTTTGTACTGAATCATTGCATTTAAGAGATATTGTTTACATAGCTAAAGCATACAGTACTGAATTTTCAAATTTGTTTAAAAGTATATTTCTTACCTGACTTTAGTAATGGCGGCTGTCCTTGATCTATCTACAAGTACAGTCTCTATTTATACACTGATCACGTGACACACCTGTGTTATCTACCTGTCAGGTGATTTTACTTCCTGGTCTAGGAGGGGGATTTAAATACCTTGAAATCAATCATTCTTTGCTGTGCAGCTTTTTAAATGCACTTCATGTGAATTTGAAAGTCATAATTTTCTACATTAATTTCAATCAATTAAGGACATATATTGCAACGTTGTACCCTTCCCACTGATGATTTTCTAAAAGATTCTTAATTTTGAATTGAAGTCCCATAAGATGTTCTTATACAAAATATAAGCTTACATAAGCAGGAGTTTTGAAAAGATATAAAGTGATGACCATGCAAGTATTTTGTGAAGTAAAATGAAAATAAATATAGTTTTAGTTGGTATTTCCCAAACATTTGATTTAGAGGAGTTGTAAGGTATTACCAGGCAGCATAAAATTGCAAATACACACAACATGTAGGTCGTTCATTAACTGGAACTTTTAAAGTAAACAAAGAATAAGAAAATTTAAATAAAAACTATGTTGCTTATGTCTTTAAGCACTAGAAAAGTAAAAACAGACTCAAAATATAATGTTCTCATATTTTTTTTGGAAAACGTGAACTTCATTGTATAGATACAAGTATATATAAAAATTGGTTTCTGCAACAAGAATTTTGTCTTTCTTAGGTCACCTGAGTTAAAGCAGGTGACCTATTGCTATTTGTTTTGTCCATGGATGTATGTCATGCAATGTCCGTCGTGCGATAATATTTGAACATTTTCAGTTTTTTGTCTGGAACCACTGAACAAATTTCAACCAAGTTTTGCTTTTAGCATCTCTGGGTTAAGGGGCATAAAAATTATGAAATTCATGGCCCCTACTCAAGGGCTTCAGGGATGAGGCTAAAACCAGGAAAAGTAATGCTTATACAGGTAAACTTCGTTATCTCGACATCGACAGGACAATCTGAAAATATCGAGATATCCGAGGTGTCGAGATATCAGAGTTGAGACTCGACGTCCTTAATTTTGCACAATGAAACCATAGACCTAAACTAAACAGACTTGTAACTACCTACATGTCTTCAATAGACTGTAGCTTGTTTGTTTCAGCTATCCCTCTATATTTATTTCAAAATCTAAAAAGTTATTCACAAATGTAATTTATGATATTTTTTATCAAAATCTTCTCTCATTTTGCTAAAAATAGTTTTCCATCCAGCATTTGATCCGCGCGCAAATAGCTCTGTCAGAACAAGATATGAAATGTGCTCTATAAACTCTAAACCAGAACGGTATAAATTCGACTTCCATGATACGAAAAAAAAATTAATGCATTTTTAAAAATTATTTCATTTCATTTTATTAATATTTCATAATCATTCATCATTAATTTTCATTTCATTTTCAACGCAATATTTATTTGAATCGGGCATTTAACAAACTTAATGAACTTCAGCACATGCTCGAAGAAGGGAGGGCATATTGCTTTGCTGCTGTCTTTCGGTACACTTAGTTTCCGTCCATTTTCTTTGCAACCGTTGCACATGCTGAAATGAAATTTGGTATACTGTTTGGGGTATGATCACACCATTTTTAACAGAGTTATGCCCCTTGGACTCAGAAAAATTTCAATTATTTGCAGTTTCCGTTCATTTTCTTTGCAACCGTTGCACATACCGAAATGAAATTTTGTAAACTGATATATTACATGAATATCTAGGTCAAATTTTGTTTTGGGTATAATCGCGCCATTTTTGTCAGAGTTAAGTCCTTTTGGACTTACAAAAATTCAAATTTTGGGGGAGGGGGCATAATTTTCTCTCAGTTTCCATATCCAAACATATTCCTTAAAATTGGTGTTAATGACCCTCCTGGCCCTGAAACTGGGATCATTTAAAATTTTGTCTATTTACATTACTGCCATTTTGGTTTGCGAGATGGGGCTCTAATGAATATATGGTGAGTTTGCATGAATTGTTTAAAAATTTTCTCCTGTGCTCCTGGGTGTTAAACCAATGAACTATGTACATAGTTACGATGAGGACGGAGGCTTCTTCTAAAATGTGAATTTCTTGACCCTAGGGTCAGAAGTTCTGATGTTAGGCTTTAATGATTATATATAGGGAAAATGCATGAATTGATTTAAAATCGTCTCCTCTGCTCTTGGGTATTATGCTGATGATCTAAGTACATAGTTATGATGAGTAAGGATCCCTCTTCCAGAATTGTGAATTTCAAGGCCCCTGGATGAGGTACACAGGGGGTTTGGGTGGGTTGGGGTCCGATGATTATATACTGAAAATGAATTGAGGCTTTGAAATCTTTTCAGTACAGTGGTATTAATCAAACATTTATGATGATCATGAGCAAGGGTCCCTTTTCCAAAATTGTAAAGTGTTTGGCCCCAGGGTCTGGGGTTCCTGTGGGTGGGGATGGGGGGCGGGGGCACTACTGTTTAATAATTATTGCTTATTATTACTGAGATTAATGGAAAGGCATTTTTCCCCCTACAATGCCTCTGGGTATTAAGTAATCAAACTTAAAACATGCAACATGTATACATATGATGAACAATGGTGCCTCTTTCAAAATTGTGAATGTCATTCACTCTGGTTTTAAACATGGATCAAATTCAATTGTTGGAAAGTTGTTGCAGGATACTCTGGTGACCTATAAGGCCTTTGGACCTCTTGTTTAAAACATATGAATAATTGGAAATAATTCTAAATAAGCCTCTTTAAATGGTGTTCACTTCAAAATTATTCAAGCTTTTACTTTGTTTAGACACATGTATACGTACCGTATATACTCGCCTATAAGTCGGTTTTTCGGGAGTTAATCTCTGGTCTTAAACTCTTTGTCCGACTTATTGGCAAGCTATTAAAAGTATGGTTTTATATGAGGTCAGTCAATCTGGTATACAAGCTAATTAAATACAACCGACTTATAGGCGGACCGACTTATAGGCGAGTATATACGGTATGTAAAATGTTTATAGTTCCTTTAGAAGAATTGAGTTTTCATAGAGCAGAATACTTATATATCAGTACTATTGTATACCTCTTTTATTTATTAAAATTATATAGAATACAACACACTGATGTGTTTCACTGTAGATATTTGATTTCCTTCACATGTTTGTTATCTCTTTGAGCAACAAACAGATTGTCATTTGTATCTATACACAGTCCCATGGGTCTACTCAGTCCACAGTCTATGTAACATAGGAATTGTCCATCCTGGTCTATGATGTGGACACAGTCATTGTTAAAATCAGCTGTAAGGATGTGACTCTGACTGTCTGTGGTGATTCCTCGTGGATAGAATGATTGGTTCTTTGGAGTAGGAGTATGTCCAGTGTACCTGAATCTCAGTTTCCCAGCCTGATTGACCACCACTACTGCATTAGCTTCGCCGTCAGACACACAGATATCCAGGTTCCTGTTCTCAGTAATATATATGTTATAACCACCAGATGAATAGAGAGGTTTACCTTCATCATCAAACTGAATAGTTTGTTTCTCTGTGGAGCCAGAGTAAAGGACAACTTTTGTTTTTTTTCTATCATAACTGTCCATGATAACCAGGAGGTCACCAGAGGAGGTACTACAGACAGCTTTAGGTCTCCAGTTCTGTAGTCTGATCACCTCCTCTATCTTCTCATTCTTCACAATGTTCACAGTCCTACCCCTGTATGTTTTATCAGTATAAACTAGATCTCCACTTTTTGTCACTGCTATGTTAGATGGCCAGATCCCTTACTTGGTTGTGATTGACTTGAGTAGTGATCCCTGATTGATGCTGTAGAGTTTCATGGTGCTGTCACCTCCACTTGTCCAGATTTCTTCATTACTCAGACAGGCCACATTGTAAAACCTTAATATATACCCAGTTTTTATGGTGGTGACAGTCTTTGGTTTATCAAGCAGCTGTTTGACGGGAGGAGAGGATCCAGCTTCTGGTGATTTCTGTGTTGTCTTCATGCTGTAGCCATGTTTATCTGATGTTAAAGAACTTGATGATAAGGTTCCAAACAGCTTACAAAGTTCTTCTCCTTGGATTTTTCCTGGAATGAATTTGGGTAAAGATGGAATAATTTTGTTTGGAAGATTTCTGTATGTGTGTACATTGGATGTGACACTAAACAGTTTTGACAAATCATTTGTGTCTATAGCTATTTCAACTAAATTGATTTCATCCTTGATGTCAGACATTGTCTTGTTTATTTCATCCAGATATTTTTGTAGAGTTTGTAACTGTGTGTTTTTCATTACATCAACTTCAGCTTTAAGTTTCTTGACAAGTTTGTCAATTTCTCTGTGCCAGTCCTCTCCATGTTTTGTTATGGCTGTTGAGAGATCTCCATATTCCTTTTCTAACTGACTCATTCTGTTTTGTACATCAGAGGCAATGTCCTGGTAGGTGGGATAAATTGTATCTTTTAATTCATTTCTTTCTTTTGTAATCACTTCCTTCTTTTCAACTAGAACTCGTACGATTTTAGATAATTCATGACCTAAATGTTGCTTTGATTCAATGCAGCTGATGCAGGCAGGAATGTCACATTGTTTACAGTACATTTTACATAGTTCTTTGACATGAGTTTTACACTCAGGGTAGAGGGGAGTGGATTTTCTATCTTTAAAGTCCACAATTTTATGAGGTTTTGAGAGATCAGCGGAGACGTGTTCTCCCACACAGGCCTTGCACAGGTTGACAAGACATGTATCACAGTGCATCTGTACCACAGCGGTCTCACACAGGTCACATCGCATCACGTCCTGGGCACTGGTACGGGGGTCCATCATTACACTAAAGCATAAAAATTCAGCATTAATGAGTATACAGGTTTGAGGGCAACAAAAGTTTTGTTAGAGCAGAACATAAAATTGCATATCTGAAGCCATTAAGCATGCAGAAATTTTTTTTCAGATAATCACATGTAGATATCAATAGTCAGGTCATCATTTTCAAGATTTTGTACTGAATCATTGCATTAAAGAGATATTGTTTACATAGCTAAAGCATACAGTACTGAATTTTCAAAGAAGAAAGTTCACATTGGTCCATTTTTGGCCCTGTGAATTTCTGAAAATGAGATCTCCTCAGTTTTAGTTGAAAATATGTTATATTTCACTTGGACCCTTGGTGACTTCATATCAAATAAAAAAGACGTAATTTTTTCTCTTGTCTATGTATTATGACGTCATGAATTTCGTCATTTTCCTCAAATCTTGAAAATTTCGTTAAAAATGACCAAAATTTAAGCTGTTTTTTAATATTTTGCATAGCCCCCAACCTCTGATCTAAAATGTTGAATTATATAATGAAAGAACTGTTTCAGAAGATTCTAATCCATGAAAGAATTTTTGGATCGCGGGGTGGGCTCATATTTTTATGAAAAGTTGAAGATGCTCAATTTCATCCATTTTCTTTAAAAATCAAGAACATTGCAGTTTCACAACACCTGAGTTTCCAAACTTGGACTCTCGGAGGAAAATTTTTTATAGAAAATGAAAGCACCAAGTCTCTACTTTATGTTGATGATCGAAATAGGACGTAAGGACTTGGTCGTTTAATTAGTATTTTGACAGGGCCATTTTATGGAGTACGTGAATCTACCTCTTTGTAAAAAGTCGAAGTCACTCCTATATTTCTTACCTGACTTCAGTAATGGCGACTGTCCTTGATCTATCTCCAAGTGCAGTCTCTATATACACTGATCATGTGACACACCTATGTTATCTACCTGTCAGGTGATTTTACTTCCTGGGCCATGAGGGGGATTTAAACACCTTGAAAGCAATCTTTCTTTGCAGTGCAGCTTTTTTAAAAATAAATATTACCGGGTAAATGCACTTCATGTGAATTTGAAAGTCATAATTTTCTACATTAATTTCAATTAATTAAGGACATATATTGCAACGTACAATGTACCCTTCCCACTGATGATTTTCTAAAAGATTCTTAATTTTGAATTGAAGTCCCATAAGATGTTCTTATACAAAATATAAGCTAACATAACCAGGAGTTTTGACTATATATAAAATGATGAACATGCTAGTAGTTTGTGAAGTAAAATAAACATACATGTAGTGTAGTTCGTATTTCCCAAAAATTTGATTTAGAGGAGTTGTAAGGTATTACCAGGCAGCATAAAATTGCAAATACACACAAATGTTCTTCATTAACTGGAACTTTTAAAAAACAGAGAATAAGAAAATTTATATAAAAACTCATATGTCTTTAAGCACTGAAAAGTAAAAACAGATATAAAATATATATATAAATATATATATAAATTAAATGGTTTCTGCAAGAAGAATTTTATCCTTCTTAGGTCACCTGAGTTTAAGCAGGTGACCTATTGCTATTTGTTTTGTCCAAGGATGTATGTCATGCAATGTCCGTCGTGCGATAATATTTGAACATTTTCAGTTTCTTCTCTGGAACCACTGATCAAATTTCAACCAATTTTGGCTTATAGCTTCTGTGGGTGAAGGGGCATAAAAATTATGAAATTCATGGCCCCTACCCCCAGGGCTTAAGGGATGAGGCTAAAATCAGGAAAAGTAATGCTATCTTTAAAAATTTTCTTCTTTACTCCTGCACATCACATGATCAAACTGTTGGCATATTTGTATTGTAGAGCATGTCCAGTCTGACCTGTCCTGTGTTTGTATTGTTTGTTTTGTTTGTATTATTTGTTTTGTTTGTATTGTTTTGTTTGTATTGTAGAGTATGTCCAGTCTGACTGACCTGTCCTGTGGAGACAGTGTGGAGAGTTTGGACACAGAGGACAGTGAGCAGTACTCCTACTACAACCGCCGGCCATTCCACCCACTGTACGGACCAAAGTAAGTAGGTCAAGGTCAAGTGGGGGAGGAGGGATTAATCGTCACACCTAATGAATGTTTGCTGACATCACATATTAATCAGCCATTGTCACCTGAGATGCTAGAGTTATAGGCCTTGTTAGATAGGGTTGTAGATGCAGTTGGTCAATAAATATATCTGTTCATGTTCTGATAATATTTTAGAAATAATACATATTTTTTAATACTTTCTTTAAATTCCCTGTAAAATTTTATTTTTACCTGCTTAAATTTTGGTTGCTCAGCTGTAAATTTTATCCTAGGGAATGATAAAGGTTTTCTTGATTTTTATTCAATAATGTTGCAAAAAAAGCTTCTCCATTCTTAAGTACATATGAAATATGAAATTAATAAGCTTGAATTTTTTTTTATCAAATCACCTGGGAACTGGTTTGGTTTTCTTTCATGCAGCTCAGTTGCTGTGATATAACATCACCTGTTGAATGGTTGTGTGTAAGTTTGGGATTGTTCCTTGGTCATGTGTCTATCACTGTAATGACACCTAGGTCAAGCCTTTGACATGCCTTAACCCCTGGCATGCCTCTTGCCTGCACTAAAAATCAAGGGTTGTAAGCATGTGTTTTTGCACTTTCTCTTTTAGCTATGCTTCTCCTGAGATATGGTGAGTATCCGTTGTTTCCTACATTGGTGAATAGTTTACATTCTCTCAGGGAACCAGTTTAACTTTTAAATCTGAGGCATGTTCAGCAAAGCTGGTGTTCATGCATAATTGCCAGAATTCTTAGTCTCTGTGGCAGAAATGATGTTCCTGATCCCTGATCCTTCATAAAGTAATGCTTGGAAGCATCCACTTTGTTGAACAGGCTTCGGGATTTTTATTAAACTGGTTCCCCTAGCTGAGGTTTGGCATGCTGTGAATGGACTAACTACTGATGTTGTATGTGTTAGATGTAGCATGACTAGCATGCTTAATTCCCATGTTTAATTATAGTGTATTTGGATTTGCAGCTTCTTCTATGCTGGACTCTGTTGTCAAATCTACAATACTGCGCCATAATTATATGATCTAGTTCTGTGTAAAAATGCATTGCCAAGTTGTATTTCAGCGGTTCAATGAAATTTATTCAAAAATGTAAAAATCAATTCAGCACTTTTATTGTTAATTGTGTCTATTCAGTCTATCTATAGACCCTGTTAGCAGAGCAGGGATTTGCCTAGAGGTTAAAAATTAACCCAATTTTTCAACCCCAGAAAGTAGTTTTGACTTTTCAATAACAATTTTAATTTCAAAATGTTTATAAATGTGATTATTTTCATTATAAAATACAGGTATAGTTTCTGCACAAATGTGATTTTGGTTATATTTTTCATCTAAATGTAGTATTTAGCAGAGCACCTATTAATATGATTCAAATTTCAGCCCAACCAAAAAAAAATTAGTTTTAGGATCTGTTTTATGGATGTCCAGATGAGAACTGACCAATGAAATTGTTTTAATGAAAGCTTAAATTTAACTTGTAGATGTTATCAGCCATATTAATGCCTTCTCTCTATGATTATCACAGCTTTGTATTCTCCAAAGCAGCTTTTGCTGGCTCTGCTTGCGAAAAAAAAATATTTCTGTCGTAAAAAAAAAAATTAGCTAGTTTTACTTCCCTGTTCATTCATAAGAAATGTGACTCATGCAATCACTAGAATATACAAGAGAACTTTTTTTTGCATTTTAATTATGTTGCATACGAAATATTAAAGTTTGTTTTGTATGTACAAGTAGATGTAAATTGTCAATTTCTTTTTTTCAGTCTGCAGTTGGAAAGGCAATACAGAAATGAATCAGAGAGAATTAATCAGGCAAAGTAAGTAGACATAATCCTTTATATAATCAAATTTGTATTTCTGCAGGATCGTTGTTGTAATCAGAATTGATCTCCTGTGACAAGGACATATTTTTACTCAGTTGGTAAAAGCTATCCCATCTTTTGATTACTCTACAACATTGATTAAAAATCAGAAGTTTACCAGCTGTCAGCAATCTGAATGGGAAGACATATTAGGGTTATAATGAAAATAGAACAAGTCTGACACAGTTGACAAGTTAATGTTGACCCTCGATATCTTGACCAAGGGCACACCAAGGTCCATTTCAGGACAGTGGGGCACCTTGATATTTTTTTTAAATTTCAGTATTCCAAATACTGACTTAGATTTATTTATCAGGCAGATTTAATCAGCACACTCCCAATACATATGTAATGTGTATTGGGAATGCCAACTAGAAATATCTTATTGCGATAGTTTAAATTCTGCTGTATCCATTTAAAATATTTTAAAAAGGGGTACCAGGTATTTTATTACATGTTAACCGATAAAGCTTCATTGGACCCTCTGAAGTAAAATTCTTCAGGTTTCGTGCCAAATTTTCTCCCGCAGGTCATCAAATTCACAAATCCCTGTCTCGTACCTTTGTAATCAGTCCTTAAGCTTCCTAACCCACAGACTTATTTATGATAACTGAATGTACCTCTAAAATCCTTCAAGTGTTGACTTGGGGGCTTTTGATTTATGGAATTGTTAATTGATATTTCTGAGGCCTGTATATACTTGGATCAAGGGTTATTCTGGAGGTGTTAATGATAGGTGTTTATATCTGGACTTAATGGCATTGGTGATTGGTTTGAGACACATCAATTAGTGTCTCTGTCTGTGGACATATGAAATCAGCTGTGAGTGAGGATCAGGGTTTTAATTGGGAGGATTATTGGAGGATCTTGTCTAGTTACCCCCCAGTATTAGGAGTATAGGTGCTGCGGGGGTCAGGAGATCATGATAAGGAGACTACTAGCAGTGGGATGTGCCACCTCCTTACCAGTGATGGTGATGCTGACCAGGTAAATAGTTATCAGTACACATCAGTGATTACATACATCATTATCATAGGCAGGACTTTCTTACCCAGAATCTATTCATCATCTGTGCAGAATGCCCAGGAAATTCCTAATAAGATTTGCAAAATAAATTTCTATAAACTCAGAGATGATATACACTATTAGGATGATTTTTGTTTTGTCAAGAGAACAATGTTGAAAACATACATTTATGCTGATATATAGTACTTTAATTTATCTGCAAGTGTCAATGACAATTTTTAGATAATATCTAATTCTCTCTGAAATACTTTTAACATCTTGCAAGATAAGCAGTTTAAAGTCGGTCATAAAAAAGGGACACATGTAACCAAAATCTAGAGTGATAAATTGACCATTTTAAAAGGCTGGCATTGTCCTAAAGTGATAAACTGTGTCGATTGGTTTTCTTGCCCACACATTATACAAAGATGAATTGTTGTGTAAACATTCTTCCCCGTTTTATTATGGTATAGGTGATTTTTACCTGTTCGGTGAAGTTATCCAGGTATAGAGTACAGGTGTGGAAGTCATATCTCAGTACTACAATATTGATGCCATGCAGTGCTTAGTGTCTACATAGAACTAATCAATACACAGTGTATGATAGTGGAAGTCTGTGTTTTGTTATGTCAGGAATCTACCCTGTTCTTATATTGTTTGACATGATATGGAGCTCAAATGGTCAGAGATTTAGTGTAGACTGTAGGATTCTCTTGAAGACATAGGAGATTCAGGAATTGTGAGTAATTTTGGGGTGATTTGATTCCCTAATGTGTTTTATCGCAGAGCACATTTTGTGTCAGTAATTGGTGAATACTTGTTGTTGGCAAAATATTGACTGAACCTCGTGCAGTTGCATTGATCTGAATTATTTGATTTGTGATTACTCTTTTCGTTTATGTTTTGTTGACTTTTGAATATTTTAATAGGGAGTGATATGTCACACTGTATTATAAAAATGACAAAAGTATTGCTATGGCAAATTCAAAAAGTGATAATTTATTTATTTGTTAAATGCTTTCCACCAAAGGATTTGATGAAAAGAACAATAGTTTAAAAAGTATTTGTTAAGCTTAATGATGTAATGGTTTGGGGATGAGCATGTTAAAAATTGTACATTTTTCAGTTAAATACTCTTAGGAAGGAAATTTTGGTATGCCAGAGCACATTCATTATCATGTAATTGAAGTATATATAGACATCAAGCTTGTACTGGAAGTAATATTTAGGAATTGGACATCTTTGTTCACAGGATCCTACAAATATGTTTGAAAAAGACTGTATAAAATATAATTTGTTTTTTTCCCCAGAAAAGAGCTGGAGCAGCTGCGAGATGAACACCAGAGAGCCGAGGAACTGAGACGCGAGAGAGAGGAGGAATTGTACAGGATTCACGAGGAGCATCGAGCCGAGATACAGCGAGATCTGGAGAGAGCTGCCAAGATGAAGGAGGAGACTGAAGCTCAGCGAGATAAGGCTGAGGCTGAGATCGAGTATGCTCGCGAGTGTCTACAGAAGGAAAAAGAAGCCTGTAAGTGAAATCCTATGAAAACTTATTAATATGTGATATATATGTATAGGTTTGGATGTTTTACCCTATCATTACTTTTTTTGTTTACTGGGAACCTTGATGAGTTTCTACATTGATTCTGTAGCATATGTAGCTTAAGTGCATTAGAATTTTTTATTACTCAGACAGTAGCCAAAATATTGATCTGATGCTCATGCAATCATATTAAGCTGTTAGATAATATGTATGTCAAGATTATGTAATAGGCCATCAGTGCATTTGCTTTATTTATTTTTTTTTAATTTGAGAAGAGGTTGGCTTGTGAGCTGTGCAGTTATTGATTGTTTTCATTTCAGTTTACAGAAAACTGCAAGCGGACCTGCAAAATCTCCAGAAGTTAGGGACCGTGTCAGAAGTTGTAACACAAACAGATCTGGATTCCTCAGGGCATGTTAAGGAAGCTATAAACACAGCTAAACAGTCGGGCTGGGGGAAGGTCAAAGATCTCCTCCACACAGAGCTGAAGTCGAGGCTCCAGCTGAGGGAATCCGAGGAGCGGCTGAGGAGACAGTCTGAGGACCTGGAGGAGCAGTTTGAGATGTCCCAGAGAGAGATCCAGCAGAAGATGGGGAGGATCAAAGAGGTGGAGGAGGAGTACAAGACAGAGGACGCCGTCCACTACCAGGAGATGACCTCCAAGGTACAGGGTTAAAATACAGACATTTAGAGATTTTAATACCTTCTTGTGGTATTGCTTCAATAGATTCACATTGTGAAGGTAAACCTTTCACAAAAAGAACAAATTTTTGTTTCATGAAAAACAGTAAATGTTTCATACTTTAAATACCAAAGTTATGATTACATACAAAAGATGAGTTCATTAGTGTGGATGTGATTAAACATCTTTTTTTTTCTTCCAGATGAAGGAGATAGAGGACCTGACAGAACGTGAGGAGCAGCTGGAGCTCTACATTGAGGAGACAGAGGACCTGTTAATGGTGGGAGTGGACCAGCCTCGTCCTATCCGCTCAGCCTGCAGCGAGGAGGTCCTCACAGTCCTAAGTCCCCCCAACCCAGGCTTCCCAACCAGGACCACCAGTCTCATGGCCCTACCCAGGGGAAGTGAGGGCGACCTACCCTCCTGCTCAAATAGACTCTCCCAGAAGCCAGAGGATCACTCCATGGAAGAGTCCACTAATTCTTTGTTTGAGGGAAGTGAAGCAAGTATGGACATGTCGTCTAGTGTGGGAGAGGTTGATGATGGTGGTAAACGAAAAAGTGGTGCTAAAAGTGAAAAACTAGTGAAGACGGCAAAAAATGTTACAGATAGACTATATAAAGCCCCAGAGCCAAAATTTAAATATCAACCGAAATCAAAGCAGTTGTCTAGAAGTTCAGGTGCTACATATGATACAGGTGTGAGGACAAGGGACAAAAGATCTCCCATCTCGCCTGCTAGGGATTCCCCCTCCAGGAGCATGTCACCCAGGGTATCCCCAGGTCGCCTCAAGTCTGAGTCACCAAGGTCAACCCCAAGGTCATCTCCATCTCCCAGGCAAACTCCAGAGAAACAGTTAAATGAAAAGTTCTCAAAAGATAGCAGGAGAGGCAAGAAACCAACTGATTCAAAAGAAAAGGATAGTAAGACTAGTAGTGAAAAGGCAGGTCCTAGTGCTGCCAAAAAATCACATCCTTTACCAAAGTCCAAAGGAGCAGATCAGATATCTTCAGGGACCAAGAAAGATCCTTTGGATAAAAAGCATTCATCAACTGGAGACCTGGCAGATGTCAGGAGCAGACGACAGCCTTCTACTGGTAGCCATGATGATATCAGTGGCAGGCAATCATCACCTTATGGAAGGCAAAGAGATTCTGATAATAGTAGACTCAGTCCAAACTCTGATGGGGGTGGTCGAAAATTCGTATCAAGGTTACGCCATATTGCCAGTGCCTCATCTCTAGCAAATGTTCCAGAATCAATTGCTGAGGAGGTGGAACCAGCTGAGCCAGAACAGAAGAGCACCAGTCAAGTGGTGGTGGTAAAGAGGAGGAAGAAACGTCCACAGATTGAAGGAGAAGAATTCAGGAGGCACTCGGAACCTTTAGGGGAAGAGCTAGCTGAGGCATTTCGATAAGTATACACAAGACTTTGAGCAAATGGAGTGGCAAAGAACAGGGAGCTCATGTTTACAAGGAAGGGAAAATACTCTGAACTGGATGGGGAGTTACCTAGAAAATGTTAGTTACAGAATACCCAGATCAATGTCAAATGAGGATACAGAGCAACAGGGAGATGGAAATGTTGATTCTGAAAATGGTGTTGGAGGTCAACTGGTGCCAACAATAAATGTTGTAGCATGTGATGATTTTGATGGTAACAGATTACATCGAGAGCCCAGTGTGTATTCTGAGACAGGGTCCACAGTGTCTGAAGTATCAACGGTAGTGGACACAGAGATAGACGCGTCTGAACAAGCCGTGTTCATGGAAGGAGTAGAAACTCTCTCAGATGATGATTCACCCTGGAAAGATCCTGATATGTTGGAATCTCCTAAACCTGGATCAAAGAGAGACCATGACGTGCTGAGAGAGAGAACAAGTTCTGTGCCTGAGAAAATGGCAAGGACTGAGAACGATAGTGATATTAACCCTGACAATCAAGACAAAATGGCTACCTCACAATTCCCTGAAAATCAGTTCTTTGTTGGTGAATCTCTTCCATTGGACTCTGCTTCTGTGTCCTCAGATTCTCTAGATGATAGTAAATCAGTGGATTCTCTGGAGTGTCCCAGAGAGAGGAAAGGTGTTGATGAGGATGAGGACAATTTAGATGACTCTTTAGATGAATCAGACATGCGGGACACACTGACCTCTCAGACAAGTGTTAAGTTTTTCAACGACATTAATAATTCTACCGAATTGTTGACCTCTGGTGAACTACAAGACACAACAGAGGATCTGGATTCATCTAGGAACAGTGATTTGAACATTACTTCTCAGTGTACTTTGTCACAACAAACAGATAAACTTGCAAATTTACCTGAATTTAATGACTCTCCAGTTTCTGATGTTACTGCTACACCAGTCTCATTATCCAGTGATCTAAACATTATTCCAGCATCGGAAACAAGTGCCCCAGATATAACCACCAAAACCATTCCTCAGGAATCATCAACAGCAGTCCTCTCATCAGCATCAAATGAAGTCCCATCATCACAACTGACCAGTGAGGATACAGATACAGATTCCAAATTTGAAAACTCCAAACAAACAGGATCAGACGAACAGTTTGAACAAGAAGAGGGGAAACAAAGTGCTTCAGAGATACAGCCCACAGTGGACCAGACATCAAATTCTAAAGAAACTGAGCAAAATGAACAGTTAATACAAGGGGACCAAACAGTGTCAACGACAAATATTCCAGACACTGGATCTTTAGAATTAACAGAAGCAGGACCAAATTTACAGATAGAACATGAACAGAGGGATCAAAGCATATCAGATCCACATTCCACAATCTCAAAATCACAAGAAACAACAATTGACCAAACATTGCTATCCAGCCAAGATGAAACAGCAGCAATGGATGCAAAGAACGAGGGGCAAGTCGAAGAAAATACCTCATGTCCTTCAGTATCAGAGACAAATGATTTACCGAATGTGTCATTAGAAGACCCAACTCTCACGGAACAGAGCAGAGGAAAGGCAGGGGAATCGTCAGCTCCTGGGGAAAAAAGTGAAGACAAAGGTGATTCTCTTTCTGCACAGTCTGACTCAGAATCAAACAAAGTGAACACAGTTGATAAATCATGTGATGGTATAACAGTGGAACAGACCGACAGAGCTTCACAAGTGAACATTCCAGGATCACCAAAGAAAATCACTTCCACAGTGTCGGGAACAGCCTCTCAGACTGATTTTATTTTTCCTCAAAGTTTCGATAACCAAAATGAGACCAACATGGAAGTTGAGGAAAATAATGCAGAGCGTGAATCCATGGATATTTCTACCTCAGTGAGTGGATTCGGTGGAGCAGAAGACCAGAGGCCATTGTCCGTTATTGCAGTGGATGTGGTTGAAGAGGCTAGGAAGACAGTGGGGGTGTGTACCAGCCCGTCCCTGATCTGTCCCCATGACGACACCCACAGCTGTTCTAACGACAGCCTACAGGAAGTCAAGGAGCAGCTTCAGGAGTTACAGGAAGTCCTAGAGGGCCACATAGGACTCCCAGCCAGGTAGGATAGGTTTTACTGTTATCAGCTGATTTTATTATCAGTAGTTTTGAATCTTCTTTGAAATTACATTTTATATTGCTAATTTAATAAGTGTCCTAATAAATAATAATATCAATTAATGCATAATTTGATATTGACATATATTTTGTTCAAATTACATTCCTAGCACAGGATTATTTTTGACTTATTAATTTTTTCCCCCCAATATTTACATTAAAGGTATACAAGCTTCATATTTAAGAAATAATTTTGAGAAATACTTTTGAATGCATACTATTACATGTATATGAGAAGTCAGACTTGGTACATGGTACATGTACTTGATGATAAACAATGTAAATTTGCTTCAATGAGAGCTTCTAAAAAATATATATGACACAAGGCACTGGCTTTTGACAGCTTCCCATTTTGGTATTAATTTGTAGAATGTAAGGTAATAAGAGTTATTCCCCTTTTAAAGAGGTGTGCCTATATACATAAGGACATAAAATGTTCAGTTATCTCTTTCTTCTGTTCTTAATATATTGCATGGACTGGTTTGGGGTATCAGATGTACATGTTGCTAGGAACTTCAACAAAGTGACATCTCGGGAAAGAAAGATTACATGATAAAATTTTTCTTTAATGTTCTTGCACACAGTCAGCATTAAGAATTCATTTTATTATGCACTAGAGATATTCACAGTCAGATCTTTAAATGCTACCGTGCATGGGATATCAGTGACTTTTTCCCAATACAATTCAATTTAGCAGGTAATCACTGACACCTGAGGTGAAGTATTTGTCAACATCTTTATTTAGGAGGTGTTTATAGGCATTCCCCAGTGAGCTCACTGAATTCCTTTTATGTACCGAGATTCATTATCAGATTCTGTCAGGGGTTTTATTGCACAGCAGATCTGATTGGTTTGATAGAAGGAGCTACCAAAAAAAGTTGAACTTCATTGATAGTGATTCCTTTTCATTCACACCTTTGTTTACTAGAATTTAAAAAATTACTTGACAGGTTTTTGTTACTACATTTATTTATTTCATTAAAAAAAGTTGAAATGCACCGCTGTTTGAATTTGTGGGGTTTTTGGGGAATATTGAAAAAATATTTATTTATTCAAATTAGATTGATAAAAAAAACACGATTAACATTGATTAAAATTGAGCATTTTAAAAGTGACCTCCTAAGAATTTAATTTCATGCAGGTCTGGGCTTGGGGAGATTTTAAATATCTACATTTGTAATGAAACGGAGATTTTTTGGCAAGATAGGGGAGACATTAGATGGAGTTTTATTAAAGAGTTTGTTTCTGTTGTCTCGGAATTTGTTTGATCTGTTAATGACAGATGTCAGAATAGCCCAGGAGGACCATTCAGATATTATGATCGGCACTCGGAGAATCTAAAGATTGGCACTCCGAGAATCTAAAGCGTGAGAATCATGGGTTAGATTTATTGATTGGGTATCGATTCTTCAACAATACATCATAAAATATTTATTGTTTCATCCCCCTCAAAAAATTGTGTGATGAATATTTGAAGATGTATCTTGTTTTGATGGGCTAATTAGGTTATAAATTCATATACCACAGAGATTATGAGTGAGCAAGTAAACATTTTCTGAGCACCTTGATATTTGATTTTTTATTGAAGCAAGTATAGATTCAGTATTTAAAGAAAAAAAGAATCTGTTGTTTCAGAGAAATTTTGAAATGTATTTTGCATATACAAAAAGCTGATCATGCAATTATCCAAACTAAGATTAAATGCACTTAATTTCACTTTTGAACCACCAGCATTTCCTTTTAAATCTTAATTCTTTGTACCAATTAAAGTACTACCACAGGTATATTGTATTTATATACTGTAACACACATGTAATGACTTGTACCCTTATTTGTCACCAAAACTTAACAAAAATTACCCAATTCCAAAATTGCTTTCAAGTCCTTATGGTGTAATTATTAAATGGCCCAGTGTGTAAGATATTTTTATTTTCAAAGAAGATTTATTTAGACATAAGATAAGTATATACATGGATACCCCTGGGGAGATATATTAATTCCTTATTCACTGCAGAAAAAGACAGGAGTTGTGTAAATCTCCATGTAAATGCTAAGGTTCCATTCAGGGAAAGACAGGCTAAAACAGTCGTACAGAGAAGGTTTATTTTTTTTCTTCCAGGGGAGGGTACCAGGTGTCCCCCCAACTATCATCTGCCAGGAGGGCTGTCAGGCAGCGCGCCATGATCCAGAGGAATGGTCGCTTAGAGAGCGGGGAGTCAGACGGCACCGATCCCCTCACCGAAAGTGCTGAAGCCACAGGTGAGACACAGTTAGAGACTAGATAAGTAGAAGGGAAGGGAGAGTGGTATTCGAAGATCCAGCTGCAATAATGTAGCCCTTTCTGACTTTTTTTAATTTGTCTTTTTCTGCAAAAATGGTAACAGAAAATGGATATATGGCGATACATTATTGCAAATATCAGCTTGAAAGTTGCAGAATTGTTATGATTACTGTAGAGAAAGCAAATGAATATAGATTATTTATTCATCAAACAAACATTTTTTTTTTAATTTTTTTTTTTTTTTGAAGCTAAAGATAGGCATTTTACTGAGGATGGAAATAATGTATGTTTTGATTTGCGTGATGGCCATTCCCTTCACTTTATCAGTCAAGGTGCTGTTTAGTCTTTGATTGATAAGATATTGGACAGGAGAGCTAATTATCTGAAAGTTTCTTTAAGTAGATTAAGTGTATAATTCTGCTTTTTCTCTCCAATCTCTGTATATTGATGCTTGTGATTCAGACTGCATCACTGATGTTATAAATATAAAGAAACTCCTTTCTTGCATCTGCTGAATAAATGTGTACAAGTTTCATACTTTTTGGACAGTTTTCAGTGTAATTTTGCAGATTTTCTTTTTTTTTTTTTTCTTGTGTATTTCATACAAGTTTTTAAATATGCAGTCATCATCTATTTAAACATTACTGGGATAAAATTGGGAAGAAGTTTAACTAGGCAAAACTGTATGCACTGAAGTCCTATAAGCTAGTTTTGTATTATTGATGTGCGCCTGCCTTTAATTGTTCCATCGGCTCACACAATCAATATGCATGGTCCCTCATTCATAACATCCTTGAGTTAAAAAAGCTCAGTGTCATACTGTTTCAAACATCAATACGGTATAGTGGGTATAAGAAGTTTAACCATGGCTTGATGCCAGTAAGATTTTCTTGGCTTTAAAAGTTCCGTCCCATTCCGTCGGTGCATTAGAATGGTTTTCATTCACTGAGGAATAACTTTGTTGGATTTTATATTTGACCTGGTCAGGTATTTGAAAAACTTTTTGCATTTTAATTTTACACTGTTTAAATCTTTGTTTTTTTGTTCAACATTTGAAGATTATTTTTGATTTGGAAATAAAATTGGATAATGACAAACACTGTTAAATGTCATAAGAAGTCTGGCTTGTTGAAAAATACCGGTTGATCTGTAATTGGAGATCAAAGATTTAAAAGTGGAAAATCAATATTGCAAATGTGACGTACTCATATTAAAGTTTCAGCCATTGTTTTCATTTTACAGTAAAACTTGTGGCAGTTGGAATTCCATATTAACCTCATATTTCAGATAATAGCCGATTTGTAATGTTATTGTTGAAATGGCAGCTAGGTTCATATATTTGAACCCCTTTCCCCATTATATCATTTTTGTGTCTTTTTCCTGGCAAATTTGAAAAGGTTATGAAAGTGTTCGCAGGTAAACGTCACAAGGACTTTTAAGAGCTGGTTATATTGACAGAGAATTCAAACAATTGAGCACAATTGAAGCTTCGCACGATTTCCTTAATTGACCTGTCAAACAATCTCTTCCAAATATTCGTATTGTCAAAGTCCTACAAGATTTTGAATTGTTTGCAAACATGTGTTGACTGCTTACATACCATAAGAAATGGACAAGTGCTAATTCTGTTTTGAATGTTGGGTAAATAAATGCTGATCTAGGCCATAGATACACCATAATCAGCAATATAAACTCCCCACTTTGAATAGCTTCCTATGCCAGGAAAAGAAAAAAAAGACCAAATTCTGTCCTGAGGAACTTATCTAACTAGAGATAGCTATAAACTAGCTTTCTGAACTCGATTGATTTAAAATTCTTGTGAAGCTTTTGTTGATTTTATATTTTTCTGGCGCTTGATTGAGGCAGCGTAGATGTGGGAGTTTTAATTCCTCTTTTGTATTGTAGACACTGGGTGCTTTAATTGATAAGAGATATAGATTTATAGGGAATTCTTGGGGGTGATGGCATGGGTGTCCTACCTACAACTGGTAACAGAGTGTCCATTTTACGATAGCACATTTCACGGATATTCAATTCGAAACATGGAAAATAAATTATCGACAGCATTATAATCAAAATGTCATTGTTAAAAATGAGGATTAAATTTATTCACGCAGTGGAAGAAATTAAATGATTAAAATAAAAAAAAAGCATTAAAATTGAAACCCTGATCTTGTTTGATGTGTCGGGGGTATGATACATTTTGAGAGATTAATAGTACACATTCACAAAGTATTTACCTGAACGGCCAGTGTAAACAAAAGTAAGAAGTGAAATTAAAGGGAGACCCTTAACGGAATGAAAAATTTTGTTTAATTGCCAGGTCCGCTAAACGCTTAAGTGAAGGAAACGGATAGGTTTTAATATATATATATATATGCAGGTCAGTGTAATGTCCCACATTTTAATTAGAATGTTGTGTAATAAAAGGCTTAACATCTTTATAAGGATTTAGATTAGGTCAGGTTCTTTTTAAGGGGCTACCTTGGAGTGTCTTTAAGGGGATACCAAATAATTGGCTTTTAAGAAAGGCTAAATAAAGATTATAAGAGACCTGAAAAGTTACAGTGTCATGATTTTAAATCAAATTAGATTTAGGTTTTTTTATTACAATGGAATTATTTTGTTATTGGTTCATTATTATGTAAGCACAAGTTTAAGCACTTTACATTGAATGCTCATAGGAAAGTCTGCAAATATCAAAAAGAGAATTTCTTTAATGTTTGAAAAAATTGGTAACTTTCCAGTAAAGTTAAAATCTCTGTGTCAGACAAATAACAATGTAAGTTTTAAAAAATGAAACAAATAACAGTAATTTGTTATGTTTTTCAGGTTCCCAGTCAAAATCCTGCTCCAGACCAACTTCAGGATCCCGTAGAAGAAGAAGGGCACAACTCAAGCCATACAAGAAATCTGGGAAGTGTCCGTATTGTCAAAGCTCAGAGGAATATCAGCTTACTACAGAGAGTGAGAGCCACAACTCAGATACTGCATTAATTAGCAAAGAGGAGGAGCTAAGTCAGCCCGACCAATCAAAATCGGATGAAGAAATTTCCTATGATGCAACAGCAGTAGGCTTATCTGATGAAGAGGCTACAAAAGATGGCGAACATGGAAATTTCAAAAAGTGTTCCAATGTCAATCACTCTGTGGATCTAGAAAATATTGATTCAGATAAAACTCTTCCGAAAAGTGGTTCAGTGAGCAGTCTGAATTCTGAAGTGGAAAAGTACTGTTCTGTGTTGAGGGAAATAGATGATCAGGAACAAAATATTCCAGGAGAGAGCAGTGATACAAATATGATGACTAGTCAGAGACCAGTTGATGGTCCTGCCCATCGTCCACAGAAACTTAGGACAGACATGAACTCTGTGGATTCTTCTTATGGATCTGTTGGTAAACCAGGGTCAAGAACTGCCTCGGAGACTAGAGACAGTGAGCAGCAGACAGATCTATCCTCTGTTGATAGTCCATTAATGTCTCCCATGTCTTCTCTCCATTCCTCACTCCGCTCCCCAAGACCTGGGATCCACCACCTCATTACCTCCCCAGTCAGTGTATGGAGTTCCGATAAAAGTTCTTCCTCTCCCAGGAAGGCCAGAGCATCAGGGGGACTCAATACACCCACTGGACGGAGAACTCCCAGGAAACACAAGTCATCCAAGTTAGAGATGACCTGTGCTGACGTGTGGTCCACAGAGACAGTGGATCCTAATTGTCCTCCTTCTGAAAACAGCGCTGCACTGGATTCGGATGTTTCGTCAGAGGAGGACAATTGTTACTCATTAGAGACAGAGACGGTATCACCGCAGTCTCCGTCTTCTTCAGACAGGTTTTTCGATCACGGGAGCTTTATTCTGGAGAGTCCTCCAAGCGGCAGGGCTGTTCCTATCCAGTCTCCGGTCAGATATGAGGTGACTGTGAAGGAAGAGGAGACCAATGTGTTCTATAATGTGAACAAGGTGGAGTATAAAACTTATGGCTTGAATTCACCAACACTGTCAACCACAATCCCAGAAACTATCAATATAAATGTGACAAATACAGATACTCACAGAGTAGAAAATCGTGACGAGTCAGTGAACCATGAAAGAGTCGTGTTCAGTCGATCTGATACTGAATCTCCCACTCATGTTATTGTATCTGAGAGAAACTTTCAGGGATCCTCTACTGTGTCAAATGCTGATGGACACCATGTGGAAAATCAAATTCAAAATGAGTATGGAAACAGCTATGTGGAAGAGAGGAGACCTCCTCTTAATGTTCAGGTTTCAGAAGACCCTAGAGGAGTGAAGTCCTTAACCTCTCCTATAGAGTCTGATACTACTTCTGATTACGGAACAATGATTGGTGATGGAAGGAGAGGAAACACATCATTTATGTCTGACTCAGCAGACGATTTGGATTACCTCCCTGGAGATAGGTCATCAAATAAAAGCACACCAAGGGCAAAGATAACAGATGATGCACAACAACCAAACAGATACAGTAGAGTTGGTGAGCAAACAGTTCTGCATTTTAACGAAGAAAACATAGACAACATTAGTCCAACAGAACAAGGTTTACAAACAGTTAGTCCTGCAATGAAGAGGCTGAGTAGATCACAGTGCACAGTCACCTCACCTTCCTCAGAAGTTGCTTCCAATGTGATACAGGGCTCAAGTGCAATGGATGTCCTCAGGGATTTAATCGAAAATCCCATTAATTCAACCACAGAAGATGCTGAGCATTCTGATGAATATGATCCTACCAGAAAGTACTATGTGGAGGATATCTGTGATGAGGTGCACTCCAGTTCTAGTTCATCTTACACAACCCCTCAACAGTCACCTCGATTTAGTAAGACAGAGATAGCTGAGACATCCGAGGAGCCTCAAAAGACTGAAGAGGCAACTGAAAAGTTGCTGGTGCCAACAAACCTGAAGAATATGCAAGCAATTTCTGTTGATGCAGATTCTCAGGAACCAAAGGCCATTCTCAAGAAGCAGACGAAAGATGATGATAGTCTTCACAGAGAAATGAAGAGAGAAATCCAGCAGAAGTTGGCAAATCTCCAGCGGCGAGTGAGAAGTCTGAGTGACTCTGCTATCAGTTCTGATTACCACACAGATGGAGATTCAGCCACTGTGTCTCCCAGAGGTAGTCGTCTTTACGAGTCTGACAAGATATTGAGAGTTGGAGGAGGACATCTTGGACCCATTGAGGTCAGGACAAGTGAGATTGAAACTCCACAGATTCCAGCAGAGATTCTAAATACAAAGGCACTGGAAATTGAGAACAAAAGTGTAAGAAAATCACCTCTTAAGGACTCTGGAAATGTGTTTGATGACAGTGATACTTGTGATCTAGGAAAATCTGAAGATGACTCTAAAAAGGAAAGCTCTGACAAGGAAGTTAGTGACATGATGCAAAAGAAATTCCAACAAAGATCAAATCTTCCTATTGAGGTGACATCCTCATCAGAGGAGTCAGATTCTGATGTGAGATGTGAATCAAACAGTGAGAGATCTCTGTCACCAGGAGAGATCCTTATTGATGACTATGATGAACCTCAAGAGGAAGAAACTGTTGAAGCCGAACAAAAATCTAAATACAAGTACAACATGATCAAAGAAAAGTCTCCTTCCATGTCAGATGTTCTAACAGATGACCGTGAAGAGATCAGAAGATCCATGTCAGAAGCCTGCATGGATCAGTATGAAGAAGCCAAGGATGACACTGCCAACAGCTCTAATGATAGCATTGTATTTGTTTTTATGGGTCAATCACACAGCAAAGACAGCATGGAGCAACTGAAGTCTTTCACATCCAAGCAGCCAGAGTACAACATCTTAAGCAGCACTGAAGTGTTAGAAGACAGGGGTGATGAGAGTGATGAAGATGGCAGAAGCTCAAACAGGGACACTGTTATACATGATGAAGATGCCATTGATGGGATGGAAAATTGGGAGCAAAGGCCAAGGAGCTATACAGACAATGAAGATGATGACAGACCACTTCGACATAAATTTGGAATTGATGAAAGTGTCCTTCCTATTCCCACTCGCTCCATGTCATCAGATAATTTACCAAAACAAGGCCTGAGTCAGCAAAAAATCCATAGGTCAAGGTCTACCAGTCTGTTAGAAGTTCACTCCAAGATAGAGGTGGCTGACGATTCTAGTAACAATGAGGGTATCTTCCCACCCTGTGTGGAGACAAGTGAGAGGGAGTCCCAAAATACATCTGATGTCAGAAGACAGCACATCAGCCGAGATTGGCGACAGTGACTTCTCACTGACAGAGCTGCCAGATGACATGCAGTACTCCCGATTCCCAAATCGCCATGCACATCCAGATGACATTCATCAGCATACTAGCTACAATTCCACCATGAGGCCTAAGGAGGAGGAAAGAAATGGTGAACTAGTGTCTCAGGTTGAGTTTGGAACTCAGACAAATGAAACCATCTTGCCAACTCATGCTAAAGATAGTCGAGTTCTTCCTGGATTAGATTCTCCATTCAGAGCAAAGAGCACAGAAGAGTTGCCAAGAGGAAGGCCAACTGAATTACACCTGACAGAGGACACAGAAAACTGGCAGAACTTGTCCTCCATTGTTATAGAAAACAATGCAAGACTACAGAATCTTCAGCAGAGGTTGCCTGGAGAGTATCAGTATGGATCTGTAGATTCAGTGTCTGCACACAGAGATGACACAACACAAACCTCTACCTCCCTTCAGAACCTGGAGACCTCCGCCACTCAAACTGACATCAGCTTTCCTACTCTTACTTTATCTGAAGTGGAGACAACTGAGGTCCTTCCAGACCTATCAGAGGTGGATGGAAATATCAATACAGAAAGCATTGGAAATGTTAGAGATACTGTGGACTATTTTGATAGACTAAGCAGAGAGCCATCACCTGTAAAACAGGACTCTAGGAAACCGGCCCCCAAAAATCAAAACAAAGACTCAATGCAAAAGAAAGCAGATGCTGAGGTAACAGAAACCATTCTTGTTGAAAAGGAATATAATCTGGAGACTGAGTATAACTATCCTAACCTGAGTGCAAGCAACAGCGAGATGGAAAAACTGAAGGAGGAGCATGAGAAGATGATGGAGAAGTTTAGAACAGCAACACAGAATAGAAAGAGAATGACAGATAAACTAAGGAAAGAAGGAGGCCCTCAAGGAGTTCATGAAGAATTTGTTGCAGAAGAAGCGAACAGACAACAAAGCTTCCCGCGTATGAATCTGCAGTCCCCTACTCTAACTAGAAATGAAAAAGCAGATAAGGTGGCCAAAGAGAGTATAGATGTTCAAACAAAGAAAGGTAATCAAAATGGTGCTATTTCAAATGAAGAAAAAGCAGAGATGGTGGAGGATGTTCTCAGTGATGATGAGGGATGTATAACTCCACCTACCTCACCAACAGCCATAGAAACAGAGATACCGTCACAGGACATCAGTATTCCACTCAGATCAAGGTTACAGCATCTGAGTAGAGAGGCAGAAAGTCATGTAATGATGAATGGAAATGCTGACTTGACTGAGAATGTGCAGAGGGAGATTCATGAGAATGGAGGACCAAGTTTAAAGCTTGATCTGAGTGCTATCACTGGAGAGCCTGATTCACAGCCAATTACTAACCTCAGCAATAATCAAATAAAGCAGAAACTTGATAAGCTTCATAAAGAGAGAGTCCAGATTATTGAAATGCTCTCCCTCAACTACCTCCCTGCCAGCTTTACTGTAGAACTATTGGAAGCTAAACTGAACTACTGCATAGGTCAAACTGACCTTATTTTAAAGTCCTTAGAGGAACATTGGGACAGTGATGAAGAGAGAGTGAGTACAATACGCCATCCAAACATCACAAGAGAACACCTGACCATGTACAGAAATGAGCTACAGCAGTCCAAAACAGACATTGAAATCTGTCGAGAGAAAATGCAGAGGAACCAGGGAACTGGTAGAGGTAGGACTAAGGGAAGGAACCGAGATTTCCTGAGGATGAGGAGGAATGCTGAAATAGAGGCCTTCAAAGTCGAAAGAATGCTAGAACTTCAGAACTATGAAAGATCACAAACCCTACATAATTTGAACAATTCCTTTCAGGAGTCACTGCCAGAGAAAGGATCCAGCAGGAGTGTAAGTCCTACTTCATCTGTCCATTCCTCGTCTCAGTATATGACTCCAAAACAACACTGTGATCATTTAGTCCATCTCCGGAAAGAGCTTGTCAAACACACAGAGGACCCTAACTTCCTGGACAGGATAAGTAGGTCAAGTTCACCAGCTCTGCACCACAGGACAACCTCACATCCCAGCCCAAGACTTCACCACGACTACCTCTCACCACGATCCGCAAGTACTCAAGACCGAATCTTTGACTCAGAATCCCACATTTATGACAGCTACTCAATGTACTCACCCCGTGAGTCCACCTACTCTCCCAGAACTTCTTACCACAACCGACAACTCAACTACTCACCTAAGATAGCTTTCTCTGTGTCAGACGAGCTGCCCTCTTCTGTGGACTACGGCTATAGCACCTACCTTGTCCCTCCTCGCCCCAGGGACCGGGATTCCCCCAGAAGTGTTTCCTCCGACCCCAGACCTCCCAGTAATACTCTGCACTCCCCTACCCAGCTGTCCACTGGGTCCATTTCTCCCGAGCCAAGATTCCGACCTGTGATGGACCATTCGCTGGAGCATCAACTTGAGTCGAGGAACTACTACACGGGCAGTGAGAGTCGACAGCTGTTACATGAGATAGAGCAGATTCGTCTACAGAACAGGACAGAGATCCAGAGAGCTCAACACATACTGGACTCTTACAGCAAAAAACCATCCAGGTAAAATCCAAAATATTATTTTCTTCCTATAATTGTTGCTTAATGTCGGCATGAATGTTTATTCTAATGATTTCTTTTCAAAAAAAAAAAATTAGATGTTTTTTTATTAAGTGTATGCTTCTTTTTACTTTTAGATAGAAGTCTGATCATTTAATTCCATGAAAGCTTCTTTCTACTTCGTAAAGAGTGAGTTATACTATATAAACACTGTCTTTTTCAGGGAGGCTCATGTGAGTGCTGATCGTCCGAGTTCCTTACCCAGGCGTCCTTATTCTTCCTACAATGACTATGCGTCAGACCTGCTGGACGCCAGTCAACGCAGCATATCAGGCACATTGTGTGGAAGTTACGAACTTTACGAGAAAGAAGTCAGCGACCTGACTTCACGTCACAGACCATTGTCTCCAGGCTCAATGATATCGGACGTCGGAACTTATCACGGAATCGACCCAAACAGAATTCGACCAATCCAATCCTCGGATATTAAAGCCAAGCTAAAACGACGACACACGACTCGAAGGTGACATGCTCAGGAAACAATGGATGAACTGCTTATCTGTGATATTTTATGTTGGTGCCAAAGACTTATCGTATAGTTTCATTTTGTTGTGATTTCATTGTACTTTGTTCAACTGATCTATTTCTTCTGTTGGATTTTATGGCCGAGCTGATTTTCAATGTTGATGAATTGATGAATCTTTTGCATTGAAAGGTACTTTTTTTTGCTAAAAAATTGTAGTACATGTATTCATTAATTTCATTATCTTTTGTATGCTCAAGTTTTTTTTTAATTTTGGATTGAAAAGTGACAATGCATGATTATAAACATTAAATTTTTAATACCTGTGCGATATAGTACTGGGATTTTACGTTTTTAATTAGAATGAAATCTTACCTTTCAGGTCTTGGTGGATGATGAATCAAACAAAGTGAAACAGTGAAAAGATACTGATGCAAACAGACCTTCCTTTTCTTCTGATTTCTTGATTCACTGGTTTGGATCTATATAAACTAATGTTTATAATCCTATTGATGGGGAATATGTTGTGATATTTGTGTGTATTATGGTGCTATTGGTGCTCAGAAGTGCTATTGACCATTATTATTGTTCTGAGAAAAAAAATTATAGTGATTAATGTTTTAATGATAATTGTAAGTGTTTATAAGATTATTACTCAACATTTTAGTTGTTTGTATATTGTGTTTCTAAGAAATTCTGTTCTCTAGGAATCTATTTATAAGAAGGTACTGAGTATTAAAATGAAGGATTTTAAGACATTTGTTTTTAACTTATAAAAAATGTTTTTAACTGGATAAGTTTTTTTAGATGTTGTTAGATTAAAGTCACTGTTAAGAGAGATGTTGCAGGTTTTATTAAAATATTTGTTTTTAAATCTGTGATCAATGTTAATGATTCCTTCCAAATATCCACTGAACTCTTTATCTAGTCAAAAGGATCTGTGTTAACTTTGTTCAATTAATGTTGATTATGATTTGTACATTCTAAGCTCTGTATCCTATAAAATATTTTTGAAGAAAATCATGTCATTTATATGAAAATTCAATGTATTCCTCAATTTTCTTGATATTGAAAATCATGATCATATTTATTTTTTGCCTCTTTGCTGTTTTTGGCAGCTTCCATTATTTTGCCGTCCATTCAGAAATATTTTTTTTTTCGACAGTATGTATGTTATTTTCAATATATTTTTGCTAGGGCATTTTCATTCATGATTATTTATTTACATTCTTCATCTTGGGTAATATTTACTCGTCTAACTGTTTCCAAGTGTATAAAAGTATTATGTCGAAATTTAAAAGATTAAATAGTAATTTAATTTAATTTAATTTCCTGTTTTCAAAGTTCAGTGCATATTGTAATATATATCAAACTGAAAATTCTGCTCTTTTACAACTTCCTGAAAGACAACAATCAGTTTCTTATATTATTGTTAATTGTTTTGTGTATGCATTAATATATGCAATTTTTTAATATTTTGCATAAACAAAGTATAAGGCTAGTGAATCATTTTTTAAGGTGAAATGGTTTGTGTAGCAACAATGAATATTTGTTTTATCAAGTTCTCAAAGTGTAATCTCATGAAGACCATCAAATGAAATTCACCAAAATATAATTCATTTTGTGTGAAAAATATACGGTTAATAAACAGTAAAAACATTTCTTCTTTGTTTTGTGTTCTGTTGACTGGAGAAATGAGTTACGGTTCTTTTTCGACCTATAGCTATACAAAATGTACAATGTCTAAAAACTAAGAAGAAACACTTTTTTTAAAGAAGATGTGTTTGTGAAATACTGATTCCCCTGTATGGCATCTTACGGGGGATGGAGATTAAAGTTTCTCAAAGTTAAACTCCAAGGTCAAAATTGTTGGTATCCAAAGAAAGTACTAATATTTTCACAAGGAATGTAAATACCAGTATACCTGTGAAATATGACACCTAGTACTTGCTGCTCAAAAGTTATGGCCAAGGTTAAAGTTTGTTTTTTATAAGTGGGTCAAACTCTAATATCAAGGTCAAAAACATTTTCACTCTTTGAAAGGTCTTGTAACAATGAATATATACATGTAAAGTATGAAAGCCCTAGCACCAACTGCCCAGAAGTTACGACCAAGGTTAAAGTTTGAATTTTTTTTTAGTATAAGTGGGTCAAACCCTAAGGTCAAGAGGTCAAATTTGATTGTACCATATAAAGAAAGCTCTTGTTACAAGAAAATACACCTGTGAAATATGAAAGCCACAGCGCCATGAAATTCCAAGTTTTTGCGGACAAACAATTGACAGGACAAACACTATATAGCCCCGAATCTATTACGGTGGCATGAAAATTAGTTTATCAATTTTATTGAGAAAAGTCGATGGAAGACTTTAGAGATAAAACATTAAGTTCAAACTTTGCAGAGACGCAAAATCCATGTATCAATATAGTCAATCAAGCAAGATTCAAAGTTGCAAGTACATGTGTATGTATATGGTCTAATAATGTTAATGCTCTTGTTATATGAGTAAAATCAATGCATTTTTCATTTTGGATGTCAAACTATCAGGTTGTTAATCAACGGATTTATTGCATGGTGAGGGTGCTCTAAAAACAATAAACGGGCAAAAATAAAAAAAACCCGAACGCGAAAATTTTATTTCTTTGGGGACTTTCCCCCTAACTTTTTGGTAGTCTTGTACAAAGAGGAGGGGAAAGGGGATTAGCATCTAAATGAGTACTTAAAATTAAAACTAAGAAGATTGCTTTTTCAACGGTTCAGCCCCACAACATACGGAATATATTTCATTATCTATATTTAATATTTGAAATCATTATTGCCATACATGAAAGTGTTTAATAATCATTTTTGAAGGGATTTTTCCCGTATATAGTTTTTGTCCTGTCCGTCCATCTGTCTAGCTGTCTGTCCTCAAAAACTTTAACTTTAAAATTTGAGCCGATGGTGGGGCTAAGGCTTTCACATTTCACAAGTGTATTCCTTCTGACATGAGCTTTCTGTGGTTTCCTCCAAATTTGACCTCTTGACCTCGAAGTTTGGACCAGTTTTACAAAAAAACAAACTGTTTTTTAACCTTGGCCATAAGTTTTGAACAACTGGTGCTAGGGCTTTCATGTATCACACATGCATTCAATAGGTATAAACGTTTTTGACCTTGACCTTAGAGTTCGACCCACTTTTAAAATCACTTTAACTTTGACCATAACTTTTAAACAGTTAACACTTGGGCTTTCATATATATTTAACAGATATATTTCTTTTGACAAGCTCGAGCTTCCTTTGGATACCAACAATTTTGACCTTTTGAGCTTAATTAAATTGACCTTCAAATGGAGTTTGACTCGCTATTCAGAAACTTCAGTCTTGACCATAAGCTACTCAACTTCTTCTCTGGAATTAAAAAAAATAAGATGAAACTGTATATATAATAATATTTCAACCATTTGTTTGTAATTAAGCTAGAGCTAGCACTGTGCAGTGTCACAATGTCAACATAGTTTAGCGAGATAAACTTTATATGCAAATCTTTTCTTCCTTTTGTTTAGACAATGAAAATGCAGTGTAAAGATTTTAATTTTTAATTTATTTTTTAATCATAACATTTAAACAACTTAGATAATTTTACTCTGCCAGAATAAGTTCTAACTTCAAGAAAGGGGGGGGGGGGGGGGGCCAAAAAAAATTTTTTTTTACTTACGAGAAAAAGTTGAAACAAAAAAAAAAAAAATGTTCAAATATTCGCTACGGGTTGATGCACAAAGGTACTGAATATACAGTTATTTTTTCTTCATTGATTTGAATTTTGAAACATAAATGGGAGGTTTTACATAATAATAAAATATCCGAATTATTTCACGTACAAATGGTGACTTTCCACGTTTCCGGAAGTAAACAAATCCACGTTGTCTGAAAATGGTGAAAACCATTGCAACACAGGTAATTTTCGTTTTTTGAATGAGTATACCTAATCAATCCATATATAGTTATTATAATCTTTATCAGTTTTATTTCTTTTTGACAACGCTGATGTTTCTATGCGACAGAGACCTATCGTTTCAATAGAGATTTGTAAATTGATTACTTTTAATTTCACGTGCATATAATGCCACATGTCCCCCTTTCTCTCTCTCCTGTCTACCTGACTACTTTTAAACAATACATGTAATTTTTTATCCATTCCTATGTAAACTGCAAACTTTCTACTAAGTTCTTGTAATTTTCTTCTGCAACTGACAGGTTAATAACTGTATTCGAAATCTTGAACGTCAGCTGTTCAGAATTAGTAATCACGAAGTTAAATTTTTGGAAAAGTATCGTATCTGTTAATTGTATACTAATATTACTTCATGTATATGTATCTGTGCAGTGTTCTCAAACATGAAAGTGTACTCATCTGTTATTCAGTAAGTTATTACAGGTCTATAAATTTTTTATATAAATTCTACGATTTTGTCATAATGATCAATTTATACAGCTTGAAGATCTAGAAGTAAAGATCAGAGACTGTGATTCAAGGCTACAGAACATCAGTGATATTCTACGACTAGAGGAACTCTCTGAATTTAAAAGGTATCATGAATTTCCTTGTAAATTAAACAATAATACCTGACAATATCGAGATATATATATTTGATAAGCAAGTAATTTGAAACAACATAAATCATACAAACAGTTAATTTGAAAGTTTTCAATGTGCCTCTCAATGTGCTTCAAGGTTCTTTGAACTTATGAAATATCTAATTAAAAGTAGAAATTTTTATCATATTTTTAGATACCAATGTTTATTAACATGATATGGAATTAAATGATTTATGGAGCTTTGCAAAGAATCTTAAAGGGATTTGTTGCATGAAAATATTTCCAGTATTCAAAGCTTTTTTAATTAAATTATAAATTAAAGAGGGGGGGGTCGTACCCTTATACAGCCAACATCCTATTGAATTATTTTCATTTCCTATATTAAATTATAACTTTAGTAAATTACACTTTAGGGTAAGTGAATTTTACTGCATGACTATTTGTCAGTTGCTTACTAACCAGTGAAAAGGAATAATTTATTGTAACTGAAAATGGTTCTTACACCTAGATTATTTAAAACCCATGAGCTATACAGATCTGCAGGGAGCTAGTATCTATACATGTAAAGTGATAAACAATTTTAGCAAGGTTTCAGGATAAACAACTTTGATTTATTATGAGCATAATTTACAATATCTGTTTACTTTATAATTAATGATTTTAAAACTATTTGCCCCCCAAATCAAACTTTGATGGAAATATATTTAATTAAGTTCTTAAATAGGGGAGTATATGCTGTAAAGCATGTATTTTCATAGTAATGACGAATATGTACGTAATGACGTCACAAACATGACGTAAATTTTAGTTTTTTACTTAAAAATGAACATATTTCCTTTTTGATTTCACATGTGTGTTCAGGATCAATATTTTGATATATGTGTAAAATGATAATATCAATGAAATATGTTATCTCTCCTTATAAATTTTAAAGCTAAATTTGTGGTCCATTTTGTCCTCTTTCACGGATATAAAATTGGACTATGTACTAATTGTGAATACACTGCTTTGACACTATAATAGTTTCTGTTAATTTATATTTCTCATACAATTTATTGAATTCAGCACATTTCAGGAACTTTTCAAAATTTGTCTTTTGTGGGGGCATATATGCAATATACCGCATATATTCTTTGAGAAAGAAAATGATTCTGAATATATTTCTCGGCATTCTAATTTGGTTTATTTGGTAAAGTTAGACATTATTTCAGTGGTTCTTTGTATTCATTTTTTTTCAAAAGTTTTTTGAAGTTAAAATATGACATTAAATATCATAAAGAGAATACCAAAATAACCGCCCCCTTTTCCCAATTTTCTAAGCGCCCAGGGTGGTTAATAGGGATTATATGGTAATTGAAAATATATGTTTACCTTATAATCAAAACTTTTATTTTGACATTATTATCATGTTTTCATTTCACGGAGATCAATATTTTTCTCTCTTTTTATTAATCTTAACTGGTCAACAAATATGTTGAAATGTTCTGGAAAAATAATATCCCACCTACCTACCAATCAAATAATTTTACCTTAACCCAGGAAAGGGCAAATAAACATTATTTTAAAGATGACCTTATACAGTTATATATTATTTTTTTATCCTCCAGACAGTCATTACATGAGGAAGAGAAACAAATTAAAAAGAAACTCTCTATGTTTGGTAAGTACATTGATGTTAACCATATTTCTTTTCAAAATACATTAACATCCATATTTATGTTGTGGTATTCTAACATCACATACATATATGGTTTTTATGCATATGGGTTTTTATGTCTCCCAACTCAATCTTGCAATACTCAAGAGCATGCTCCACACAGTTTTAATTTTAAAAAAGACAAGCTACTGACATATAAGTTGATGTTGCAAGGATTTCAACAAACTCATTATTTTGTAAGTCCTGTGGTCATTATAAATGGCCTTGTAAGCAAATACAATGTCATTATTGAGACATACTTTGACTGACATGCTTAAATCAGTTATAAGCTTTTGTTTTTATGCTTAATTTGACCATGGAGTAATTACTAAATCTGCCTGATAAGTACGTAAAAAGATTACAGCAAGTGTTAGCAGTTGACAGAGGATGCTTACTCCTCCAAGGCACCTGATCCTACCTCTGGAATTTTCAGGGGTTTATGTTATATGCCCTGCTGTAGAAATAGTATTGGTATATGTACATTTATGGTGTATATTTTTTAATTGGTCACTGTGTTTCTCTCCACCGTTTTCATTACCAACAATTCACAATACATCAAAAATGTCCAAGGGAAAGAAATGCACTGGAAGGTCATACACAGCAGTAAATGAAATCTTTCAAGGGCAAGGTTTAATAGCTGACAAAATGTTAGGATTTGATTTTATTAAGACTTGAACTTGGTTTTTCATAGTTAAAAAGCAGTGGCTTTATTATGATAATGAATTACATTGAATAATAGTGCATTTAAAGATTTTGAGCCAAAGTTGTTCATATATTTCTTCATTACCAATACAATTTTTTAAGGGGGGATCTCTCAATCAAGAATTTAAATAAAATTCTTTATAGAATCCCCTGGTCTTAAAACTAATAAGGCTACTTTAAGCTTTTGACCTCATTAACAATGGTTTTTTTTCAAACAAGCAAGTGTTAGAACCAATATTAACTCTACACATTGTACAATGTATTTCACATCTGTTTTCACATTTTGGGTACAGATGTACTGAAAGTTCACCTGTAAGTCAACAGTATTAAAAGTTAAATTTTTAATGATTCATTCTGTCGTGTCTTTCATTAAGACAATTATATATATTGATTAACTGAAGAACCTTGAATTGTTGTACATAAATATTAAAGTTCTCCTTACACTAATACAATGCAAGTTTTAAGTGACAATGAATCATTACCCGAGTATATCAATGTGACGTACAAGTATAAGATCTGAGGAGCAAACAAAATGAAAAACAGAGAAACAGTTTAGTCAGTTTTCAGGTTTTACATGTATTTCATTTTGTTTTGCAGAGGCTGAATTAAAAGACCTGCGTAAAGAGAACAGAAGGACAATGTTAGTATCAGTTTGCCTGGTGGGAATGATGTATCTAGCATACTGTTTATTGTGGCAAACATAGCCTAATATTGTGTAAATTTGTCTTTCATTCATTTTATTAAACTATGCAAAATAATATATAGTACAATAATGGGTTTCAAGGACATTAATTTATTTAAAGTTGATATGAAATCATAACTGATCATGAATGATGGTCTAGAGTAGATGCACTTCTTAGTTAAAAAAAACTAATTTTCTATCTACATGTAAATTTAAAAAGATGCTAGAGAAAAATTTGCTTAAACATGTACTTACATGTATGTTATACAAGGTTCACAAATCTTAAGTAAGCTAAAGGTTCCATTTACAGCATATTTCATCATAAATTACTAGTGTATGTATTTGAACTATGCAATATCAATTAAATGTTTTGTTTTTATAGTAATTGCATGTGTACACATCACATTTATTTATGTTATGCATTCATTACAAGTCTTATGATTAAATCATAATGGTGAAAAGCATATAATTTATGTTATATACATGTATTAAAACCAGTTTATATTCTCAAAGAAGGATGATAAAAAAATTTTAGAATGGATTTTGTTAGAATGAATCATACTTATTTATGGTTGTCCTCTTATTTGGTACACTTAAATCTAGGCTTGAAAGTGAATTTTCAGTTATCTAACAATTAAATTTTAATGTGTCAAGAATTTGTTCTTTTTTGAACATATAAAGATATGAAACATTTAAGTAGTTAATTTTTGTCCCTTACTAATTTTGTTAATAATTCAGATCTATACATAGAGTAGGGCTGCTGGCCATTCGTGTGTAAAGTGACCAACTTTACAACACTGCAGCATAGACTTAAGTATGTTGGTATATGCACTAGTACAGTATGTAACTGTTTTGCTGATCACAACAAGGGAAAAGTGTAATATTCAGGAAGTATTGTTTTATAAAATGAGTTTTTACCACTCTGTTAATGTGTGCTTATATATTTAAATCATACTTTTTTAAAAGGTTTTTTTTGGGGGACTTCCTCAATCAGATGTGTATCCAACAACTGGTTGATCCAAATGTCACTACTGCAATAAAACCTATAATTATGGCATGCCAAATTCACAAAAATGAGTTAATCATAGTTTCACAATCTAAAGGTTTAAACTATATTTACAGACTGTAAACTATGTACATGTAATTTTAAAAGAAAAAATTTGCTTATACCCTCATGTATGTTTACAATTAAGGTTCACAAATTATTTTCAAATTCATTAACTTGTGCTAAAGACTCCATTTACAGCAATATTTCATTAACTTTTAATTACTAGTATATGTATTTTGAAATATGCAAAACCAATTGTTGTGTATTTATAGAAATTGTATGTACATTTTATAATTTACGTTGTGAATTTATTGATTTTGTTATAAATTCATTTGAATTTTGAATTTATTATAAGGCTTGTAATTAAATCATGCTGATAAAAACATAAAATTTGTGTTATATATTTAAACTAGTTTTATGTGCATTATAAAGGTTATCATAGTTTAACAAATCATGAAACTTAATTATCAATGAATTTTGTTTGTAAACTATAGTACAAATCGTGAAACTGTAGAGCAGGGCTGTTTTGCAATCGCAAATGATTGTTTTTAGTGTAAAGGGACCAACTTGTGAAACACAGATTATCGCGTAAACTTTAGTATGTTGGTATATGTAACAGTAATTGTTTTGTTGATCACAACAAGAGAAAAGTATAATAATCAGGAAGTATTGTTTTATTAAATGAGTTTTTACCACTTTGTCCATGTGTGTTTATTTAAATCATATTTTTTTCAAGGGTCTTTTTTAGGACTTCCTCAATCAAAATGTGTTCCTGCAACTGTTTGATCCAAATGTCACAGCTGCATAAAACCTATTTATCAATTGTGAATGTTATCTATTTTTGTGAATTTGGCATATAATCTGATTATAACAAAATTGACATACTTACCCTATTCTATTTTTGTTTTTGTACCTCAAAATTTCCATTCATATATATATATATATATATATAATACTTTTTCAAATGTTAAGATAAACAACGCAGGGTTTTGTCCATCGTCATATACTGCAAAGAATATGAATGACGACGTCATGACGTTATTTTTCGGCAGACATTTTTAGATTTTAAACCATTTACGTGTTTCTTTTAATACTGCTATTTTGCTATTAAACGTCTTGTTTTGTGCTGTAGTATTTAAATTTTATGAATTATGTTCGTCATCCGATTCACATTTAGTGTCTAAGACAAATGTTAAAATGACGTCAGTACATTCTTGCAATGTGGCAGTAGTTGAGATCCAAGATATAGTTTATTTTTAAAATTCCATGAAGTGTTGCACAGAATAAATTGAAAGTTTTTAAGCAAAGGCCGAAAACTAATAGCCGCGAACCAAGTATTTTGCCTTGTATTTGTAAAGAATGTTTCTTCAGTCACGGAATTTAATCGTCGCGGATTGATTTTTAAAAGGAAGAATCACGAATAAAAGATGACTCAAATAATAGTGGTTTTACAGTAAATGATAGGGGAATAAGTAAATAAACCTGTGCTGAAAATTTGAATTCTTTTATTTAAAAATTTTATAGCAGTTGTGACATTACTTGACCAATGAATCCTTGTATGTGAAGGGCTTTTATTAGGTTCTTCATTTTTTCGAATTTTATGCGAATTATTAAATATTAATTGTTTTGTTGGAAGTAAAAGCTTTGCTAAAAATTTGAATTCGTTTATTGATGAAGATTTTATAGCAATTGTGAATTTTTTTTGCTTGTAAATTTTTGTATGTGAAAAAAAATTTCTAGGTTCTGCATTTCTTTGAAAAACGATGCTACATGTACGTGCCTGAAATGAGGTTTGGTCTTGAGATAAAAAAAATGTTTCTTCATCAAATGAACCGGTTTCTTGCACTATAAAAAATGTTTCCTCATCAAGTACTGCATTCCTATCAGTTTTTAAGTCTAGATGCACTTCGATACTTTTTCTAAATTTCGTGAGAACCCGGTTCTGGTTGAGTAATTCTGCATTCTTCAGCAACTGTGGACGTGATGTTCGCTAACTAACGAGTTCGACACGGTGCATTTTGCGACAGGGACTCATCAAATGGACAAACCATCAGTATTGCTTTTGTTACAAAAACAACAAAAAATCAAGTGTTATTGACATGCCTACATTAAAACCGGACATGCATACTATTCTTTGTTATAACGGAGACTGTTGACACACGTTACAAGAACTTCAACTGATCTTCAAGCCGCTAAAAAGTGCGTGTAACTCTCCGGAAGTTTGGATGGTTTTTAAGGAGGCTACTTGATCCGATCCCCCTGCTTAATACAAGAAGAATCCCCCGTAACGAGTAACATCAGTTATCAATGAGCGACATTCAGAGATGAATTTAGAAACCTGGAACGCTGAATTGTCCGAATTCTTGATTGGAAACAACGTTGTGTTGGCTCTTTATCTGATCATTGGCGTCTTCGGCAATGGACTTGTTCTTTTCATCTATGTTGTGCGAATGACTAAAAAGAGCGATGATCGCTACTTCATTCCCTCCCTTGCGGCGATTGACATTTGCGCTTGTGTCATTGGATCTTCATACGCACTGGCCCTGAATCTTCTACCCGTTAAATTTCCAGGGGATTTCCTCTGTCGCGTGTTATGGTTCCTCAGTCAAGCTTCCACTGTGTCGGGAGGAACTCTGCTATTGGTCATCGCAATCCATCGCTACCTGAAGGTTTGTCGTCCGTTCTCCAATACCTGGTCATTGAGGGTCAAAAGATTGGTCATTTTGGGAACAGTAACTGTTTCTACACTTTTATCGATTCCTACAATTTTCTTATATGGGGAAATACAAGTCGTTAGTGATCACTACAAAGACAACAATGTTACTCTAGTCGGATACAGATGTGGGAACAAGGGTGAACCATGGGCACTTTTAGGATACAATATTTTTTTGTTTGTCTTTGCTGTTTCTGGGGTAGTCATTATTACAGTTTGTTATATCTTCATTGCAAAAACCATCTATAGTAAAGTCATGGTGTATCGAAAATCAGTGCGACGAATGAACACCATTACCAAACCTGAGCTCTCAGTCTCAACCGTTTCTGACATAAAACGGAAAAGTAAAAGTATCGAACCTAGCAATAATCAACAACATGAAGAAACTGGGGAGTTCCACGAAAATTCTATCGAACACGACCAAGAAAACAAGAACGAGTCTCAGAAAACTCGCAAAAAAGAAAAGTCAAATCACACCAAAAGAAGGTCCCAGGATATTCTGTTGAATGCACACATTCCAGCGATGAAGTACCATTTCACACATTACAGATACTCGTACATGTTTATGACAATAACCATTGTGTTTGTGATCGCTTACTTGCCCCGGATCATCATTATGCTGCTAGAATCCATATTTGGAATAGAGTTTTGGAACAAACCAGACTCCGTTATAATAGGGTTGATGTTTTTGTACAGACTGTATATTCTTAATCACGTGGTTAACCCATTTATTTATGGTTTCTTTGATGCCAGATTTCGACATGAGGTAAAACTTCTGATTTGCAGGCACAAGAAGGTGTCTCTTCACCCAGACAGTCAAACTGGCCAATGAAAGTAGAGAATAGACAATTAAACTGGCCAATGAACATAAAGAATAGGCAACAAACGTTTTATTTCGCTGTCATCAGTGCTCAGACACATTTTGACAGGTCAGTGGAATAAAATAAATATCAAGGTGTTTTGTTTTCATTTTTAAATGGAAAAAAGTTTGGAATGAGTTATAATACATCTATATATTATGTAATAAAGTAAATGACTTTTATTTCCCTCGCCAGGTTTTTATGAAATAAATTGACACTCGCACAAAATATCTGGAATTTGTCCAATTATCTCGGTATAATTTTTCTTGGTTATTAATGTTGATATACAACGAAAGATTGAGCAGTTTTATGAATAAAAGACATACAGATCATGGTTTGAACTATTTCTTTTTCCCTGTATTATTAATGAGTTTCAACAATTGAATAATTTTGTGCAATTTTAGGATGCCTTACAATGTTTCATCGTCAAAGTTTACATGAATTTTACATTACGTGGCGGGTATGATTTTCTGGGTTTCCTTATATCTCAAAAGGAACATTTTAATTATTAAACCCGACAAAAATTAGTGATATACAGTATGTACTTTAAAATTACTGTTCACTTACTTTTTTGGCAGGCTCATATAAGTCCCTTGAATTACAATTTCTGTTCAATTTGTGCCTGGTAGAAAATTGGTCAGATTTCTTGATTTGTCATTTTATGTCTTAAATGCAATATGAGTACATTATATTTCAAAAAAATCCCACTAAAAAAATATCAATCTTAATCAGAATAATAATAAATAATATACATCTAAGGATCTATACATATAGTAAGACTGAACATTTTTGCAAGATCTGATTGTGATTAGTGCAATTGTCAACAATCTACAACAAGAGGCCAATGGGCCTTATATATGTCACCTGAGCATCATTTGAATTTGGTTCAACAACTTTCACAATTTTAAAAAGAGGCTATTGTTCAATTTGATACATGTTTTAATACCAGAGACCATGGCATTCACAATTTTGTTCAAAATATTCAGTAGTGCACCATTGCTCATCTCACACATGTCTTTTTGAAATAAACATTAATTATAATTTTATTCTGAACATCTAAAATAATTTACCACAATAATGGCGATTTAAATGACTACTAGATACGAGCTAATAAGACTTGTAAATTATTTAGTTAAAAAAGGGTGGAAACAATAATGTACACAAGACGTATTACTGTATTGAATGAGTTCTCGTTGTTCAAATCAGTTGTTTTTAAGGAGCTCTTATGTTAATTTAAATAAATGTTTATAACATGTATACTTTACTGAGGATATTCATTATAACCCCCGCTTGAAAATTGGGAGGGTATATAGTGATTGGGATGTCCGTCCGTCTGTATAGCTGTCCCTCCTTCTGTTACGCGTTGGGGTACCCATCTCTTATTCGTAACTCCTCTACCACTGAATGAATTTTAATGAGACTTTCACAGAATCTGTGTTCAATGTGCCATGTTACCTCCTATTTTACTTTTTGATCGGTCACATAATTCGGTTTTCCCATGGTAGAAAAACATGGACACTGCCATTCTTGCCATATTATTGAAGGGTACCCATCTCTTTTCCAAAACTTTTTCTATGCCACAGAATGAAATTTAACGATACTTTCAGAGATACGTCATTACATATTTCCATTGTGCACCTCCTGATCCGCCACTTATTTTTTGTCTCCTAGAACAAAACAGGGACTATGCCATTATAATCCGGGAGGCGGGGTATCATTTAGTGAGTTCAGTGCCCACAGTACCTCTAGTTTATTCTTGCAGTTCTACGAATTTTATGTGACCGATTCATATCGAAATAATTTTTTTATTTATACTTTTTTAATCTTAAATTTAAAAAAATATTTCCTCATTAAAATGCATATTTTTGTGTAATATCCTCGCACGGATGTACTACATAAATAATTTTATATTTAAGTACTGCATTTCTCTGAATTTAAACAACTGTGAACCTGTAGTTCACTTAATAACAAGTATGGCATTGTGCATTTGGCTCTTTCAATAGGCACATCATCAGTTTTGTTATAAAAACAACAACAATTCTAAAGATTCTGAAGTTAAAAAATATTTACTATTCTTTGTAATTTCGGCGACATTTAAAGATGAATTTGGAAACCTGGAACGCTGAACTATCGGAATTTTTGATTGGAAATGACAGTGTGTTGGTTCTTTATATCATCGTTGGACTTTTCGGAAATGGCCTTGTTCTTTTTATATATCTTGTACGGATGACTAAAAATTGCGACGATCGTTTTTTCATTCCCATCTTGGCGGCAATTGACGTCTGCGCATGTGTCATTGGATCTTCATACGCACTGGCCCTGAATCTCCTGCCCGTAAGATTTCCCGGGGATTTCCTCTGCCGCGTTCTGTGGTTCCTCAGTCAAGCTTCGACAGTATCGGGAGGAACTCTTCTCCTGGTCATTGCAATCCATCGCTACATGAAAATGTGTCGTCCGTTCTCCAATACCTGGTCACTGAGGGTCAAAAGACTGGTCATTTTTGGAACAGTCACTGTTTCTACACTTTTATCGATTCCTACACTTTTCTTGTATGGGGAGATACAAGTCGTTAGTGATCACTACAAAGACAACAATGTTACTCTGGTCGGATACAGATGTAAAAATATTTTGTATCCATTGGCGCTTTTAGGATACATTTTTTTTGTTGGTCTTTGCGGTTTCTGGGGTAGCCATTATTACAATTTGATATATCTTCATTGCAAAAACCATCTACAGTAAAGTTATGATGTATCGAAAATCTGTAAAACAAATGCACACTATTCCAAAGCCTGAGTCTCGACCGTTTCTGACATAAAACGGAAAAGTAAAAGTATTGAACCTTGCAATAATCAGCAACGTGGAGAAACTGAGGAGTTCCACGAAAATTCAATCGAACACGACCAAGAAAACAAGAACGAGCACCAGAAAACTCGCAAAAAAGAAAAATCAAATCACAAGAGAAGGTCTCAGGATATTCTGTTGAATGCACACATTCCAGCGATGAAGTACCACTTCACACATTACAGATACTCGTACATGTTTATGAAAATAACCATTGTGTTTGTGATAGCTTACTTGCCCCGAATCATCATTATGCTGCTAGAGTCTATATTTGGAATAGAGTTTTGGAACAAACCGGACTCTGTTATAATAGGGTTGATGTTTTTGTACAGACTGTATATTCTTAATCACGTGGTTAACCCTTTTATTTATGGTTTCTTTGATGCCAGATTTCGACATGAGGTAAAACTTTTGCTTTGCAGGCACAAGAAGAGAACTCTTCACCCAGACAGCCAAACTGGCCAATGAAAGAAGAGAATAGACAATTAAACTGGCCAATGAACATAGAGAATAGGCAACAAACGTTTTATTTTGCTGTCATCAGTGCTCAGTCATATTTCGACAGGTCAGTTGAAGAAAATAAATATCAAGGTGTTTTGTTGTCACATTTGAAAGGAAAAAAGTTTTGAATGAGTTATAATACATCTTTATATTATGTAATAAAGTAAATGACTTTTATTTCCCTCGCCAGGTTTTCATGAAAAAATTGACACTCACACAAAATATCTGGAATTTGTCGCAATTATTTCGGTATAATTTTTCATGGTTATTAATGTTGATATACAACGAAAGATTGAGCAGTTTTATGAATAAAGGACATATCAGTCTCATATTTTAAAATAAGGCTATTATAATGCATCAATTATTCCAGTATATTATTTATGGATTTTATAATTTTGTAGGAAAAAATCGGGGGGGGGGGGGGAAACCCGCATATAATTTTTATTCAAATATGGGGTTAAAAACCCCACAAAAAGTTCTATGTTCCATCTTCAAAGTTTACATGCATGAATTTTACATGCCAGGTATGATTTTGTGTGATTCCTAAATATCTCAAAAAACTCAAAAATGCATTTTTTACAAAATTCATTTATTAAACCCCACCAAAAAAAAATTCAGTGATGGAAAAGTATGTACTTTAAAATGTCCATTCTAAACACTGTATCACTTACTTTTTTTTTCCCTGTATTATTAATGAGTTTCAATAATTTAATGATTTTGTGCAATTTTAGTTACAATTTCTGTTTTACATGCATTTTTACGCCAGGTAGTGTGTTAAATTTCCTTATACATATATCTCAAAAGCAACAATAATTAAACCCGATTTGTCATTGTAAAATGTCTGATCACTAACTTTTTTGGCGGGCTCATAAGTCCCTTGAATAACAATTTCTGTCCCATTTGTGCTAAAAAAAATCCACTAAAAAAATTTAATCTTGATCAGAATACTAATAAATATTGTACATCTAATGATCTTTTCGTAGTAAGCTGCAACATTTTTGCATGATCTGATCGTGATATGTGCAATTGCCAACAATCTACAGCAAGAGGGCAATATATGTCACCTGAGCGTCATGCAACAACTTTCTAACTATTGAATTTTGTTCATGTTTTAAACCAGAGGCCATGGCATTCACAATTTGTTAAAAGAGGCACCATTGCTCATCATATTTATACACTTAACCTGCTCATTTTGGCAAATTAAAAGTTAATACCAAAAGGCAGAATGGAGAGCGAAAAAATGCATTTCAATAATCAGTAATGTTCAACAATATTCAGTAGTGCCCCAACACCCTAGAACTCCTGACCCTGGTTCCACACATTTTGCCGTTTTGGAAATGCAAAACATTAATTATAATTTTGTTCTTTCCGAACATTTAAAATAATTCAACATAATGAAAATAGGCCTAACAGCAATTTAACTGACTACTAGATACTAGCTTATAAGACTTGTAAATTACTTATTTAAGATAGGGTGGAAACAATAATGTATACAAGAAGTATTACTTAAATAAACGAGTTCTTGTTCAAATCAGTTGTTTTTAAAAGCATCTTATGTTACTTTGAATAAATATTTATCACATGTATACTGTTCTGAGGATATTCAATATACCCCCCTTGAAAAGTGGGAGAGTATATAGTGATTGGGATGTCCGTCTATCTGTACTTCCGTCCATCAGTCTGTTACGCTTTGTGGTACCCATCTCTTATCCGTAACTCCTGTACCACTGAATGAATTTTAATGAGACTTTCACAGAATCTTTGTTATATTGTGCCCCTTCTCTCTTACTATTTGATTGGTCACATATTATGGGTTTTCCATAGCAAAACATGGACACTGTTATTCTTTTTATATTATTGAAGGGTATCCATCTCTTATCAGAAACTCCTCCTATGCCATTAAATGACATTTAACGATACTTTCAGAGATTCTTAATTACATATTTCCATTGTGACATCATGATCTGCCACTTATTTTGTGTCTCCTAGAACAAAACAGGGACTATGCCATTATAATCCTACGGGAGGCGGGGGTATCATTTAGTGAGCTCAGTGTTCACAGTACCTTTAGTTTAGTCTTGCAGTTCTACAAATTTTATGCGACTGATTCATATCAAAATGATTTTTTTTATTTATACTTTTTTCCATTGTTCAATCTTAAAATAAAAAAAAATATTTCCTCATTAAATACATATTTTTTAATATGCTTGCACGGATGTACTGCATAAATGATTTTTATATTTAAGTAAGTGCATTTCTCTGAATTTAAACAATCGTGAACCTGACGCTCACGAGTGCGGCATTGTACATTTGCCTCTTCCAATAGTTTTGTTTTTGTTTTTTGGAAAACAACAACAATTCTATATATTCTGAAATTATTAAATATTAACTACTCTTTGAAAATTCGGCAACCTTTAAAGATGAATTTGGAATCCTGGAACGCAGAACTATCGGAGTTTTTGATTGGAAATGACAGTGTGTTGATTCTTTATATCATCGTTGGAGTTTTCGGAAATGGCCTTGTTCTCTTTATATACCTTGTACGGATGACTAAAAAGAGCGACGATCGCTACTTCATTCCCTCCCTGGCGGCGATTGACATTTGTGCGTGTGTCATTGGATCTTCATACGCATTGGCCCTGAATCTCCTACCCGTAAGATTTCCCGGGGATTTCCTCTGTCGCGTTCTGTGGTTCCTCAGTCAGGCCTCTACAGTATCTGGAGGAACTCTACTCCTGGTCATCGCAATCCATCGCTACATGAAGGTGTGTCGTCCGTTCTCCAATACCTGGTCATTGAGGGTCAAAAGATTGGTCATTTTGGGAACAGTAACTGTTTCTACTCTTCTATCGATTCCTACAATTTTCTTGTATGGGGAGATACAAGTCGTTAATGACCACTACAGAGACAACAATGTAACCCTGGTCGGATACAGATGTGGAAATATTTCGGATCCAAGAGCGCTTTTAGGATACAATATTTTTTTGTTGGTGTTTGCCGTTTCCGGGGTAGCCATTCTTACAATTTGTTATATCTTCATTGCAAAAACCATCTACAGTAAAGTCATGATGTATCGAAAATCGGTAAAACAAATGCACACTATTCCAAAGCCTGAACTCTCAGTCTCGACCGTTTCTGACATAAAACGGAAAAGTAAAAGTATTGAACCTTGCAATAATCAACAACATGAAGAAACTGGGGAGTTCCATGAAAATTCAAACGAACACGACCGAGAAAATGATGACAAGTTTCAGAATACTCACAAAGATGAAAAGTCAAATCACCACAAGAGAAGGTCTCAGGATATTCTGTTGAATGCACACATTCCAGCAATGAAGTACCACTTCACACATTACAGATACTCTTACATGTTTATGACAATAACCATTGTGTTTGTGATCGCTTACTTGCCCCGGATCATCATTATGCTGCTAGAGTCTATATTTGGAATTGAGTTTTGGAACAAACCGGACTCTGTTATAATAGGGTTGATGTTTTTGTACAGACTGTATATCCTTAATCACGTGGTTAACCCTTTTATTTATGGTTTCTTTGATGCCAGATTTCGACATGAGGTAAAACTTTTGCTTAGCAGGCACAAGAAGGGGTCTCTTCACCCAGAGAGCCAAACTGGCCAATGAAAGTAGAGAACTGACAGCTTAACTGGCCAATGAAAATAAAGAACAAACAGCCAAACTGGCCAATGAGAACAAAGAATAGGTAACCAAAGTGACAAATAGGATTGATTGAAAAAATTGCTATATATTAAAAAGGTGTGTGATGAACTTTATTTCTTACCCCTGTGTAATTTAAAAGAATTTTGTGCAATTTTATGATGCCTTGTTACATGTACTTTGTACATCTCCTTGTCGTCAAATTGTACATGGATTTTGTGTGGCAATACGATTTTTGTTGGTCTTCTTATGTCTTGAAAGCAACCAAAAGTTAAAACGAAAATTTAATTAGTGATTAACAGTATACATGTATACTTTAAAATTACTGATTACGTACTTTTTTACGGGCTCACAAGCTAGTTTTGAATTACAGTTTCTGTTCTATTTGAGCTGGTAGAAAAATGGGCAGATTTTCTTATTTGTCATGGCATTCAATTTGAGTACACTTTTTTAATTTTCCGATAAAAAAAATTTCACTCAGAAAAATGTACATCTATACTAGAAAGCTGTAACATTTTTGCAGGAGCTGATTTGGGCAATTGCCAACAAACTACAAAAACTAAGTGTGCTCAGAGACATATAATAGTGTGTTACACTGTTGAAAATGTTTTAACAGGAAATGTTTTTTTTTTTTAGTAAAATATTGAATAGTCGAAAAATGTTATAAGCTTTTGCAAGTATTAAAACTTTGTTTGGTTGGTTAAACGATAGAACTTAGAAAGCAAAACGGATTCTCTGTATTTATGCAACCAGTGGTGGTGGAATAAGGCTATTTCATTAAGTTTTTAATGATCAGTACGTATATAATTACAAGTTCAAAAAAATTGACCCTCCTTCATGAAATAAAACTCCTTTTCAAACACAAGAAAGGGGTTTTCACGAAGAAAGTCGAACTGGACAATGAAAAATAAAGCATAGACAACCAAACTGGCCATTGAGAATAAAGAAAAGACAATTTCTTTGGTTAATAATGAGAATTAAGAACATCAGAATTAAGGTGGTTTAATGTAAATTTTCAACATGATCACTTATTTTGGTTCCTAATAGAACTGTGACCTTTTTTTACATTGAAATTATTAGTTTACACATGTACAAAAAAAAAGGTTTATTCGCCCTCCCCCGACTACGGATGATAAAAATGTGTTGGTAGGTTAAAAAAAAAACATTTTCAACATCAATGTTGAATTTCCAAAATTTATTTTACAGACTGCAAAACTTATTGCTTCCTGGAAGTGAAATAAAATTTTGAATTGGCCCTTGGCCGTTTTCAGCCAGTTGGCCGTGTGGCAAATTAATACGTGTACTAGTAAATGCTTAGAGATTACCTTCAATTGTAATTTTTGAAGATTGATTATCATTTTTACTACTGTCAATTAGTTTGTGTTAATTACAAAAAAGAATAAAAGCAAAATTTATAGTCTTCGTGTTTTTAAAGAGAAATAGAAGTATAGCTCTACGTGTACTCCTTTCAAGCCTGAAAAAAAAATAATTGTAATCATGAAATGGGTGCGTAAACAATTACTGTAAACCAACTTTTATTCGCGTGCGAGAAATTTTCGCGAAGTTCGCGAGAGGCTCGTCATCGCTATTTCAAACCGGTCCTTAAAATATTTTTCTATTAAAAACAGATGCAAAATGGCTTGATCGCGAAAATTAATCTTCGCGAACTAGTTTCTCCCTGGTAAATCGCGAAATAAAGTCGTCGCGAATAAAAGTTGGTTTACAGTATTTTTTCCAGCTTTGACAGGGTGCATTAACACTTCGATTTGCGGTGCTCTCTGCGGTGCTCTCTGCTTGAAGTAATTCAAATTGGATAAACTTTATTTTGTAGCAAAACAAACCTACAAAATCTAAAGACTTCTTATAGCACAAATAGTTTCCCAGAACCATTTAAATACCACAGTCTATGATTGTTTGAAATACAGATAATAACATATCTGTTCAGATTTTGCAATAATCTGATAATGAAATTTAAACAAACCAATTTTACTACGCAATATTAGCCCCCTAGGACCACTTTTTTGACATTCTTATTTAAATAACCTATAAAAAGAGGACAATTACAACACTTTTTTTAATTTTTGGGTCGGATTGGAAATACTTTTTTTATACAATAAAGTTCAATAATTCGATAGTGCGCGTAAAAAGCTTTTTCGCATGGGTTATCTTTCAGAACTACGGATGTTGCAACACATATCAAATAGGCCTGATAGCAGAAACTGCGTTTGTATGGAGAACAATACTAAAACGTTTTAACATTGTGGTGGGACATTGCAAAATATTTTGATAAAGAAGTTCAAATCAAGGTTATAATTTGTATTGGTACAAAAGGGTAAAGAATACATCGTATCTCTCTAATTAGCAATTTGCTGCACATTCCTAAAGTCACTAGGGTCACCTTTAATGTTGAAAATTCAGTATAATTTAGATTCCTGTACCAAATTTACATAAAACTCCTGTCCCCTGCATTAATAATGATTTGAAACCTTGGAGTACTGGCAAAACCAATCGAACATTTCAAAATTTCCAGTTACTCAGTATTTAGGTGAAATAATGATTTTCATCCATTTTTCTCCCTCGAGCAATGCATCTCGGACAATTAAAATTTCTCAACTCCGGTACGGTACTCATCGGGGTTTTTTTCTTTTTAGCATAAGGAATATATACTGAATTTAGTAATTATATATAGATATTGAAAAAATGGATTCCATGTTATTCTAGTGAAAGAGACTAGTTTACGTATAAGTGTATATCGTTCTTGTTACATGAATATTACATGTACTACATTAATTAAACATAATTATATAAACTAAATCAAAGAAATCTAGAGGTAGTTTCTTTAATAATGTGAAATATCAATCATTCCAGAGACTGAAATATATATTCTTACAAAATAATAAAATCGCAAAATGGAGTGCCAAATATGTCAGAGCAGTAAAATGCTGCTGCTTTTCTGTGTTGTCTACAACTAAGAGACACAACTAATAAATCAGTTCTCATTTGGAGGGCATCAAATCTTGGTTATTTAGCTATAATACATGCACGGTCAAATTTACTCATTCCTTTATAAATATACATGTACCTGTATAAAAAGAAGCCGACACAAGTCCAAACAGAGATTCAATAGACAATATCACAGACAAGACCAAGTGAGTTGTTGAATGGCGACCATTTTGAAAGGACAGATAGAGTAACTAGTTGCAGGTATATGTCAAATAGATAATACACGAAGATATCACAGTAAGACAAGTTCAGAAAAGTTTTACACCTGTAGATTATTTTGGTGGTTCCGCTGGAGTCGGTGCATTTTCTCCACCAGCTGGAGCAGGTGGAGCAGCAACTATTTTTCGATGCAAAAACATCCACATGACCTTTTTAAATGAAAGTGACCCTAATCCACCGCCGTCAAACTTCATTGCTGGTGTGTCTAAAATTTTGACTAGTTCCCACCCATAAGTTCCAAGCTGTTCGAGAACTGGTTCCCATGCTGGGTTGAAATGCGCCGTGGTGCTACCAATTCCACCCATCACCATTTTACCGGGGGCGTTATACTCTATCATCGTAGCTTCGTATACTGGTTTGTTATCGTTTAGCTTCGACTGCTCTTTTTCGAAAATAAATACGCAGTTCTGGTTGATCGTTATTTTGGACGTGAAGAACCCATCCCGGAAACCGCTATTGTTTTGGTCCATGAAGACGTCTACTAGTTTCCAACCCGTGCCAAGGTACTGTGACGTCACACCTGCCCAGTCCATCTCGACGATCCATTTTCCTCCCATTGCCATGGCCATTGTCCAGGTGATTTTCATGGGAATTGTAACACACTGGTAAACGTATCGGTCGGAGGATGGGTTCCTGGGTATCTCAAAGAAGATGTCCACACCTAGAACTATACAGACAGTGGAAATATTAATTTTATTATAAGATAACACAAAAATTTTACAGTCAGAATACTTTCAATTTTTAAAAAAGTTATGAGTTTGCGTTAACATGCACGTATCGATGAAAGAAAAATATCTGGTAAAATTTTTATCCATTGAGATTTTTCGTTCAAAATTACTGTTTGCTTGATGTCTTTCAAAATAATTTTGAAGATATTTTTAGTATGAACCAAAAAAAATCAACTAAGAAAAAACTTACTCATGTCTGGACTTTGGCCAAAGAAGCAAACGTTCATAGCACCTTGGCCACCAAAGGCGCCTGCAGCGGCACTTGTTGCTCCGGGTTGCTTCACATTTTGAGAGTTAAACCCTGTTATTTCAACACAAAGAAGTCTAGCCCCGTTTGCAGCCTCGTTCGTAATTGTTTGAAATATGTGATTGGCGTCGGCAGTAATTTTTGCATCGCCCATTCGGAATACTCCGTAAGTGAAAACTTTAGAGGGCAAATAGGACTTGACGACTTTGAGTGACCATTGCTGAGGTAATTCGTCCTCGGGGAGTTTCCTACAGATGCCTTGATACTTGTGCGTTTGCTTGACGTTAGCTGTAACAAAGCCACTGACTGTGAGCGAAGCTGGAATAACCGAAAAGGTCAACAAACGGAATCCAAGGTCATACAATGACCCCAAAGTGACGCTGTAAACCTTTTCATCCAAGGTCATTAGTGGCATGCCTGCAGTAGGCATAAATGCCAGGTTAGACTGCTCCACGTAAGTAATTGCGAAGTTCTCAAACCGGTATTCACATGGGGCGCCATGATAGGGAGGCTGTGGGGGTATCCCAACAAGCGTGGACTGTGAACTTCCGCCGCAACCCATACCTGAGAATATTCTGAAAAATAACAAATATTTAATCTCATTTATTTTTAGAGAAAAATCTAAAAATCACATATATATCTATGAAGTGAATGTTTGAATGATTAACGATTTTTAAGTTTTGAAAGAGATGTGTGTGTAGATATAGGCCTAAATAGCATTTTTTTTACCAAAATTAAAGGAATGGTATTCTTAAGCTTTTTTCCCAATTTAGAAGTAATCCGTATATAAAAATACGGTTTTCTACAGACATTTTATGACTGTCTACGACGTGGTAAATCTTATTCCAACTGACCTATTCTCTAAAACTTTTTTCTACGCAGTTTTTGCGATGCATTCAGCTGGTATTTAAATGTTTCTGAAGAGATAAACTTTAAGTGCCGTTCCGCTTTGAACTTTTTTCGATGTAAAATTAACTTCTCTCCACAACCATAAATCATAATGTATGATATATACTACATGTACAAAATTATTGACCTTCCAGTCATCTTATAAAAGGCAGGTCAAACCCGCCAACAAGCATGCAATACTTTAATTTTTATGAGAGAATGCAAAAAAGCAAACTTACCTTTCTGCTTCCACCCGTTAACTGCTGATCGACTATATTGTCAATTAAATGTCCTTAGCTTAAAGAGGTCAGTGACCAATATAGAACAAGGGGGTTTTGCAATATGCAGAGATCAGATTGATAACATGCTTCTACGATAAGTTATATCCTCGCATTTTGCAATATATACTGTAGGCGAAATAGTCCGGTAATTTTTCAGTTTTAATGATTTATACCATCGGCCTTTGTTTGACAGTTGCTCGTGGATTCCATCGATAGAGGAACTAGCAGCCGTTTGTCTCTCAAGTGCAACTATTCATATATTTTTGCTCTATTTCGCACGATCAACAGTAGAATATTTTGCAATATTCCAGCTGAAATTTGATACGCCTGTTCTGGGGTTGTTCGTCGATCAGTTAAAAAACAACACAAAACTGATCGATAAAAAAACCATTAAATCGATTATCCCGAAGATGGGAAATTTTACAATAAACTACTAACTAACATGCATTGTGGCCACGGGCACTTGCTTCGTTTACGGGGCAACCCTACATATTTTTACCATAAGTAGAGGGTCCAGTATACAAAACAAGTGCGTGTGATTGTGGCAATGCAATATGAACCAAATTCACATTTGTTTTAGCATGCCCTGAAAAACTTTTTTGTGAAAAAAAGCTTATGCATGGTGTAAATATAACATACACTCAGTTTTTTTTACTGATGGTGGCACTGGTTTGTACGTCTCCAGTCCCTCGATATTTCTTTTCGCAGAGCTATGAGCTAAATTCGGTTGGAAGGAAAGAGAAGATTGATTGATTGTATGTTGTTTAACGTCCCTCTCGAGAATTTTCCACTCATATGGAGATGCCACCACTAGCCGATGGAGAGCTGCAAATTTTGTCTTGTACTCGGCACTTATGGCCATTAAGTAGTGAAGGATCTTTTTTAGTGCCAGCACCTGCTGCGACACGGGACCTCGGATTAAAAGGTCTCATCCAAAAGACCGGTCTCCACGTCCCACAGTGGGATTCGAACACGCAACTCCTTACTTCGCGACTCGAAAGCAGACGCTCTAACCACTGCGTCGCGCATGCAGGCTAAGGAAGAGGAGAGGAAAATGTAAAGAACATGCTTTTTGCCCCCCCCCCCCCACACACACACACACACACATCAATCCATTATCAGAGCAGTCAACTATCGGATCATAAATATTGAAGTCTGTTTTATGTGATACTGGTTTTTCTGATATACGTATCAAATAAGAAAGAAATATATTTCAATACATGTACACTAGACTATCGTAAGGATGTCTGCTCCTTAGTCAAGAATGGTAACTCTCATTTAATTAATCTCAAAACAAAGCTTAAAATTGATATCTATCTAAGGGTATGTCGTAATGTTGTATGTAGCTCAGAAAGTAAATGCAATAACACTTACAGTCATCAACGTTTTTTCTCAATACTTTTTTCAACGTATTTGGACAAATATTTAATATTCTCCTCGTCCAAAAAATACACAATGTAGAATATTAGTACAATTCTCTGTTATCCTTGGACTTTCACATGTTTCAGTAAGGTGTAGAATATTAGTACAATTCTCTGTTATCCTTGGACTTTCAGTAAGGCGTGGCATTCTCGACGTTACATAATTAGCGTTTGAATTTTACATAGCCTCCCATTCACTGTTGAAATATACATTGGATTGAATTTCAGGCGAATGTCAACGAGTGTAGCGCTGATCCAATGACAGCGTTTAATTGACAAAGAGGTGGGGCTTAAGTCATCTCATCGTTGTCAACAACGATTTAAAGTTGCTAATGTTATTAAATTCCTAACCAATGAGAATGTATTCACCATTTGAGAGACGTTAATTATTAGTGTCTAGAATGCCACACCTTACTGAAAGTCCAGGAATGACAGAGAATTGTACTACATGGATTGTATGAATATTATCCTTCAAGACCTCATTCAGTCACATGTTTGCAAAGGATTGTGGCTTGTATGTAATAAAGTCCAGGGATATGTAAATATTTGTTTTTCCAACCACATTTTAGCTATATGTATATAATACAACAATGAATGTAAATATTTTAATTTAATAAATTGTATAAATTCTGATGTCAACAAACTCTGCTTTAATGTTGGATACATAAACCCTTGAAACAGATATGAGTATATTAATAAATTACATGTATTTTATACTAATAGTCATTGCCCAGTAAAAAAAGTATCTTCTTTCTGAATTTAGTACAAAAGTAGTGATTATATCAAAGTTAAAAGTACCTAACAGCTAATAATACCTATGTTTATTTCTTTACTAGTACATAATAGTAATCAAAAAACCTTCAACATGAAAGTGCTTTTAAATGTTCCAAATTGATACATGTCCAATTAAAACTTATCTCAAACACTATGGGAGAATGAAAAAATCTTTGAGATATCAATAGATTTGATGAAATACTATTTCATTGTACTTGTATTAAACCTTGCCTTCTTGTGTAGAGGGGATAGTTATAGGCATTGTATGCCTATTGCCCAATCTATTCAGTAATCAGTATTCTGAATATATATTGTTTAAACCAAAATTCTGTTTGAAAATAATGATTAGGACCTTCAAATCACTTTGATATATCCATGGTATTCAAAATATCAAGTTAAAGATATGGAAATTCAACTGTACATCAAATATATATCTGTATCAATTAAGAATTAATGTTCAAATACAGATTGCAAATCAGTACAAAAATTCATGTTCAAATAAAAACTGCAAAACATTTCAAGATAGTGATACAAAGGATTTCTCAACAAGACTTTTACAAAAGAAATACAATTTCAGATAAGGATTTCTCTTTTGAGCATCATAAATTAAAACATGTACTTGTATTACATACAAATCAAAAAAAAAAAATAAATAAAGACATCAATAAGGCATCTTGAATGGGACTCTTGCACAAGAAATAAAATTTCGAACACAAAAAAATATCAATATTAAAAACCTCCTTAGGAGGTTAATTATCACAATTTCTTTGCAGAGAATGACGAACTCAGTGTTTTAAGGGAGACAACTCTTTGATGAGGGGAAAATTTTGGACAGTTTCTGAATTTTCTGTGAAGACACACCATCAAAGAAACAGCAACAGTTATCCCTAACATCATGTAGCCCAAAACTAATGAGGGATGCTCTGCCTGAAATATTAACACAAAGCATTCCTTAAGACACATTCCTCTTACTTCAGAAAAAAGTATCGTGAAAGTAGGTGAAAAATACATTTTTTTTAGGCACATATATGTATCTGACTGACTGAGAAATCAAATCTTTAAGAAATTACATTTATTTTTATGAATATAAACATGGCTAGCTTAAATACTAATTATTATCTGATATATCAATAAAACTTGTCTTCTAATACTCTTTGACTACCCTATAATTTTTTTTTTGGAGTTTACAAAACACGCTAACGGTCTTGTATGATGATATTCCATAGTTGGAAATTTACAAAGGAGTGAAGCTTTGACCACGTTGAAAACTTACATTAGGATTAACCATTTCTGGGTGATTTCTAAACTTCCATTCAGACAGGTGAGTTATAATGTTGATGTACAGTGGATGAAGGGAGCTGACCACTTCCTATATAAAATAGAAGAATTTCAATACTACAATTTTTTTTTCTTTGCTTGTCAACTTTTTCAGGTTACTCAAAATTTTTTTTTCTCTGGCTGCCCCCCCCCTTTCAAAACAATGCTATGTGGCTGGAAAATGACACATTTCACAGGATAGAAAAATTAGTTTATATCATATTACCTTAATTTGTTTCCAACTTGCAATATCTTCTTGATGTTACATATAAATTTTGTAGTACATAACACAACATTTTTTAATAAATTTTAAAAATCGACATGCAATTATCTTCTTAAAAAAAAAATTTATGATAGAAAATTTGATTTATCAGAAATTTATTTAATCACTACCCAAGTTGTATGCTTACAAATATGACAAAATAAAAATGACTTAACTGGTATATACATTGAAGAACATATAGGAGTATGATATCAGTATGTATTTACTGACCTTCAGGTTTTGACTTTCTGGATTAAACAGATCAAAACAGCTGGGTCCTTTATGCTGTCTTCCCCACAACTCAACGGTAAAGGAGAAGGGGATCTACAGGTAAGATTTAAACTCAAATAAACAGCGGTACAAGATGCATTATAATATACTGTAGATCATAAATTTTTTTTTTGAGACCTTACTTTCATGAGATTGATGCTTATACATGGGACAAGATTATTACGGTACAAATTGTGGTTATATTGCTCTATATAATCTGTACTTATACAAATATGTTTGAGAACAAAATTTTTCGCAAAGCTGATTGGCTTTACACTAAATTATGTTTATACTACATGAATCAAAGAAAATATCTCCCAAATAAAAAATTATATACAGTATTTAATTCAAGTAATAGTCAGATAATTGAATTCTTGGTAGTGTGGGACAGATTTAAAACCTTCCCATTATCTACTTTTTTTACTCCTGCCATGTAGTCGAATATGGTGCCGTCGGCAGTGTAATTAATCAGCTGAGGAGCAGTTCCGTATCTGTACTGGTACTTGGTGCAGCGAGATAAACGAGAAGCCATATGGACCATCTCCTTTATATTGTCTGGCTTTCTTTGGATTTCCCTAGATCTTGTATCTGTAAAATATAATTTCTAATACATATTAATGGATTTACTTGCTAGATAGACCACAGGATTGTGGTGTTTTAACCTTTAATTTTCCTCATTGATAAGAATATCACTATGCATACTAAAATATTATAGAATGGTGATGCTGATGGTAGTGATTTTTTTTCAATGAGGAGAATAAAATGTCTGACAAGGGTCTGCAGTGCTCTACATGCACACTGCAGGACATAATTTTTTGATATTTAATTAAAAATAAGTTTCAATGAATTCATCATGTTCATAGATATGTATTTTACAGCTAAGCCTACAAGCTTCTTAGATAATTAAATAAAAATGTTAGCATTTCGTAACTAGTACAATCAAAATCAGACCTGAATATGGAATGTATATGTGATTGATCCCTGAATGGAAAGAGAAGAAAGCATCAAAGGCTACCTCTGAAGTTATTGCCTGGAAAACTTTACTTTCACGTTCTGAAAAAAATGAACAATATGAGAAAGATGTATAAAATCTAAAAGTCACACTTGATTCAAAGCCAGCATCACTTCTTTTAATAAAGATAATTTACAGTAAAACTTTTTTTATCTAGAAAACATTCGTTTAAAAGAAATTGTTCGCATTAGTCAGCATTCCGATTAAATAATATTTTAAATGATAGACTTATTGAATGGGACAAAGTTTTCAAAGAATATGGCAAGTTTTCGTAATACACAACAATGGGATTAAACAAGTTTCACTGTAATGGAACTTCTCCCATAATCACCTGAGAATGGTCTCTTTCCTCTGAATTCTTCATCACCGGGGTCATCAGAACTCCCCTTCCCTCCAAACTCCCACCCAAAGTTTCTGTCTAGATCCACTCCTGTACTGGTTCCTCTCCAACAGTAATTCTTCTTTTGTTCTACATAATGCCGTCCATCTGGGTTAGCCATCAGTATAATGTATATGTCTGCTTGTGACAGAATTTGTTTCGTAAACTTTCTAGAATATACATCTGCGGAAGGAAGAAGGCCACCTGTTAAGTTTTTAATGAAGTGTATTGCACTTTCTACTGGTAGAAATTCTCTGGCATGTTCTCCATAGGAGAAAAGTAATCGAGGTTTATTTTTCCGGCTATTGGAGTCTTCAAATTTTTCAAGTTCTATGGATTCACTAAAATTTGATATGTGCAAAAGATACTGGAGTCTGTTTTCCCTCGACTTGAACTGAGTGTGAACTTTCACATAGTTTGGAAACTTGGACAGAAGATTAACTTCTTCTTCCATGTGTTTTAAATTATGGTAAAATTTGTAATTTGGCACATAGATTTCTTTTTGTGATTTCACATTCACACACTGTATATAGCTAAAAAGAAAGACGTTCAAGATAATAATTTGAACCCAAATTGTCCTTTGAAAAAATCCATCAATGACTCTATCCTGGGTCGTGAATAAATTGTTGCACATCCATAACATTTCTAAGTTGTCAAAATATTTGGTCTTGAGTAGTTGGAACAATTTTTGTGATAGGAATCAACATCACACAGCAAAATTGGCGTCTGTTAGGAGTGTACAGTGAATGACGAACTCTGTCACAGCCAGTAAGATGTAAACAAGAAAGACCCGTTTAGGACAAGTTAGTTAGAATAATCTAACTGTGTCTCGGTACAAGCCCTCACCACAGTTAGAATACCACCCATATACTCGTAATGTAGCAAAAAATTGCAGAATCGCAACGAAACGATTTTGAAGGATACAAACGGATTTGCACAGAAAATAACTTATAAATTAATCAAAACAAACCTTTTTGAGATTGCTTATGCCTTTTATCCCAAAAAATAATCCATATAAATACGTAAATCCAATTAATTTTCCCAACGTTTTTCTCTCCATTCAAATGTTTACATTCGGAACTCTCTAGATTGTTCTTAGTAAATGCACTATGCGGGTTATTCTTTTTGCTACATTACGAATACACGGAACGAATTCTATCGTTAAACCGGGTCCGTAGGACAAAATCATTTTAACGATAGAACATTCTATCTAAGGACAAGTGCACACAATCCAGGTCTGAATATTTCTGTTATTTCACATGTAAATATCATGCTGCAAGGTATGGTACACCCCTGTAAAATTAATTATGTATGCTACTATGTATAACGCGTTCGTTCAATGACAGGTTATCATTTTAAACGTATTTTGCAGCAATGTGGTGTGTTTCTTTCACGATCTATTTACATTTCCATGGTCCGTCTCAGGTTCTTACTTTTACAATTTTAAAACTAATTTAGGAACCAAATAGATGTTGTAAATTTCCGATTAAAATTTTAGACCTTTTATTTACAAAAAAAGAGGAAAACGATTTTTTTAATCAAAAGTCCAGAGGTCAACAAGTTAATCGTTAAACGCTCGTACAGTATCGTTGTAAAAAGGCCTATAATAGAAGTGTTTGGTAAAGAATGGTAAAAAATTCTCTTTACAACGACAAAAGCTGTAAAATTACATATGGGTTTTACCACAAACAAACTGTTCTATTTTGCATCAATCAAGTCTCAACATGCCAAAACATGTTAAATGTAGGTAGAACTTTCAGTTTCAAAATATGACGTCATAATAAGTTTTCCTTCGGAATACCTTGCGAAAGTACGACAACCAAAACAAGCAGACGACACGGGATATTTCGATCAGCTGTTTGTGTGTGTTGTTCGCAGACAGACACTGTACTAAAGAAATCATTGCGATTCCATACTCATGTTACCATTTAGGACTACCAAAAAGACATTCAAGAATGAAGAAAGCAGAAATGTTCAAAGAATTCCATTGGTTGGTCAAGATGCAAATGACAGATGCAAAGTACAGGTCGTAAAAGGTCGCGATACCCACCAGGACTTTTTGAGTTTGGTCGACAGTTTTTGCTACCAGGATTTTGACGAATCCAGTGAAGAGCACAGGGTGAAGAGACCACGGCTAGCTCTACGTGAGGATGAGAGGATTCCAGTCTACAGGTTTACAGGAGTGGGGTTTTATACAGAACATTCCGTTTCCAATCGACATCATTTTGCTGTAAAGAGGACAGAAATGCGGGCATACTTCAGACTTTTAGGCAAGTAGATACTTTAAATTATAATTTTTATGGCCTCTCTGTCTATTCTTTAACGTTATAATATACTGGTAGTACACAATATATCGACACCCAAAAGTAAGTTACCCCCCCCCCCCCCCCACACACACACAACCACCACACACATACATACACACGAATTAAAAATAGAATTTTGGAGTTAGACTGTTTTTCTACACCCCTTCTATTTTAAAAATCGTCTCTACAAGCCTGATTTAATGTATTTCTGTCTGATTTTATCCACCTACAGTTTATGCTTTGTGGACGTCCAGGTTGTCGACAACCTTAATTTATTACTCGTTAGTTTTGATGTTGTTTGATATCTTTATACCCTTCTAATTTTTACATGTAGAAGATGATGTTATTCAAGAATTTCTACTGAGAGACAATTGCAAAAGGATATCCGATAAGGTATATACTCGAAAATGTGCATATTTCAGTATTCAGTAACTGCAACCGATAAAAATTTAGACCTATTTAATTTTTGAACGTTTCCAATTTTTTCAGTATCTATTGGCAATGGTGTTTGCTTACTTTAAAAGGGCACAAATGAAAACAAGGGATTATACAAGAATGAACTTCTTCCTTGCTCTGTAAGTACTGCCTGCAAATGTATGGACAGAGAGGGAGTGTGTGTGTGGCAGAGAAAGATGGGGGAGGGGGGGGGTAGAGAGGAGAGAGTGGGAATTAGAGAAAAATAGAGTGTATCGAAATATAGATTGACAGACAGAGTAGAGAGAGAGAATGCATTGGGACTGAGAGAGAAATTCTGATAGAGAGAGCTTTTCTCATAGGTTAAGATTTAGGTTGGTGAGGGGGGGGGGTAAATCAAATAGGGAAGGTTTTTAGCATTAGCTTCTTTTATTTTATAATCTTTAATATTAACTGTTAATATTTTTTCCCGACACAGTTACCTCGCCAATGACATGGAGGAAGATGAAGAAGATGACAAGTACGAAATCTTCCCCTGGGCTCTAGGTAAAAAATGGAAGGACAGGTTCCCGCGTTTTCTCAGGAAGAAGGATTTGTTTTGGGCTAGAATATCGTATAGAGCTGTTGTTAGTCGGCGCTGTTGCGAAGAGGTTGGTATGAATGTATTTTTTCTTAGTGATATCAAACAATCCCAAAATCAAAAGTTTCCCAGTTAAAAAAAGGATTAAAAAATAAATAAAGAATCGTAAATATATGTCTATATAAAAGTGTTTAATATTACCCGGTGTAAGCATTTTGATAAATACATGCCCATTTTGATTCAAATAAGCTGGGCTTTGATATTAATATTATAACATTTATTAAAATGAAAGATTATGGACATCTATCCTGACCACGTGTGTTGGAAGAGGAGCCGCCCCTTGCACCACAGCGGTGCCATCAGGAGCTACGTGCGTGACTCTGAGGAGGATGACGGGTACCCCCGGGGGCCCCACGCCAGCCCCCGCCGGTGCCGCGCCTGTGAGCCCTTCGACAGTCAGTACGACTCCGCCAGTCCGGACAGGGATGAGTGGATTTTTTCCGGCGACGACATCTTTGACAATTCCCAGGAAGACTCCAGATTCGACATGAAACGTAAGATATCCCATATTTTTTTTTATTTGTCAATACTAAAAAATATAATTAAATGTCGGGAAATCAAAAAATATGCGGTCAATCGTTGATACTTTTGGCTACCACAGGCACCTGGCGAATTGATGGTGTAACCTCCTTATAGCTTCGGAAAAATTGTATTAGGCACAATTTTGACAAAATCTTATTTAAAATACATGATTTCCTAGTCTTTCATTCTTATATTTCGATATCTGATATCATACCGCTTTTGTTAAGATTTTCTTTTTAGGCCAGCATTTTTTTTATTTTTAGGTTTACAAACCCGCCGCTCAAGTTTTTGAATTTTCAGAAGAAAAAAAATAAAATTGAGAAAAACAGAATTTTTTCTTTCCGATGTCAAATTTGAGTCGGGATCGAGATTTCAAATTTACGAACTCGTACTTCCGGTTTTAAACGATGAAGGGAGATTTGTGTCAAGTCCATAGCAGCACTAAAGCTTGGTTTAATGTAAATATTTATCGATAGGAGTGCCATTCAAAACGTTTCACCCGTTCAGACAACAATAAAATGCTGACGACTTTGTTGCAAAGTGACATGTTGGTGAGATAATAATGTATCCGTATTCAAAAGTAACTGTCTGTAATTGTAAATTATTTTCCTCCCACAGGTTTAAAACTGCCCATGGTAGCTATTGTCAGAGATATTGTTTAGGTTTCTGTCATAGCTTACAGTCTTAGCAGCATTCTTCAGAAAAGGGTAGCTTATGCATCAGATGTAATGAATAAAACTATTGGAGAAGTTAAGTCCACTTGAGGAAGAAATAAACAATAGCCTAAAGAAATAAAATATTTCAACTATTTAAAAACAAGAATATACAAATATATACAGGCATGTAGTATCATTTATGGCAGCCAGAAAAATTATTTTACACTTAATTGAAAAAAATTCCACCCTACTCCTCAATACTCCTTGGGAATACCCCCTGTCTGTTTTATGAAAGGAATTATTATTTTTATAGGTCTCAAGTATATTAATATTTTAGAATAATTTCTACCTAACACACATTAAAAACAAAAATGAAGATATATTAAAAGAGATTTAAAAAATTAATTTTAAAAAAAAATCTGTATTTTGTCCAACATCAAAAGATTTATATCACTGCCCCCAACTGGTAGATGATGAAATAAACAATTAAAGGTTGTATTTTCCCATTTGTAACCTTTATGTGTCCAGTGACAACAAGCTTGTTAGGAGAGCATAAAAAAAGAAGCAAAAATTAATGTAGAAAAGTCGATAATGTATCCAAAATATAATTTTATTTTTTTTTTAATTTCCTCCTCCTACGGGACTTTTTCATTCTGATGTTCGTAAACCTAAAAATAAAAAAATGCTGGCCTTATAGAGATTGGTCATTTGTTATATACCCTATAAGGCCAATTTCTAAATCTTAACAAATGCAGGAAATTAGATAAAAATATTTTGATAAGTCTTTGTGCCTAATAAAATTTTCAGAAGCTAAAATGGGTGGGGATGGGGGGTACACAATCTATGCGTCATTTGCCTACATGTATTATGTTGGCTATTGATTAAAAAAGAGGTAGATTAATAATTACTTGCATGAAAGAATTGAAATATGACTTTGTACTAAAGCTATATGCTTTTTTTTCTGTTTCAGCACTGAAGAAGAATCTTCCGAGTAGCAGTACAGACTGGCCCGTGGCTGAGGAGTGATGAGTGTTGTGTGTGAGATTTTCTTCTCTCTATCATTCTTTCTTTCCCTTTATACTGACTCCTTGAATATATTAACTTTGACTGATGCTGTTACTGTGATATTTGATTATTATGATGTCATGAAATAAATGAGAAATCTATAAAATATTTCTATTGTTTTTAATATTTTGTCGAAAATTAAGAGAGAGAGAGAGAGAGAGAGCAAAAACTAAAATCAATTAAGAAATGAATTTCATTTTTTAAGATTCATGAGGTTATGAACTACGACGCTTCACGCCGGCATATTTCATGAAGAGCGTTAGCGCTTCATGATAAATATGCCGGCGTGAAGCGTTGTAGTTCATATACCTCATGAATCTTTAAAAAATTAAATTCATTTCTTATATTTACATTATTTTTCTGATGACTTGCCATAAACTGAGGCCGTTCAACTGTCATTTTTAAAACAAAACTGTGTGCACTATATTTTTTTTACTTTTAAGCGTCAAGAGCGGTATAATGACGTAACAATGGAGATATTCATGCTTCTTTGTGATACATACCTAATGTAGTTCATGAGAAAATATACTGCATTTTATTTTTTAAAGAATCATAGGGGAAATTTATTGGAAATATAAATATTACAAAATATACTGCTTTTACAAGCCGAAGCTTGACCTCGACACCAGCGTTGTAATAATGGATTTGGGAGCAGTATAAAATTGCTCTTTTAAAAGATTTGAAAAAATCCAAACATTCCAGAAAAAAATGAACCACTTTTAGTTACATTGCAACGGCGGAAATTTCAGGCATTTAAACATCAGAATTTGTAGAAAACTCAACATCAATATTTTATACATGTTATTGGAAATATGATTTGTTTCGTTTTAGGAACAAATAAGACAGAGAGTATTTACAACCTATTGTTATAATGAATGACATTCGGAACCACAAGGGTTTGGTTAAGATCACGTTGTTCTCAGGAAGGGTTTCGTTACCAAGGATATATATTTATAAGAGGTGAATTAGTGTTTAATTACCAGTATAGGACGATACGTAGTGCACAACTGGCAACGCACTTTGAAAAAATTACGCACTTTGAAAATTTTTTTCGAAGTGCGTTAAAATTGGGACCAACTCAACGCACTTTGAAAATTTTTTTCAAAGTGCGTTAAGAGTCTACATCAATGTATTTTACCATGAAGACACTTAACGCACTTTGAAAAAAAAGAATCATATTTTAGTAATGGAAAGATTTTATTTGTTATTTATCTTTCAAAAAACTTACCCTAACCCTAACCTCAAAAGAATTGATTTACTACCGAGGAGAAGACGGGTATAAGATACTTCAGTCCAAATGTTTATCTTTCCAATACATATGACAGGTGTCGGTAACAAACGGGGGAGGGGAGCAATAAACCCAAAAAGGGTAAGCTGCATTTTCAATGCTTATACGATGTATATATCTTTCCAAAATAAGTGGGGGGCTTCGTCTCCCCCTCCCCTGGCCCTTCGCCCGGTCTCGATGTCTATATATATGCTATACTCAAAACATTCATATAACAAGAAACATTGATGTAACCATCAATTGTCGCCCGGGAAATACATAAAGTAAACAATGAAAATGACTCTTGATTATCAAATCGCTGCAATATGTGTGAAAAGGCATGCGTCTAATAGATGGAGACGATAGTTGTGAATATTTTGAAAACTTGTAGTCGGATAAAAATCAATCAAAAACGATGCCATTTTCAACTTGAATAATTCCTCAAGTAAATGTTAGCTGCATAAAAGATAAATTGAAGTTAGACACACGCATCACCTATATTTAAAAATGAATATTAATTTTCAATTTTAGAATATAAAACACGAACTGTGCAGAGTACGTTTTTATCCGAGAAGTAAAATTCGATGTTCTAAAAAAAGGGACCTGTCGTTTTTTCGATAGTATATGATAAGCAACTTTAAATATTAAATATGAAAAACGTATATATTTTTACAGATTCACTTTATGGAAGTAAATATATTATGTATTTCGTAATTTATAAACTGAAAGAACATTCTGATTAACAATCTTTTCAATGTTTAGAAAACCTTTAATTCTAAATAACTACTCCCACCCCAATCCCCATACACCAACACTTAAACTTATATGTATAGAGCAGCCCGGTCCTCCGGGCTGCAATTATGTATTTACCTAACTGGTATGACGTTGAAAACTTTCAATATTAAATGAGTTAATTAAAACAGATGAAAACTAGAAATCTTTAAGTAACAGTAAAACGTATGAGACAGAAAAAATTTTCATAGTTTTGAACAATCAAATTGCCCCCTTTTTATTATGATGAATGCTAAGTTGCTTAAAGCTGTCCTCTGTTAGTGCCCCCTATACACCTTTACATCTACTTATCAATGACTAGAATTTAAAAGAAAAAAGAAACGAATTAATGATCTTAAACAACGTCACTCTATTTTTCAAGACCCTTTTCCCTTTTATTTTATCAAAACCTCAAATATTTAAAGGTACTTGGACACAGATTTTAAGTTTTTTCATTACGACTTATATATTTAAATAGCATTTTACACAAAAATTAATTCAAAATCTTATTTCATTTATAAGTAATTAAAATTTTTATTTTTGTGGCGGGTTTGATTGACACGTCCTTGCACTTTCACAATTTTTAACTTTATTCTCAATCCTTAGGAAAAATGGCAAGCTTGTGTATTAATGAAAAATATTAATACTATAATTCAGAAAATTCAGAGTAGAAATGTTCGAAAGTAAAACAAACACACAATATATATTGTCAGTCCGTGCAGTGGTGAGCAGACTTTGGCGATTAAACGCACCCGGTGAATCGTAAACACCAAACAATAACAGGCTCTTGCCTTGTTTACAAAAACTGTGTACATAACACGAGTGTGCTCGATTTGCTAAACTCTGTACACAACGGAATGACAATACTTGTGAAGGAGTTTTGCTTTCTAACATTTCTACTCTGAATAAAATAATTTTTCTGGATTTAAGTTTTAATATTTCTCAATAATACACGACAAGATTGCCACTTTTCCTATGGATTAAGAATAAAGTTAACATTTGTCAAAGTGCAAAGATGTGTCAATCAAACCCGCCAAAAAAATTAACGTTTTAATATCTTTTTAATGAATTAAGATATTTAATTAATTTTTGTGTCAAATCCTATTAAAATATATAATTCGTGATATTATTATCATAACAAAAATAGCAGTAAATTTAAAAATCAAACATTTTATGTATTGGCATTATTTGGCTTAGAGATAAAAGATGCGAGCTCTGAAGATAAAAATAAATCATTGGAATCAATTATATTTACTTGGGTATGAAAGAGATGGATTTGGTAAGAAGTAATTAAAGAGGCTTACCAATAGGAATTAAACTTTAAACCGGACGGTCCCACAAAATAAATCATGGGAATGCAACTTTGTAATATAGGGAAATTCCTCCAAAAAGCAGAGGCACTTAGAGATTTACATCTGTAAACTGAGTTTTTCCATGTTTTGTTGGAAATATTGTATGCAACAAGCAGTATTAACTTAAAAGAAGTATATGTAAATATTTCATTTATGTATATTAATTGTGTGCTTTACATCCTGTATCTTGTAATTATGTTATCTGATAAGTCATATGACTTAAGGAATAAATAAACAAACAAACAAGCTGCTACTTATTTGTTTATGAAAAGATTTATTTGGTTAGGGTGAAGAAGGAACCAATAGTATTAACGACGTTCGATCCTGATATTTAAAGTCTTAAACTTATTTTGCAAAGTATATTTTTAGTTTCTACATACATAGCTTAATTAAAATTCAAATCGAAAAATGGGGGTCAATACGATTCTTTTGGCGCTACAGTACATTTGATATGACCTTTTTGCACTGAAATTTGTGTCTTAATCAAAAGCATGAAACAAAATCAACTCTTAGTTTGTTTAAAAGAATACACTTTAAAAGTGTGACTAAGAAAAAAAAAATTCAAATTGCTTCGCATCATCAATTATTTGACCTTTCTGCACTAATAAAATGTGATTTTTCCGGCATTGAAAATTTAATAAGCAAGAAAATTATTTTAAAGTCTTTAACTTTTTCTGATTTTAAGCAAGTAGGTCAAAGGTATCTTGAATATTTAGAAAAGAACATCAAAAGTTGGGGTATATGATGTAAATTATTTTCAGAGATTACTAAAAAAGTGTCAATTTTACGATAAAATTGACTGAATTTTTTCCCGGGTTTTCAGAATATATTTACTATATTTGTCACACTTGTTGAAAGAATTCATAAGAAATAATTTAATAGATATTTCAGAACTATTCTCTACTGAGAAGTCGACGGCTCGTTTCAATACTCCCCCTCAAAAAATTCCAATTATTTGCAGTTTCCGTTCATTTTCTTCTTAACCGTTGTACATACTGAAATGAAATTTGGTATACAGATATATCACATAAATATCTTGGTCAAGTTCTGTTTTAAGTACAATTGCACCATTTTGACAGAGTTATGCCCCATGAACTTAGAAAAATTTTGATTATTTGCAGTTTCCATTCATTTCCTTTGCAACCATTGCACATACTGAGATGAAATTTAGTATACAGATTTATCAGAGGAATGTCTAGGTCAAGTTTTATTTTGGATATGATCGCACCATTTTTGACAGAGTTATGCCCCTTGGACTTAGAAAAATTCCAATTATTTGAAGTTTTCGTTCATATTCTTCACAACCATTGCACATACTGAGATGAAATTTAGTATACAGATTTATCAGATGAATATCTAGATTAAATTCTGTTTTGGGTACCATTGCACGATTTTTGACAGAGTGATGCCCCTTGGACTTGAAAAAAAAATCCAATTATTTGCAGTTTCCTTACATTTTCTTTGCAGAGGTTGCACATACTAAAATGAAATTTGGTATACAGATTTATCAGATGACTATCTTGGTCAAGTTCTGTTTTGGGTACATGTACAATTGCGCCATTTTTGACAGAGCTATGCCCTTTTGGACTTGGAAAAATCATTATTCTTACTTATCAATACCCAGCGATTTGTGAGAACCATATGTGTTTTTTTTAAATACCAAGAGACTAAAAATTTAATTCTATCCGTGCTCGTGTGTATGCACAAGTA